TACGCAGGATTCTTAATTAATTTCCTGTGACACAACATCCGAAAGTCTTGCAACATGGGGCCGGACTTTGACACTTGCCGGCGAGTCGGAGTCCCTTCTGAAGAATCCAGAACGTTTAACCTTGTTGCTCGTGACGCTGACAGACAACCGAGAAAAAATGTTCCCCAACCGCCCACCATCCATCCAACGTGGGCTTGGCTGGGCTTGCCCACGTCCCGGAAGGACACGTCCATTGTCCCGTTGACTGATGATGGGAGCCGTATGATTTATGAGAAAGCTGCACAACATGTGGAGCTACCTTATTCCTCGCTTTTTTGGCATACATTTTTTGGCTGACATCGAAAAACCGTTAACTGTAGTTGGCTTATAAGCCGCCCACAAAAAACGCTACACTTTTTTACTATTTTGGTCACACATTCCTTACAAAGTGAAGTTGCCTTTCTGAAAAAAGCTATCGGAAATTGATGAAATGTTTGTTCAGGTTCGTTGGGTTTTATTTTAAGGAGAATGGAGTTCACTTCAATGGATATATTCAATAGCTAGTATAATCAAATTAAAGGTAAACAATTTCACAACCAATAACTTTAAGCTTTAAACCTGATTTTAATTCAGACAGTTTGAAAGCAAACCACTAATTAGTGGCTTAGTATAAAAATACTAACTACAAAAGCCCCCTAAACGATTAATAGCAAATGTCAAACTGGCAGTTGGCAGAGTTATGATACCGGCAGGCAAAATAATACGAACAAATACTAATTAGATGAGTTGGCCTGACCTTAAATTGCATCAATTGTGCCGGGATGCTAATGAGGGCATTTTCGCTTCTGCCACATTAAAGAGACAAATGTGAATGGGAAAGAGCAGAGGCAAATGTATCAGTGTCATTGTCAGTCGGATAGAGTATAACAGAGGATGCCAGAGATCACGTACTGGGGCCGTAATTTACCGGGAAACAAGAGGCCATGAAGTGGGCGCCATAGTCCATAAATTATGGCACTGGCTATGCCAGAATGTGTTTGACACTCCATTCGAGGCGAGGCTCAACTGCTGGCATTGTGTGCTCTACCGTTCTGTTTGCATTTGGGGTTTTTAACACGCTCTGCGTAATTGATATCCAATTAAATCAAATGCTAAACACGAAAGCCCCATAATCCCCAAAGTAATTAAATCACAACTGAAAATCCTAAAAGCCCTTCAGTAAGCCTCAATTGAAATGGAAAACCAGTCGACCACCATTTTGTCAATTTCATTAAAAGATCAACGATGTGATACCTGATACTTTTTAGCGTCTTTAGATAAAAAAAAAACGATTTTTTGTATTATTTTATATCCTATAAGTAAAGAATTTAAATTTTTAATTATATTGTATCGAAAATATAGTGAGTAGAAAACAAATCTACCTCTTTGATCCCCTTTAAAGGTGTCACGTTTTAAAAACATTGAACAGGACACCATCGTTATGGATTATTCGAAACATGGTAGCTTGTCCAAACTCTTAACATGCTCTGGGTGCCTGTTATTTCCGCTCAGTGAACACACATACATATATCGATCAGGACCCATACTTTGTTGGGGAGATACACACGTATTCGGGGACAATTTCGGCCGAAGGACTTGCGGTCAAACTGTAATGGTGCTGATGCGCTATTCGACTATAAACCGTAGCCAGTCATCTGTGAAAAAACAAGGAAACGGATACCAAAAAAAAAACTAGACAAAAAAGGAAGCTCGTTTTCACCAAACAGATTATGTTAAAGTTGAAATAGAGCCTTTTTTGGGTTCTCAATTCCAGTTTATTAATAGTGACACACATTTTTGGACCCGAACCAGAGTTAAAAGAATTTAATATATAATAGCAGCTTGAAAACACAAAAGGCCATAAACAAATGAAATATCCACAAGGACGCTGGCAAAAAATGTTGTGCACCAAATTGACATAAAGGATATAACAACAAAAAGCAACGAGCAAAGGGAAAATGTTCGCGCAATTGGCACCAATCCAAACAGTAAAATGGAAATGACAACTGACACTGGTGTCAACCTATTTTCTTTATTTATTTTTTCCCCTTGGCTCTTAAAGTTGCAATGGTGACCGTAGTCAACAGCAGCGGGAGGTAAAGGAAAATTGCTTTAGGTCCTTACAACAAAAAATTTACCTTCATAGGGTGTTGCTAAAGGCAAATCCACTCTAAAGAGATTAAAGATAAACATCTTTTAAGCACTTGGTATTTAAAGCCTCTTATAGATTTTTTATGATACTTATTCTCCAAAAAAAAATGAAAAACAATCTCCATCAGGAACACCCTGTTATAAAGAAATGGCAAAGGAGACAAAAGTTGATGTTGCGAAATATTGCCGAAGAAATTGCCGTCAGGGGTCCTTGCCTGGCAAAAAGTTTCCAATTGCCAAAAGTTGATTATATGCTCCAAGGCGTTCGACTCGATTGGAAATTCTTTTCTGGTCTATCTGTCTCTAATTGAAACGTATTCTCCTTTCCTGTTGAAACTTCCAAGTTGGTACTTATCTCTCGAAAAACACTTTCCTGAAGAAAACGAATCGAAAAATAAATTGTACAATTTTGCGTAACTCATAATTTTATGCAAATGAAATGCACATTGCGAACAGTTTGCGGTTTTTCAGCGCCTCGCATTTTGCACACTTGAACCACCTAAAAAAATGAAGGGTCTTTGGGGTATACAGGGGCAGATAGACAACACTACCTAACCACACACGAGTTCCCCCGCCTTCTCATCCGGCAAATGTGTGTTGTACAGCTGCCACAATTACGTACATTATCCGGTGGCTGCGGAGAGCTCCGCGCGGGTCGAGGATGGCAATGTATGCCCTCAAAAGTATGCTCATAATTTTACCGACCTGCCGGATAGTAGGTATACCTGTGCATAAACCAACAAAAAAAAGACCTGAAATGCCACTAGTACGAACTTTTTGCGCTTGTCCCTTTGTCAGCACAAACTGCAAGCAACTGCACTCCACGAGTACCCTCCATCATGTGCTCCTCTACTTGTTGTTTTTACACCAAACACCCTCCATCCAAATGGGTATGATATATATTTGCGAAATTATATACAAAAGGTAAAAAACATATAAACGAAAGTATTTTTATACAGAAAGTTTATCGAATGGTTGCTATTTAAAATATATACCCTTTGATAGACCAAGGTAGAAAGACCTAAACGAGTTGGGTCTGTATTAAATAGGGTAAGGATTTATAAGGATTTATTTGTAAGGTATTTAAGTATCAACTCTTTGAACTTTCTTTCTTTAAGAACTTATTTCCATATCTCAAATTACCAGGTATACCAAAGTCGTAAAAAACACTGACATTACTGGCTTTCTGTGAAAAAGTAAAACGTTGTTGAGTTCATTAAAAATTTGACTAAGTGCGTTGTCATCATCATCATGGCAACCTCCAACTCGGTCTCTGATGCTGGCTCCTCATAAATGTCGGCCCAGCTTCATGTCTGCTGTTTCCTAGCATCCTGCATGTCCTTGTCTCAATGAATGCCCCTACATGTATATGTTGGTATATGTGTGATGTGTGGTAGGCGTACTTGAACTTTGTCGTTTTGTGTGAATATTTTTTTCGGTTTCTCGGTCGCCAAAATTGGATTTTCTTGCTAAACGCACACAGAATGTTTGAACCCGGATTATGGCAAGATGATAGTCCCCAAAGTCTGTTTTCGGGCTCATGAAATATGCAGGAGGCATATGATTGTGACTTGGCAATTAATACCGTACTGCCATGTGTGAAATTCAATGAAATGAAGAGAATCATTTGGATCTTTGCAATGAAAAGTAAGAAAAAAAAAGACAAAATGCCACCAGAAAAATTGGAAAAAAATTTACAAAATATTTTATTGGTAGGTTTTTATGAAAATTGATAGCGAATCGATCTACAAATCGTTTAAGATGAGGAATCGGATGACTTTTTGGGCCGTGTTGTGCCTTGATGCATTTTCAACGATTTTGAAGGGGACCCTCCCAAAACTGGACAAAAAATTGAAAAAATAATTTGTTTCCAGATTTTGATGCAGATTTATGCAGAATCGATCCACAAATCGTTTAAGGTAATCCGCTCAAGGATCGGATGAAAATTGACAAAGATAGGGCTTTCGCGGGGGGTCATATTGACCCATATGCGTTTTTTCCATTTTTGAAGGCGACCCTCCAGAAAATTTGACAAAAAAGTGAAAAAATAATTTGTTTTCCAGATTTTGATGCAGATTTATGGAGAATCGATCCACAAATCGTTTAAGGTTATCCGCTCAAGAATCGGATGAAAATTGTCTTAAATATAGCTATCGCGGGGCCCATATGCGTTTTTTCCCATTTTTACACATCTTAAACAAATAATTCTGGTAAAAAATGTACCAACCTCCACATAAATCTTATTTATTTATAAAAACGTTGCATTGATATCACAGAGTACTGCGAACAAAGAACAATCCAATAATGGTTTTGCAATCAATCATGATAAATGATTCAAATGATTGTAACGACCTTCGCGGAACAGCGAAAAAGGCCAAAATTCACGGTTTGGCTTAAATCTCTTCAGTCATCGGACCTAAATATGAATTTCATTCAGAGCCTTTGAAAAATATTTATTTAAGCTCACACTGAAAGAGTCTCTCGATAGATACTCTTCTCGATGAAAGACTCTTAAAAAGTTTTAATAAAAAAATAAAACTAACAGAGACTTTCCTCTCTGTTGTGAATATGCGGCCTAAAGCAGACGCGGAAAATATTTAACGGATTCCCTTGTGACAAAATCAATAAGTAAAGGAAAGTTCAACCAGAACAGCTGTTTCTTCACAAAATTGTAAACAAGAAGAGACTCCAAAAATAGGACACAGAAGAGCGGCCAAAAGAGCGCCGGAAAATGTCGGAAAATGGGAGAGAGAAGAGAAAGCATTTCGCTGGCAATCCGATTGGGGAAATCCGAATGGGAACATGTTTGCCCCATTCAGTTGTTCGCAGCTCTTCATCATTGGCGGCTCGTGGCACGGAAAACGCGAAAAGCGGAAAATTTGTAGCCGCCCCGACCGCTCACACATACAACCGCAGCCCGTGACAGTGTGTTCCATATGTGTAATCACAGAACGTTCGCAGCCCCGCCGCCGCTAAGAGCAAAAGTTTATATATAGAAAATTTCAACGCAGGCATCTGAGGGAAAACTAAAATACGAAAATAAATTACGAAAATCGTGGCCACTTTTCAGAAGCGAATGAATAGATTTGGGTTTTTGGCTGGCTACGTGGCCTGCAGGCGATAAACGCCGTTATTATTATTATTACTCGCATTACGCATACGCTCCGTGTACCGAGTCTACCGTGTTTGTGTTGGTGTCAGTGCCGCAGAGAGCGAGAAGAAACGCAAAAAAAAAAAGGAAAATAAGAAGAGGAAACCCCGTCAGTGCTGCTGGCGTCGCAGTCGACGCTGCGACTCCACCCAAAATTGTATATCAATTTTGAAGGGTTTTCCGAGTGCCGTTCTTGACCAAAAACGGGGCCAAATGCTCCGATAGTTTATACAACCAATCCCCACCAGTGAGAATCGACGAAGCACAAAAAACAACAGGGAAAATGCGAGAAACATGTTTGGTTTTTGCGAAAAGTTGATGACACATTTCGCTGTCATTTTGACCGCATTTTTTCTCTCCCAGCCGATATTGTTGTTGTTGATTTGCGGGCCGCATGGCGGCTTTATCCCCTCATCCTCCACCATTTTGGCGGAGGCCTCGGCGGCGGATGAAGCGTAAGTTATCAGTCTCCCAGTCCCCCCATAGTCTGTTAGTCACTAGAATATACGCCCTAGAACTGGATGCGTCCAGTCGAAACAACTAAATTAAGGGGCGTGTTCCAATCATCCTTGTTGCCACCGTAGTCACACCACCCCCAGGCCCCCACCCACTGTGTTCGCCTCGTTGTCAACGTCGCTCGTTAATTTTTTTTAACATTTTATGCTAATTTCCTTGGCAGGCTTCACCCCCCACGTGTTTTTTTTTACGAAAAAATTCCCCAGGGTACTAAAGGGGCCTAATGGACTAGTACTCACTCATGGCTGTAATAAAATAAACACACACTTACTCATACAATGTCCATATTATACTTCTCTCATATAATAATACATATAGAATCTTTATTCTCTTAGCATTATAATAGTTTTATATACAACCCTATAAATATCCAGATAGCTTGTTTATCTTAGACCTGACTCTTTAGATTTCGATTATGTCTAAAGATTATAATTTATTAGAGATTAAGATTATGTTTAGTATTTATTATCAAGTAGACCTTTAGATAAAAGCCTAATAATCCCTTTTTTAAGGTACTCCCCTCGTCGAATCCCCATTCCCAATTTCCTATCATCACATATTGCGTGTTTTGTCTTCTGTTCCCAACATTCTTTCTACTTAATTTTGCGTCAGCATTTTCTACCTACCGTTACTCATTTCCACCATTTTCCCTTCTCGATGTCTTGGGTTCTAGCTCGAGGGTCGCGGCATTTCACATTTTTGTTTTGGGCCCCAAACGTTTCATAAAGTCACATCAAGAAATTATTAGTCTGACATTCTGACTGGGCTAGGGGATGCGAACAGGTACTACGTACGTACGGTTGGTAGAAACTCTGGCGCCTATTTAGGCTTAATGAATATTTTATTGGACATTTTGTTTGGACCGCTAAACACGCTGCCGAAAGTTGTGCAATTAATTTAAGTAAACGTGGGTCACGCGGTCGCATAATGTATGTATGTATGGTTTGCGGTATTTATTTAATTTTTCTTTAAACGGCCCATGAATAAAATATTATCAAATTGATTTTAAATAGATTTTTTCAAGAAATAAATATATGTACATATATACATATGTATATAAAGCTGCAGCTGTTTTCTATAGGGAATATCATTTGATTAAACAACAATAAAAGCGAAATGAGTCACAAATATATCCAATTAGCAATCTCTAAGGCAGAATCATAAATAATCAAATATTAAAGACCCCTAATAAAAATCTCCTAACAAAATTAGCGCAACTTAATAGCCAGAGAATGGTGGCCTGGACCGAAAATCATTCGTTCGCCTTACAAAAATAATAATAAATGGGATGTCTGAACTCGGCGCAATGCGGCATTAACAGAATATGGCCATTTAAGCCCATGGGAACAGTAATAAAAAATCAATCTAAATTGTACGAGCAAAACAATGTTGAAAATTTCGTTTGGCACAAAAACACCACAAAATGTGCACGTTTTATATTCCGGTCCGAACGAAAACACATTTTCATTGGCAGACAGATTAGATTGTAGTTGTTGTCGAACGTGGATAACAAGGGACGTCTACAACAATGACAGAAGAGATACTAAAAAGCAATGTGGCCAAATTAATTGAACAACCCCTGGATCTAAAAAAAAATAAATAAATAGAGACCCTATACAGTGGATATTGGTTACAAAAAATTTATATTATTACAAGAGTGATTATGAACTTTGTATTTCATTATTAGAAGTATTTTTAGTGTGACCAAAACAGTATATTTTTGTAAAACTAGCCAACTGACTCCTCCTCCATGTCTTAAACTATTAATTCAACCTATCACACATTATTTTTAATTATTTTCTATACAAGTAATTTTATTTACTGTAGCAACAACAAACATTTTTTCGAGCACCGACCGGGCCAAAGCACTCGAGTGGGTGGCCATCAGTGTGTGTGTGAGTGAGTGAGTGTGCCAGCGGAATAACTGTGTCAAAGGCAACGCCGGCGACAGAAGTGAAATGAAAATGGCCGAAGCAGCGCCGCCGGCGGCGTCGGCGACATCAAAAGCCACATCAAGAGCGAAAGAGAGCGAGAGATGAAATAGTGCGGTCATGCGCAGGCATCGCTTATATTAAATGTTTATAATAAATGCTGGAAACCCAAAATCTAACGCCTGCCAGGCCATCGTATTTCCCTAGGAGCTGCAATTTTAATTAGGTTCCAAAGCCATCAAATTATTCACGTGCAAAGGTCGTCTGTCAAATACTAGCAGATCAGTTGGCATAAAATTTGAAATATTGGAAGCACTTAATCAGTTCATGCTTGGGTCTTGTGATTTGATTTCGGAAATTTAATTCAGTAGGGTTTGTTGATCCCTACTGTTAACAGACATTATTTCTTGAAGAGGTTATGTCTAAAGGCTTATAAATTTTAAAATTTTGTTTAATTGTTTACTTAAATATGGGGATAACAAGAAGGGAATTTTTAAAAACTTGTTTTTGTTTTTATAAGAAAAATATACATATTTATGAGAATTGGTATTGAAAATTCCCATCCACTTTTTATAGATTTTATTTCTCATCAAAAACTAAACGTATAATGGTTTTATTTCAACATAAATTTTATAAAGAATTTCCCAATCACACCGTATTTTTAGTAGTTTTATTAGCCCTGTTTAAAGATACATGTATAACCTTTTAATATACAGTACAAGTATTGAACAACTTTTAAGATTTTCCCATTAAAACCAGTTGTTTATTTGAAAATTTTAAGACATTTTAAACAAAAATTTAGTGTACATAGTAAATTTAATTTTATGTATCGGTAGTAAATTAAGTTTATATATTCGTAAGTTACTAAGTTGTAATTAGTTAGTAATTACTATTACTATTACTAAAATATTAAGTATAATAATAAAATAAATTACCTATTTATAAACTTGTACTAATTTGTTGCATGAAAATCATGTATACCTGAGGCTTAACTTTATTAACCAAGTTAGTAAAAAGTTCTCTAAAAACTTTTCCAAATCGTTCTTAACTTATTAAATTCTAATCGCTCCCATTAACTAATCAAATCACACGACGGCACGCTATAAGCTAAGAGAGGACTAACTTAAGAGTCCAAACGACAAATAGGAAAATTTTAATATAAAAGAGAGGAAAACTGCGCACGCAGGCACTTGTTGATTTCTCTCGACCAGCTGTTTGTGGTGAGACGCTGGCGTCACTGGCCATAGGACGACATTGTCCCCTCGCCCAGGTGCGAACACACCTTTATCGTTAACCCCTGCACGCCTCTGGCAAACATATGCGATAATTGAATTAGTGGAGCTCGGACAGGTGGTTGACACTTCGCAGGAGCAATTGTGGCGACAACAAAGAGTTGATTACTCGTGTCTTTCAGAGACAGAAATTGTTTGACAAAATCTGGGATTTTATTTGATTGAAAATTTACTAAAGAAATAATTGAATTTAAAGAAATTATAAAGCTCTATTCCCTTTATCCTTTATATATTAATCCATGAAAGTAATATTTTCCAACGTTGCGTATACGTAATATTTTAACAAATGCTAGTTTCTAGACTAGGCGTATACTTAATATTCATTGAACACCACTGCGTATACTTAATATTGTTGATTAATTATTATTCTTTATATACTAAATAATCAAAATTTTCCTCTTATTTTTCCAGCGTTGGAAAATGGGCCACCAAATTTGGCGACGAGCTGTTCCTGCTGGCCCAGAAGATCACCAAGTCGCAGGAAATCAAGGAGAAGTACAAGGAATACAATGCCCGTGTCGAGCTGAAGAACGGAACCGAGCTGATCCAATCCATCACCGATAATGTGGGCAGGATGCTGGCCCGTAAGATGGACGCGGTGCGGTGCATCCAGGAGCGGGCGGAGAGTGTGAACGAGAACTTCGAGTTCAACCGTACGTGGGCGGAAACAAACTTCACGTACATCTCCAGCAAGTACTCGACCTTTAATGGCAACAGTTCCGAAGAGCTGCAGCCGAACGAGGCCGAATACGAGTATATGTACCGGAAGATGGACCTGAACCAGGACACGCACTTCTACAACACACCGGTGGATACGGAGCACAGCTCGGTGCATGTGCCCTCGAATGTCTGGGACCGATCGGAGCGGGTGCTAAAGACGATACAGTGGTCAGAGCAGTTGGACGAAGTGTTTCGCCAAAACTACCAATCCGATCCGGCTCTATCCTGGCAGTACTTCGGTTCGGATACGGGCATTCTGCGACACTACCCGGCAGCCCAGTGGACGGATTCAAGGGCGAACAGGCAGGATGCCGACACCTACGATTGCCGCAAGAGATCCTGGTACATTGAGACGGCCACCTGCTCCAAGGACATTGTCATTCTGTTGGATCATTCTGGTTCGATGACGGGATTCCGCCATCACGTGGCCAAGTTCACCATCCGAAGCATACTGGACACCTTTTCGAACAACGATTTCTTTACCATTTTTCGCTACGCGGCGGATGTGGAGGACATCATACCCTGCTTCAATGGAGCCCTCGTCCAGGCGACACCCGAGAACATTGAGGTCTTTAACGAGGCAATCGAACATCTCGATGATCCCGAAGGATACGCCAACCTCACCCTGGCCTACGACAAGGCCTTCCGCCTGCTCCGGACCTACTACGACAGTCGGCACTGCAACACTAGCTCCACCTGCAACCAGGCCATCATGTTGGTCACCGACGGTGTGGCCGGGAATACCACCGAAGTTTTTCAGAAATACAACTGGGGCAACGGCGAGAACGGCACATCAGAGATGAACGTCCGCGTCTTCACTTACCTGCTGGGCAAGGAGGTGACCAAGGTCCGCGAGATCCAATGGATGGCCTGCCTCAACAGAGGTTATTACTCCCACGTCCAAACCCTCGACGAGGTACATGAGGAGGTGCTCAAGTATGTCGATGTGATTGCTACGCCCCTGGTTTTGCAAAACGACAAGCATCCGCCCACCTGGACACACGCCTTTACAGACAAGACGGTGGGTTTTTATATATTTTTTAAAATTATATTTTTAATAAATTAATTTTAAATATTTTCAGTATGATCCTAAGGAAACTGATACGAAACCCCGCCTTATGATAGCCGTGGGCGTGCCCGCTTTTGATCGATTCTATCGCCACGAGAACAGCACGAACCGGAGGGCACGTCTGTTGGGAGTGGCTGGAACAGATGTGCCCGTGGAAGATATAGACAAGCTGACATTGCCCTACAAGGTTGGAGTTCTATCTGGAGAAGATTAAAAACAGTAACATCTATTAATATTTTATAGCTGGGCGTCAATGGCTACTCTTTTGTGGTGTCCAACAATGGCTATGTTCTTCTCCATCCTGACCTGCGGCCCCGTGGAGTAAGTTTTCTTGATCTATTTTAGTTCCTCTCTAAAAGTTTCTCTCTATAACTCAACCAGGAAAATGGAGTCATCAATCCAAACTATAACAGCATTGACTTTACGGAAGTGGAGCATCTCTTTGAAGACCAGAGTCCTCGCGAGCCTGGAGACTCCATTCTGATGATTCGCAACGCAATGGTGCGGCATGAGAGTCAAGAATTCAAGGATATCTCTGTGAAGTTTCACTACGACAAGATGCGCCGTGTATCTGAGGAGAAGCAGGACTACTTCTTCGCCCCCCTGCCCAATACTCCGTTTACCTTGGGTATTACGATGCCCAGTGAATATGGCAAGACCTGGATAAAGGTGGGTGAGGAGGTCCTCAAGAACAAGCACATGAAGGTCAATATATCGGATTTCTTCGTGGGCGAAAACTGGAAAGTTCATCCCGATTGGTAAGTAATACATCTCCCTTTTAATTTAGATATATTTTTTATAATTTATAATTCAGGGTCTACTGCAAATATCACTATCTGGAAGGGCATGAGTTCAACAATTCCGAGGCAGAGTTGCGTGCGTTCCTGGGCAAGATGGTCAAAAGCGATTGGAAATGGTCCGAGCAGTACGACGAGGACGAATCTGATAGGAATGGAAACATTGATTGTAAGTATTTCTTTTCTCACAATTTTTTTTATAAAATTATATTTAATTCTCCCCATTTTTTGCAGTGAACTGTGGTCGCAAGACTCTCAATGACGACGCCTACTACTGCAACAAGGAGCTGGTTCAACTGCTCATTTTCGACGCCAAGGTGACCAATTCCAGCTACGGCGAGTGGCGGTTCGAAAACGAGGAGGAGAAGAGGCTAATCCAGCGCTTTGGTGCCGATCTTCGGTTTGTGGCCACCATGAGTGGCCTCACCCGCTGGCAGTTCATCTTCGGGGAGGTGGAAGTGGAAACGGACAGGGAGTTCGGTGACTATCACAAGACGGCCATCGATGAGACCTGGTACAAGAGCGCCATCCTGCAGCATCACGAGGATCGCACTGAGAGCTTTGTGTACTCGGTGAAGTACTACGACGATCCCATGGAGAACAGCGAACTGAAGGTCACCGCCTCCCATGCGATCTTCCCGCGAGACGGTGGCAAGGAAGCGCCCGCCTGCGTGGTGGGCTTCCAATTCTCACACGCCCTCATGTGGGAGCAGTTCTTCGCCATTACCTCTGTGGATCATGTAAGTGGAGGTATCTGTTTCCTTGAGATTTTATTTAGAAATTTCTTCTTAGTGTGATGGCTGCATGCCCATCTGCACAAATGATGATGTGGACTGTGTGGTCATAGACAATAACGCGTACATCGTAGTTGGCCAAAACATCAACACCACTGGCAAGTTTTTCGGTGAGTTCCACGGCGATGTGATGGCTGCGATGGTGGAGAGGGGCATCTTCCTGAGCATCGAGGTCTACGACTATCAGTCCCAGTGCAAGGAGGAGCCAGTAACAAATAGCGAAGGTCATGGACTGCTTCATGTGGGTGTCTATATTATTATTTAATGAAGGATCTTATAATATCCTTTTGATAATTGCAGCCCCTTCGTTTATTAAGCTTAGGCTGGAGATGGGTTGTGGCCCAGATCTTCTTCCAATATCAAAGAGTTCAGTGGTGGGTGGATGGTGCTCCATGTAAGTCTCATCTAATAATAATCTCTCAAAAAGAAATGTTTAGTTAACATTATTTTATTATAGTTATGGAATACACTGACGAAATAGAGGATGAATACGTTGCTGTGGGTGATGGCGGCAAGGCCTCGGCATCCAAGCCCAAAAGTGATGATGACGACGAGGACGCCCTATTCGATGAACCCGAACCAGATCCGGTTTACAAGCCCTGCGACATGCGCCGCACACTGTACGTCCTGCAGCCCAACTCCCTGGTGAGCATCAATGACCAAGTAGAGGCGCCATCGACGAGGCCTTTCTTCGTCAAGAAGATACCCAACTCGAACCTGGTGCTGGTGGTGGTCAATGTCCTGATGCCTTCGCGCAGTGTCCGCCTGACCACGGAGCCCCAGCGCATGAACTATCAGACTAACTTCCCCTGTTACAAGCTCAACATGAGTTTCTACGAACGGCGACGCATCGAAGAGTGCTATACAATGCACGATGAAGTAAGTATCAATTTAAAAATTATTTTTAAAATATTATATAATTATTTTCTTATATCCGAATAACAGGAGGAACTGTACACCTATTGCGGCAAAGCCTCGCGGCTGGGTTTGACGCTTCAGCTACTGCCGCTGACCATGATTTTGATGTTTTACTTGACGCGCTGCTTTATGCGTTAGAGGATATATACACACAACTACTTATATATTTTACAACTACTATATGCGACTACGATCGGTTTGTTGTTTATACTAGATGAATATATATTTTATTTTGTTTTCTAGAGATTCTGAACTATGCCGTAGTCCAAAATATATGTCGAATGTTTAACAACTACGCTAAAAACAAACAAAAAAACAGGCACAATCTTCGGAACTAAAAACCACTTTTAGCAACAAAAACTTCAACTCTTAGACTTAAAACCGCGCCAAAAAAAAACTTAAGGAAACTGGTCTTACTTTATTTTAAAAAATAAATAAAAAAAGATGTAGAAATGTTGATGGATGCTGCTTCTGAAGATGGCGACTTGAAGACCAATGAAACCCTTTTAAACTAATGAGTTTCCCCAGCCGCTCCATCAATAGTCAGTTTCATAGTGAATTAACGAAAGATAAGTTTTTATATTTGTACCTACCTAATGCCTATAGCTAAAAAAAACCCACATTTTATTGAATATTTTGATAGTTTAATATGGTAAAACCAATGCCAAATATTAAAAAAAAAGGAAAGATAAAATAGTAAAATATAGCAAAAATAATTCGAATGACAATTATTTTTGTAATTTTATAAAACTTAGTTGAGTTTTTACAACAACAATGACTTATAAATTTGATAGTAGGAGTAAAACGATGACAACAACAACAAAGCACACAGACAGACGCACTTATATTATGAATATTTCGTCCTTTGTCCCAATTGAAAATATGGATAAATTAAACCATTTGTTAAATTTTGTGTACAATTGTTCACATATGTATACACAGCTCGTTTTGTATAAAACTAATATAAAATGTTGAATGTTTATATAGCAAAGAAAAAGTGTTTCCTCCGTTGTTTTGTAATTTGTAAAAAATTGTACGGTTTTTTAATGGAAAACACCTTTAAAACGCAACAGAAGTTTAAGAAACCACAACTATAGGACCACCTGTAAAGTATGCAATACTTTTTGAGTTTTTAGTTCAAATCCCGCCTAGTACATTTAGTTAAAGCTCCTTTCTTAGCCTTACTCTTAGTCGGAAAACTTTAGCAAGATTTACACGACGATGAGACGGAAAAACTAAAAACATAATAAATACCAAACCTAAATGCCTTTGTATCGTATTTCGAATGTGGAAACAATTTATGAACTTTATGAATTTATGCATAGAAACAAAGAAAAAAAAACAAAAAACATAATATTATGAATGATGAAGACAATTTAAATTAAGATTATTTTCAAGGAAATGAAATCAAAATGAGGACGGCGTGTTTATGCTGAGCTAGGAAGAATGGAAAATTGAAATGAAAACAGTTAACTATTAAATGTAATTTTTTAAACAAACTGAATTACTAATATAATATTTATTTTTTGGAGTGTTTAAACGTTGTAAAATGTAACAAAAAAAAACAAAAAACGGAAATATTATGAAATTTAATCTAGTCATAATGGTATACGTGGATTCTCTGCAATTTCATCGTCCATATGAGTTTCTAACTCCTTTCTAATCAAACTTGTTTCAATTTCGACACGTATACACATTATAAAAAAATGTCCACTACAAATTAAAAGAAAAATGAAAACTATAACCATTTTAAATTTCCTTAGCCAAATAAATGATCTAACCGTCGAGTAATAAATGGGCACATTTTTCATTTGGGAGAGGGAATATACTATTTAAATACTAGATACCATTTAATGATGGTGGCACGCACACCAACATACTTCGATCCATACCACCATTTTTGATCGAAAATTCAAAATGGCTTCCGCCGGTGTTATCGAACTTGAAGCGATAAATCCATAAATTAGTGTGGCCGGTCAGTGAGAAAGAATATCACTAAAGAGATGGCACCATTTTTTTTTTAATTCAAAAAACCTAAACTTTAATTTATTATTTAAAAATTTATGTATTATGACAAAAGGAAAATCTTTTAATTTTCAAACTCAATCTTCTATAAACGTTCACATTTCTGACAAACAATATTAAAAAAAAATGAAAAAATCTCAAAAGTGATAACAGATTCAAACAATAGATTTCCACCTCGATCAGGGGCGACTTCGGTGTGGTGAGTTCGCCTCCGAGTGGTGAGGTTCTGCGGCTCCAATGCGCTAGAACGTGATGGAGGAAGGAAGACAATAGGCGGGAATAGAAAAACCGCGAAAAGCAATACTCGGAAAAGCCAACCGAAATCACAAGTTGTACAAATTGGCTGCGGATTCGATAGTGAAAACCTTTATTGCCATTGATAATTAGGGGCGCAAACCAACCCAAGTGAGTGAGACGGAGGAAACCGGCTGGCTTTCTGCCTTTACAGCTGATTACAAACTTTTCCAGCTGCCGCCATGGCCAGCAAGCGGCTGATGCTCGAAGAGGAGGAAGAAGAAGATTTGTGCGGTTCCGAGAATGACGAGCAGCTCCAGGAAAATCCATCGGCCAAGCGCCACAAAAGCGGAGCCCTGGAGACTCTGATGCATCGCCTACTTAAACGTCAAATTCCGGCCGCCGGATCTGGGTGCAACACAATCCTTTCGCCCATTACCGAGCTCTCGCAGAACATGCGGTGTACAACCTTGGAGCCAGGAGGCGGAGCAACGCCCAAATCCACTCAGCGTAGCTCCAAGACCCTCAGCCACTTCAACAGTGTATCGTCCAGGACGCTGAGCAGTTTCGACAGCGTGTCCTCCAGCTACGATTCGGGAAACTCACTGGACGACGAGTACATGGCAATGTTCGAGCTGGAAGCCGAAGAGGATCCAAAGCTGGGGCTGCCCGGGGACCTGGAGCTGCTCATCAGTGGGCAACTAAAGACCTATCAGTTGCCCGACGCCGAGGAGCCTTCAAAACGGTCCGTACGTCGCTGCCTGAGCATGTACCCATGTGACCAGCAGCGCCAGGCTGAGGGAGGAAAGGAGGAGTATCCCAGCACAGAGCACCTGGGCCACAAATCCCCGGGGCGGAAGCTGCAAAGAAAAACGCTCTCCATGAACGATGCCGAAATAATGACTGCCTTGGGCGACGAACCCGAGTTGATTGGAGATCTCAGCCGGCCGTGTGCCCTACCGTGCTTGCTCTCCGGCACACGACACCGCGACCTAAAGACGATATCGAGTGACACCCTGGCCCGTCTGATGCAGGGTGATTTTGCCGAGCAGCTGGGCAGCAAGGGAGGCTACCAGATCATCGACTGCCGTTATCCGTATGAATACCTGGGCGGTCATATACGCGGAGCCATGAACCTCTATACCCGAGGACAGATCCAGGATGCCTTTCCCAGCTTCGCCGAGCAGCTGCAGCGAACCGAAGAGCGTCGCATCTTTGTTTTCCACTGCGAGTTCTCCTCGGAGCGCGGACCTAAGCTATTGCGCTTCCTCCGGAGCAACGACCGCAGCCTGCACGCCCACAACTACCCGACTCTGGACTACCCGGAGTTGTATCTACTCCACAATGGCTATAAGGAGTTCTTTGGGCTGCATGCCGAGCTCTGCGAACCGGAGGGCTATGTGCCAATGCTGGCACCTGACCACAACGAGGAGTTCCGCTACTTCCGGGCCAAGACCAAGTCCTGGCAGTGCGGCGAAGGCGAGGGCGGTGACAGTGGCATCGGTGGGGGCGGTGGAGGCGGTGGAGGCGGTGGCTCCCGCACACTGAAAAAGTCGCGCTCTCGCCTGGTCTACGCCGAGTGATGGAATCCAATCTCCAAAAGAAAACCAAATACTTATCTAGGACGCAAATTTTTAGTTTCGTTCCGTTGCGTTGTCCAAAGTGTTATAGTCCTTTAGATTTAATCTATGTTGTATTCCGTACTTCAGTTATTAGTTCAGCGTTCAGTGGAAAGGATAGGGAAAGTCTAAGCAATGGGAACAGAAACGGAAAATGAAAGTTGTTCTCTAGTCAGTGAAAGTTAAAATTTCGAAATTTCATCTAGTTTGTATTTTTTGTGTTTCTGGCATTTTTTTTTTTTGGTTAAGTTAACAAAGTTATTCATATTTAATTTAAATTAATAAAAAAAAACAACAAATTTATAAAAATATTTAAACAATAAGTTAAAAAAAAAAAGGAAACCTCAACAAGAAGTCATTTAAGTTTAATTATCTCACCAAGTAGAAAGGTAAGATTGATTTAAGAATTAAGTTTAATTTTAGGAAAAAGACTTGAAGATTTGTGATTAATCCATTACCAATTATAAAATACTCTAAATATATTATATATTTTTAATTTCACAAAATTACTCTGAATAACATAAACAGTATATATTATATTTTAAAGAATTAATAAAAATTTAAACAATATTTGAGCATTTAAACAATACCTGTTAAGGACCCCCAGCAGTAAATAAAAGAAGAGCTATTTAGAGAATCCACTCTTAAAACATTTTATTCTCAAAAGTTTCTATAAGTCTATAATTCGAGATACAAAAAGGTTAAATTCAAAAAGCCTTAAAATAATACTGAATAACAAAAAAATTAATGAACATTTTTAGAAAACCAAAAACAAGAAATCAAATCTTAATCCTCGGAAGCTGCTTCGAAGGGCGCCTTGCAGCCAGCCTTTTCATAAAAGTCCAGTGGCAGGGGATCCTCATGGTCAAAGTAATCCGAATCGCGGGAACAACACGGTCCCAGCTCTAGCTTGACCATCTTCTCCCGCCAGAAATCCAACAGCTCCCGCTTGAGAACTTCATCCCGAAGCGTCACAATCCATTCATTAAAGCCCCACGGGCTGTAGAATCCCGCATCGCCCTTGTACTCTTGCAGGAGCTCCGCCGCCTTGTCCTGATCCTCCTTCGAGGGTGTGCCGTCGAACAGTAGCTTCCAGATGATGTCCCTGGCGGCCGTAGCCACCTTATCTACACTGGCTTTGTGCACCTCGTCCGGCACGATGATGTTGACCAGCACAAATCGTTTCATTAAGGTGCGGTATTCCTCGAGAGGATTTTCCTTGGTCAGCACGGCTTCAAACTGTCCGGTTAGAGCTGCCGTTTCGTCCGGAGTACGCTCTCCGGGTGTGGTGGGCTCCTGAGACGCGGGCTCCAGTGAAGCTTGATGTTGCAGGGCCGCACGCACCTTAAGGCTAGCCGCGAACGGGGCAGAGCACCCGGCGTGAGCGTAGAACTCTAGCGGTGGCTCATCATCGCCGTCAAATAGATCACAGTCCCGAGACCAACATGGTCCCAGCTGGTTCTTGACAATGGATTCACGCCAGAAACCGAGGAGCTCCCTCTTGAGAATCTCATCCCGCAGCTTCACAATCCACTCGTTGTAGGGCCAGGGCTCGTAGAAGCAGGCATCACTGCGGTACTGTTCCAATAGATCTGCCGCCTTCTTCTGCCGTGACTCATCCGCAGCCGTTGCATCGTCGAAGAGCAGCTGCCAAACGGCTTCCCGAGCAGCTGCAGCGGTGCGTTGGAAATTCCCTTTGGTGACATCATCATCGACTATTTCGTCGACCTGAACTCGCGTCTCGATCAACTTCTGATAATCTTTAACTGGATCAGCTAGGCCGATGGTGAAGTCATTCTGTCAAACATTCCAATCGTTATTATTGTTTACTAATAATGAAAGAATGTTAGTTTTATAAAAATACCTGTGCATCCTCTGCTGAAGCGGCCATAGTTTCTCCAGGAGTGTCCTGTGCTTTTCTCTTGGGCATTAGCTAGGGTATTATGAAAAGGTTACTTTGTTTTTTAAAATTTTAAGGTATTTTAATTGTGATGAGTTGATGAGTCTTGTTTTGGTCGGCGTTTAATACGAAAACCTATTAAATGAGTCATCATCGAGTAATTGTATAGATCACCATTATATCAGTGTGACCACACTTAAGAGAACAAAATTTAATTTCAATATTTAAAAATATATAACAATATATAATTTTTTTTGTACTCCATAAAGATAATTTAATAACATTTTTAAGATATGTTTAATTTGTTATGAAAACTTTTTTAATAAACACGTTTGATTTTTAGATAAAATGAGCAGTATAAATGACTGTAAATAAATTTTTTTATTTTGATTATTTTATTTATTACTTTTGTTTATTTTTTTTCTATTACTAAGTCGATAATATATAGATTTCACTATTTTGTTTTTGTGATAAGTTCCCCCCTAATCCTTCAGTGTTTCCACACCAAATTCAAATTCGAAATGCCCATCAAGAGCTTTGGTATTTTGTGGCTAACCAAATACAGCCACACTTGGCACAGATTTTTCGGGACAATTGTTAGCAGGTCGCTGAATGTTCTTCGATTAAACCTTGACATCTAGGAAATCTGTATTAATTGTGTAATTACGGCGTCGTTTTAAAAGCATATCTTATTCGCGTGCGCCCATAAAACAGCTCCTCGAGCCAGATCCATTGATATCCGCTCGTCTGCTGCGTTTTGCCTGTGTGTGTGCTTGTGCTTGTGAGTGTGTGTGACAAAGAAGTTTTGAGGTTAAGCAGTCGCTCACGGCAGACACGAATATAGCGTTAATGTCGCCCAAAACCAATCAATTGCATATAATATTCAGCATAAAACACTATTAACACAAAGGACAAGTGTCAGGTAGAAGGAGAGGCAGGACGACGTCTGGTTGAACAGTCGGTGGAATTGTGCATTCGTGGAAATTCATAGTGTCTGTGAGAGAGTATCTCGGTGACTATAACTGTGACTGTGTCGGTGTCTGTGTCTGTGCACGAAAGGCAACGAAAAAGCTTCAAAAGTTATACTCAAATGTGTATGGCAATTGTGGTAAGTGAATGTGAATGTGGGGTCTGGGTCTGGGTGTGGGTTATGGTTGTGGGTGTTGGCAGCAAAATAAAAAAAAAACCACAAGACTTTCAATTCAAAATCCAGTTACTGATAATCGGGAATCGGTGGAATTTTTGGCCAACTTTTCTATAAGGAATATATGTATAATGGCTAGGTTAATACCGCCTATTACCAGAAAATTCCAACCAAAAAAAATAAAATTGATGAATTTTTTACTTTCGTTGGCCCAGTTACCTGGTTAGGTCAGAGTTCACTAATTGCCTATGAAATGTCAGTAGCAGCTGACCCAGTTTATCAGTCCAAAGTGGAACTAGGACAGGCCACTAGGAACTGCGTTTTTGGCCCAGAAAATGCTCTACAAATTGTGATGATTTTTTTTTTGCTTTTGACCGTCACGTAGTCTAAAAGATATATCTTATCTGTTGGAAGAGACAGATTTATCTAAAAACCATACCACAGAGAGAGTGCTATTTGAAAGCAACATCAGTTTCCATTTCATCCAAAGCTGAAGAGGATGCATACAAATTTTGGTAAAAAATCAAAAAAAAATCATTATCTTTAAAATATTCCAGGTATCTCTACCTCTGATATGCTTTATCTCTCCAACTCTGTCATGGTCAGATACTTGAACTTTTATCTATATGGCAGTGTATACTATTAGATTTAATTTAAAGATAAAGCATATAATTGCGTCAATTGGAGTATCCATTTTGGAAAGTATTTATTTTAAATCCCAGCCCTTATCTTAACCCCTCTCTTAACCTTTTCTCATAAAAGCCCCTTGTCCTTGAAAAAGTTCAATGATTTTGCAAACAAAACACACTCACACTGTCTGGGTGGTTCTCTTATAATGCCTGTTTGTTTATTTTTAATAAAAATCGAGAGAGATATATAGAGATTTTATATGAAAGTAATATTACTTTGAGAGATAATTAAAGGAAATATTGAAATATTAATAAATAAAATAGGAATATTCCTTAGTATATTTCTCCTTTTAATAAAATTCCTTTTATTTATAGATCTTTTCTATATGTACATATGTTTATTTTGAAGAAATTTTCCATCTATTTCCATTTATTTTTTACTGTACATTAGTTTGTATGCAATAATTGCCTTTTTCTGGGCTTATCTGCTTTCAGCCAGTTTCTCAGGCCAATGTGTGCCATATTCCCTCTTCAGAAGAAAGCCCCAATGAAGAAGAACGTCTTTTTTAAACTGTCTTCAATTAGTTGCGAGGTCATTTGGATTTATTGAAATTTATTAGAGTTCAATTAATGGCTCCCTTTTATAAATCAACTTCCCTGCTTATACTTATATATATGGTTATATATATGTATATATCTGCTGTCACGTTTTGGCAGCTTGTGTGCAGAATGTTCACCAATACTTGTCATTTCTAAAAATATACTGAAAACAAACAACAAAACATGCAATACGATTTACAAACGTCAGTGAGGGGCCGTGGGCCGATAGGGGGATGGCCCAACCACCCAACCACCCTACCACCCACCGCCCAACCACCAATAGATTCTATATTTAGGTTCGATAAATGCTGGCAGGCTTGTCCTCAATAGTTTTGGTGGAAAACCAACTCAAAATAATAAGCTAGTCTTTTCTCTTAGCCTTGAAAGACATGCAACCGAGTTATAGAGTAATATTTTAATAATTGCAATAACAAGATTTTTTTTTTTATTATCAAAACAAACAACGTCAGCAGCTCTCACTCCCCCAACCCCCTCCTCGACTGGATGACGCATAAGAAACCCAACAGCGTCATGAAAAAAATTCAACCACTTGGCAACTAAAAACACGGATATATTCTAGCTTCCTGTGGAAGCTTCCTCCATTTCCGGCTCATCTCCATTATGGTGAAATGACTGCAGGACGAAAAGGACATTTAAAAATCAATAATTCGCAGACTTGGAGGAGGTTTTCTAACAATTCCCCATTTGTTTAGTCTCTCTAATCGTATATACATATGTATATATTTTTTTTAATTTCTTGTTTATTAAAGCCCTTGTCTGGGTTATGTCTGGGATATGTGGTCTGTTCAGCACTTTCTTAGCTTTCTTTGTTGACACCTGTGGCCACGAGCCTAGTCGAATTTCAGTTCCCCAGATTACATTTCTTGAAATTCCCAGCCACGTGGGATTGGAATTGGAGAATGGCAGTACCTTGAACTCTGTCTGGGTTCTCGAGTGGAGGAGAGTGTTCTTCCCTTATGGTTCCCTTTCTTCCTGCTGGAGTTCTTTGTTTCTGAGAGGTCCTTTTGTCTGGTCCTTGTCTCAAAAAAAAAGGAGTCCAATCAACTTTACCCTTAGAAGTACTCCTCCAGCTGCTGGGTTATAATATTTTTAATATAATAATATAGTAGAGTTATAATAATACCCTTTTAAGATCAAGATATGATCGATTATATAGATATAGATATTATTCATGGAAATAAAACCTCCTCTTAAGATAACTACTGATTAGATAAAGAAAAAGGCAACTAAACCAAGTTTCAAGTGCTTATATACTTATCAGACTTTTTAAAAAAGTATACTATTATTATGTTATATAGTATAAACTATAAACTATAGCTATGCACATACATTAATTGTGGTATTGGTTGGAAGTGGTTTCAACTGGTTGAATTATTGTATTTTTCAGATAAGGTTACCAACTTAAGTTACAGCTAGCCTTGATTAGCATATACATATAGTATATATTAAGCTTTGTTTATTTTCATTAAATAAACCCTGACCTTGAAGAGTTACTCAAACTAAGAATTATAAACTTTTTTTCATTTGAAACAATTATTTTATCCCCTTTTTGGATCAAAGCTGATAACAAAGAGCTTGTTTGATGCCATTTTGTTTATTTAAAATATTTATTTAATGTTTGTATGTATTTTTATATAATATATAAACAATATATGTATATAGTTTACACGGCAGACACTTTAAAGAGCTTTAAATATGCAGCAGACTGTAAAATGATGATTGTGGGTGGTGAGGAGGAGCTGCGAGGGAGGAATTTGCGTCATACAGAGAGAGAAAAATAAAATTATAAAAATATATAAAATAATTAAAATAAAATACAAGAAAATCTTAAAAATTAAAATATTTTTAATAACAATTTTTTATTTTTTTAAATTAAATTTTAAATAAAACTAAGTAAACCCTTGTCTGTGTAGCTACTCAGGCAAGTGTCATGACACTCTCCGGCAGTTCGTCACCGGCCCACCGCTCTACATTTCTCTCCCTCTCTCTCTGCCAAGCTCGCTCTCTCTTGCTTTTGGCAGTAAGTTTCCACCTTGTTGGGGCTTTAGCTTTCTCCCAATTTCTCCTACAGGTCGCCACTGAGAGAGCCCCGTACATATGACAGAGTATAGTGACTTTAATAGCCAGTCGATAGCAAAACATGAGAGAGGGCTCATCGCGCAACAGTTCGAATCTTAGTGTGATAATCGATCAGCGCTTGAGAATCGACACCTGTCGGTATTTAATCGAGATCCTGTCGCGTCGCATAACCGGCGATTAACGGTCGATTGATCCTCCCTCCCCCAATTTGAGTGAAAAAAACTCTCCAATTGAGAGAGAAGAGAGAGAGAGTGATTGTGGCATATTCTGAGAGCGGGTGGTGGTGATGAGTGGTCCATTTTCAGTCGCGATCATAACATGAGACAGAGCTCATCGAGGAAGAGCCTTCTTCGGATCGATAACTAATCTAGATCTTATCACCTCCAACCACAAGCCGTTTTTGTAAAATCGTGTCAGTGTTGATACTATATATTTGCGGGTTGAAAAGTATATAGCTGGTGTATAGCTAGCGTATTTATTTTTCGCATTTGTGTGAAAATTCAATTTCGCCAAGACGCAAAACACAAAAAAATACATTGCATAAGTCAGAAGCTAAAAGCCGTCAGCGAAATAGCATCAACAAAAACTGTGTGTGTCATGAGGTAAACAGACTCTGTGAAAACATTCATATGACTTATCTAGTATGTACTAGTAGTCTATTTAGTATATAGATCTCTCTATAGTGAAACTTTCAAGTTAGTCTAGCACTCTTTTCCTAATTTTTTACACGCGCCCGGCATAGTTCCTTACCGGCTAGTTGTCTACCTTTGTGTTTCAGACAAACAATGCAAAAATAAACACCTCCAGTGGCTATAAAAAGTCCAACTCATATCGCTCTCTTTTTTAGATATTTCTATATCTTATAGATATATCTGTATCTTTCGTATGGTGTGCGTGGGAATACATATATTATACAATCATTGTTCTGGTTCGTTTTTATTTGTAGACACGTATGAATATGAATATGCTTTTGTTTTTTTTTTAATGGCCAGAAACAAGCAAAATTAAAATAATGTAAATCTTGGAAATGAGTTCCCCCCCTCTCCAACAGCCTTTGGGGAAAATATTTTAAATGCTTCCGTTCCGTAAAAGTTGGGGACGACCCACTTATCGGGCATCTATAGATTTTAAAATATTCTTTTGAAATGTTTCTTCAAGACAAAGGAAATGGGATGTATTTTTGAGATTTTCTTTTTATTTTAGTTACTTTATTTTAATAGATATTTTATTTTTTATCTTTACAGCTGGCTAGACCTGTTCCCACATCTATGGAGTTTCATCTAGACAGTGCAGAATACTGCCAGGCACAGCACAAATAAAAAGTAAGTTTTAGTCTCTAAAAAGATGACCATTTTCCGCGTTTCATTTTTAATTAATTGGCTTGCGAGGGCGTTAGTGGGTGGTTGGTTTCTCTAAAGGTCACCTGACTTACACACAATGGAAGTATAAGCTCGGTGACCTTTCTGGCCTTTCAGGCCACTGAAACAGTGAAGCGTGTCTGAACGAAAATTGCAAAATTCTCAATTATTTTATTGCGTGTAATTGAGCTAAATTGTTATTTAGTTTCCACCCGAATTGTCATCAATTAAGTGAACAATGCGAGAACCCTTCATACAAAGAAGCCCATACCGATTAGAACCAGATTTTTCCAAGCCGAGACTAACTTTGGATTTCATTCCATTGCAGGTAATTGATCCTCAAACAAGGCGGTGGAAAGCCAAAGGTCGCCTCTTCGGACGTCGGAGCATTAAAAGCTTAAGGATCAGGAGCTGGAAAACAAAAGATCTAGCAGATCATATCACAGAAAGGATAAACATTAAATTCTAGCATCGAACTTGAAGAAGAAGCTACTTGATTGTAACATTTTCTACACCCCCCCGGGAATCATTTTGATTAGATTGTGACACTTAACAGGGAATACTACTATTGTGTGTGTGTTTACGTCAAAGAAAACAAATCAATTTTCTTTGTGATAGAAGAAAAAATCCAAAATTGTACTTAATTAATTAAAGGATAATTTTTGACTTAAGTAACTCTATAGAATTCTGTCTTGATGTAAATCCATTAAGTTAACGATAAGAGAGCGACTTTATTATATTTTTGTACGAAACGAAAATTTTAATTGTGAGCCACCACGAAATCGTGAATTTTTAAAATTAGAAATCAAACTACTTCCTAAAAAACTAACTTATTTTAGTGTAAAACAAGATTTGTGAAGGACAAACCGATACCAATTAATTACAACAAACACACACACGATCCTTCTCCTGTACTGCTTTTGTAATAGTTTATGAGCATCAATATGCGTCAAAAAGATCTGCGCCCCGCCCCCGCTCTAATCGAGTACAAGGGCATGAAGTTCCTAATCACCGATCGACCATCAGACATAACAATTAATCATTATATTATGGTTAGTATACTTACTATACCGATACTTTCTTTCACTTTCTAATCCGATATTTCTCTCTGGCAGGAGCTTAAAAAGAACAATGTCAACACTGTGGTGCGTGTGTGCGAGCCGAGCTATAATACCGTTGAGCTCGAGGCACAAGGTATTACCGTAAAGGACCTGGCCTTTGAGGACGGCACCTTTCCGCCTCAACAGGTCGTCGACGAGTGGTTTGAGGTCTTGAAGGATAAGTAAGTAATACAGATAATGGCACTATAATGTAGATTTGTCGACTCAGTTTTAGTCTCATTTCTTAAATGAGCTTGAGCCTTGATTATATTTATTTTTTGTAATTTAGAATCTTACTAAAACAAGGCTCTAGTTCGAGTACATACATTGCCTAACCATAGCTTAGATTTAAAAGTATTGTATTATTTTTTAAGAATTTAATTTGCAAAATGTCATAACTCATTATGCGAATTCTCAGCGAAAAAAAAAACCTCAAGTGATTTTTATCAATTTAATCAGTATTATTTATTGCAAAAGAATATGTTAAAAAATTAAAATAAAAGCGCTGCTAGCCAAATTCAATGAAGAAACTCAATTAAAATGTATAAAAAAATATTTAAAAAACACCTGCTTTTAGTAATCGCCGCCGCCTTAGATGCTAAAAATATTTATTATTTCCCCAGTTGCTGTACAGTTTTTATTTAATTTTTAAAACCAAACTCGGCACATCCCTCTATCTCTATCATACTTCTCGCAACCTTTTCGGTTTGTAAATTTTCGTAAATTTTAAATCCACAACCACCAAACTTTTGTATAAAATCTAGGAGATCTAAAAAAGAGAACTTACCTTACCTTACCTTTTATGATTCGTTTTGTATGTGTGCTACTTTTTTATGATACCGCTGCTGTGCTGTGCCCTAGTTTTAGAAAGTCCACAAGCGCTACACTATCCTACTACAAACATAAGCGTTTCTCGCTTAGACACATACCAAAAACAGATCCACAACCAACAACAACAACAACTATAGTAAATGCAACAACCATACGAACTTCAGCGACCAGAGCCAGTCTCTCAGCAGCATCAGGTCGAGCAACCGATACCCTTCCCCTAACAGCCAATGAAAAACTCAATGATAGTGGCGAAGCAACATCCGCAATTTATAATAATACTGCATTTGTTGATAATGAGACTTGTCGGTAAGCGTAGATCCAGAATAAGAGATCCAGAATAAAAAAAACTAAAACAAGCTAGCCAAAAACAAGTAGTTTATTATTTAAAATTAATTATAAAAATATATGATATGTAGGAATAGCTATCTATAGATTGTATCTAATATATTTTTCTATCTATTTCCATTCAGATATCAACAAACCCCTGAGGCATGCGTCGCCGTACACTGTGTGGCTGGTCTGGGACGAGCTCCTGTCTTGGTTGCCTTAGCACTGATCGAATTGGGCTTGAAGTACGAGGCAGCCGTTGAAATGATCAGAGAGTAAGAGTCTTAATCTAAAATATATATAAATTAAATCTAATGAATATTTCATTTTTTTAGTAAACGACGCGGCGCCATCAATGCCAAGCAGCTTTCATTTTTGGAAAAGTACAAGCCAAAGGCGCGGCTAAAGCACAAAAATGGCCATAAGAATTCATGTTCTGTGCAATAGATTTCCAAAACCATTTGTATATTCCCACCAGATAAAAAGTGTTCATTTTTTCAAAAACAAAAAAAAAAAACAAAACAAAAAACGCAAGCATAAAGTACAGAAATATTGTGGGAGGATAGGTGCCGACATATTCTAGTACCACAGAAGAAGAAATTGAATCACAGCCCCAGTAACTCTATTAAACAATTAAACCTCCAATCTCAACTGTAAAATGTATTGGCATTCAATTATGTTATTTGTATGTATTAATTAATGTAACTATTATTATTATTTAACGATTTGATTTCGCCTAATCGCCACACCTAATCCGAAAAGCAAAGAGAATATTCGTTTTGTATCTAATGGCATATATATATATGTAAACAGACTTAAACACATAATTGTGTGTGTGCGGCCCGGATACCCCATAAAATGGTTGTAGAAGGTGCGCGCGACATCATTGTAGTTGAAAACTATTATTCTGGGTCAAAATATAATGGAATAAACCAAATACTTAAAATGCAACACATAAACAACACCAACACCAATCGTAAAATGAATAAAAAGATATCCAGTAGGAATCTAATCAGAAGCAAAAGTATAAAACGATAAAATATTAGTCGGTTCAGACGAACGGAAAAATGTACTTAATCGCATCTTAGTTCGAGCTCAGCACCCCGAGAGAAAGCTTTTAATATATTTTTACTGTTGATATTTTTTACTCTGAACAATCTTTAGCTATCAACGATGCAAAGCAGATATCTATATATATTGGTTTTTTGAAGAATACATATATACTTATATTTGCCAACTTTTTTAAAAATGCTAAACACAATGCTTATTTGAAGGATAACAGTACCAATCAGCTTGCACATATATACATAAATGGGTGTGCTTAAATATGTATATATGTGTAATAAGGGATTATATATATAAATCTATATATATGTATATGTATTATAGAACTTAAAAAAATTTACATTAATGACTACATACATTCAAACTTAAAAACTAAACAGCAATAACCAAGAAAATAAGCAAAATTACTTCAACAGCAGACAGCAAAAAAAAAAAATACAAAAACAAAAATTGAGAAAATGAACATGAAAAAAAAAATTAAACCTTATTGTATACAACAAATTAACAAATTATAGTTTGTGTGAAAATAATAATGATGAAAAAAGGAAAAACAAGCCGAAAATAAAAACAAATATAATGCTTACAAAACAATTTATCCAAAATATTAAATTGTAATTTTTTAAAATGTTAGTCATTACAAGGAAATAAAAATGATCTATATTAAACATTTATCTGTTGTTTGACTTTAACTTTAAGAGTAGCAATACTTGAAACTGAAATCTTTACTGGATTTCTCTTCAAATAATATGGATACGCTTCGGGGACCTTAATCTATTCGATTTACTAAGATTTAGTTTAATTTTGAATAAAATCGTGGTTTAGTTTTACTTTTGCATTTGACAGAGTGCCACACAATGTTGAAATGGACACCATATAAGAAATCCCTTCTATAATCCATCCAGTACTAAAAGCCAGTGAATCCCAACCGGATCCGGTTAATATCCAACCGGATGATATCCTCCTATTTGGTGGGTACTTCTAGTAATCCATATCCATGGTACTACACTTCAAATTGGCGAATAATTCTCGATCTTGCTGAATTTTTGAATAATTTTTTTAAACATTTATTTATCCAAAAACCAATTCACTGATTTATTTAAATTAGCAACCGTTGGTAGACTGATATTTCCAATTTCATATTGGTCATAAATGTCCTCTGAGAGATTCCAAGGTTCTGATTCAGAAAAAATAGATTCATCTGTTGTTGTAGACTTGGTAGTAACCCAAGTAGTAGAATCCGTAGATTCTGAGTCATTCAATGGGAAATAGCTCGAATAATATTGATTTGTAAACAGTGGTGACCTGAAAATAAAATATTAAAAATATTTTGAAAAAGTAATACTTCAACTATGTATACCTTACCCAGTAATTGGAGTTAAGGTTGATTGTTCCAGATACGTTGTGTTTGAAGGAGACATGGATATCTTTTGAGATTTTTTGAAAGATCTTGAACTGCTACTTAATTTTAAATTGTAAGATCCACTTTTAATTTTTGTATCTTTGAGTAAAGTTTTAATTTTGTGTTTAGTTTTTCGAGTAGATGATTTTAGAGTGGGCTGTTTAATATTTTGCTGCACTGTGTTGGTTTGCTGAAGGAGTTTGGGATTTAAAGAAGTATTCTCTACATTTAATTTGGATTTTAATTCCATAAGTTCACGGGCTAGTTCTTTCCACCTAAGAAGCAGGTGGAATATGTATATTTTTGTTATTTAAAATTTTCTAAAAAAAATCTTACCTCCTTTCATTTATTTCTACTTGACTCCCGTATTTAAAATCCTCAGAATTTCTTAATTGGGTTCTTGGTTTGGCAATAGTTTTGGTCCTCTTGTTTAAAGATTTTACTTCCTTTAAATCTTGCATTAGTTTCATTATTTTTTCCATTCTGTCAAGAGTTAAAAATAAATATTTAGTTTAAGATAAACGTTAAGTGTTAATTAAATGCAAATTTTACCTATCTACTTGATCTTTTTTGAATGAATCGAAGTCATGATAGATTGCCATCTTCAACTGTTGGATTGCATCTACAATGGGCTTGAGATTTAGGTTTTCGGTGACAATGTTATTAATGTTGGTTGTATTATTTCCTGATGGTGCCCCAGAGGGGTTTATGGTACTTTGTGTGCTATCTACACTTTTAGAAGTTGTAGTGGGGTTCTCTGTTGTGGAATTGATTCTGGTTGTAGTAGTTTCTGTCGACAAAGAAGTCGTTGTTGTGGAAGTCCCTGTTGTAGTTGCTGAAGTCTCCGGTGTTGTTAAAGGAGTCTCTGTTGTTGTAGTAGGGGTTTCCGTTGTTGTAGTGGTGGTTAATGGAGTTACTGTTGTAGTGGTTGTTGGAATCTCCGTTGTTGTTGAAGGAGTCTCTGTTATGATAGTTGTTGGAGATTCTTTTATTGTTGAAGAAGTTTCTATTGTTGCTGTTGAAGAAGAAGTCTCTAAGCTTGTTGAACTAGTTGTTGTAGATTTTGTTGTCGATTCTGTTGTTGAAGGAAGCTGTTCTCCTAATAATTGCTGATATAACTTTTCAAAATTGTCCACAAGTTCAATCAATTTTTCCTTCGTCAAGTCTGGTCCCTTTGATGTATTTGGTTTCATGGTTGTAGAAAGTAGTTCCTCCAACTCAGCAGAGTCATTTTTTGTTAAATCTACATGGTTTGTTACGATTTGATTCAGCATTGATCGTACTCGCTCTATAAGGTCCGATGAAATCTTTCCATTCGACTTTTCGACTATTGTGTTCAGTATTTTGCGCAATTTTTTCAAAAGATCGAGTATTTTCTTAAGTTTTGATATTGAAGATTCATTGGGATTTGGAGTCTCCGTTGTTGAATGAGATGTGGTAGATAGAGGCTGGATAGATGTGGTGGATGGGTTTGTTGGTGTTGATGATTCTGTCATTTTGGTAGAGTCAGATTCCGTTTGTGTTGACGTAGGAGCTGTAGATGTTGAGGATGTAGTGGGACTACTGGTAGTATCTGGAGATGGAGATGAAGTAGTTGAAATAGAAGCGGAGGAACTGGTTGTTGTAGATGTAAGGATTTTAGTATCCAAGGAGATGGTAGTAGTTGTCGAGGAACTTTCCGTTGTAGTAACCGGAGGTTTATCAGTTAATGTTGAAGTAGACAAGGTGATAGTTGTAGATGAAGTAGTTGGAACAGAAGTCGAGGAACTTTCCGTTGTTGTATCCAGAGGCTTATCAGTTTTTAGAGCAGTAGCCGAGGAGATGGTAGTTGATGAAGTAGTTTCAGTAGAAGTCGAGGAACTCTCGGTGGTCAGATAGGGAGTATGAGTTGCCGGTATTTCTGAAGTTGTGGATGTTGTGGTTGAGCTTGAAGCTACTTTCTGTCCATTAAGATGTTCAATTAGTTCCCGCAGCCTCTTGATCAAGTTCTCCATTATTTCGATTTCACTGGCGTTGCTTTCCAGAGCAGGTTTAGTTTCCTCGGGCTTGAGGCCTGTTAACTTACGAACTGCATCTAAAAATGAATCGATTAGAGTTTTTTGGGTCTCTATCCACTTCTGAAGAACTGCGTTGACATGTTCCTTTGTTTCCTTACTCGGGCTACCATTTGAATTATTTTCCGACTTATGACTAGTATCTTCCCTTAGTTTTTTGATAGAGTCCACCACTTGCTTGAGCAAGTCCTCCATAACCACTAATTTCTCCTGAGGAACATTGTTACCTGGGCTGGGATTTACGTCGTGTGATTTCAAAATTTCAGTTATTGCTTTAGCGAAGGAGTCCACCATGAGGCGTTGACTTTCTGCCCACTTTTGGATCAGATTGGTGGCCTTTTCACGAACACCTAAATGTCCTTCCTGGGCTTTTTTACCGGAACGGAATATCCATCGTCCTTTACTTGGACTAATTTGTAGAACTGGATCTTGTGAGGTCTGGCTTTCGTTCTCTAGAGATTTATATTTTGTTCCTGTCTGTAAAGTTCTTTGTATTTTTAAAATATACTTTTGTGCTTCACGTATTTTGTCAATAAGATCCTTGTGTACCTTTGCACTCTTTTGGGTTTTATTGATGTTTTCTAAAGATTTAACTTTAGGAATCCTGTTTTCTACATTCAACTGTTCCTGAGATGGTTGGGCTGATATTTTTTCTAAATATTTCTTAAGTCTTAGGTTTTGGTGGATGTTTTTCCATTGATGTCTGATGCGATGATTTCTACGCGGTTCGGATATTCTATTATTTGAGATACGATTTCTTTTGGGAATTTCATGTACAGATGAATATCTATGATTATTTGGCTGATGTTGATTTCTATTTTGTGAAAAATAAATTTTTTGGCGTTTATTTAATTCATTTTTTCGCCGATTTTTATAGAAATTACGTTGATGGCGCTCCCTTGGAATTATATATTCATTCCAGTCTGGATAATATTGGTCTCTATTATTAAATCGATGATTTTGTTGTTTAGCCGCTATATCCTCATCTGAGTTGGTTAGTTCTTGTTCTTTGTGGTGATATTGATCTCGTCGAGTTATAGGTTTATAATTATGTACATCTTCCATTGATTCCGATTGATTTTCTTGAAATCCTTGCTCCTCAACGTTTTCCAATTTTTGTGGTTCATCCTGATATAGACTTTGATCAAAGTTTCTGTGACGTTGATGTCTTCGGTTGTGTTTCTCCTCTTCTAATGAATTTGGTAGATTTTCGGTCGATAAACTGTCGTATTCATTAAATACGTTTTGATCTCGATCTGTATCAGCTTGGTATATATTTTGACCTTCGTTTCCTGGATAAAAGTTCTCGTCACTATTATAATTATTTTTATTGAAGCGAATTGCATGGTCTCTTCGAGAAGGATACTGTATCCTTTTTTGACTATAACCTTGGGGATACTAAACAAAAGTCACATTAATCTATGGTAAACACGCAAAAGTGAACAATTTATGAAACATTTTCTCAGTTTCTCAGTTTAAAATTTAAAAAAACTGAGAGACTATGGTAATTTGCGTAGAAACTTACAGACAGACAGAACGGACATGCTCATATCAACTCAGGAGGGGATCCTGATCAAGAATATATAAACTTTATAGGGTCGGAGATGTCTCCTTCACTGAGTTGCTCAATTTTGGAAAACATTATATTAGCCTCTTAAAAGGTATAAAAACTTAACTAAAGCCTTAGTAAAGCCCATGTTACTTTTTGTAAATTATATTATTTTTGTAAAATTATAAAGATAACGAAAATCAACAATTGATTGATTTTTAAGCTAGTCTAGTTCCAGTAATCCTTTACAAAGTAATACAGAACGCAGTCATATTGCTGTCAGTCTGTTTTCGATTCTCCAGCTGTCAAGTCCAAGCGAGCTGAATAAGTATGAGCGAATCGCCTATAAATGGATCTTCCTCGAGTGCAAAAAAGCGCAAAATCAGTGAAAATAATGCAGAAGATTCAACTGGGCACTCTTCAAGCTCCCAAAGAGTTCCATCCAAATCGTCGTCCAATATTTTCGTCCTGAACAACGATTGCTTAGAAAGAATATTCTCACTTCTGAGCTTAGAAGATCAGTTGAAAATTTCGCGTTCCAATCGCGAAATAGAACGCATGTTCAGGAACTACGCCCAGTGGAAGTACAAACACATCACTGAAGACATCACCGACAGCCTCGAGGGGTCTGATCTGGAATATCTAATGGAACAAGTCAACGAGCATGTGATCAGCTATGAGTCACCATTTGATACCTCCTCCAGAGACGAGGAGGAGTTGCGGTTACTAGGAATGCACTGCCCTATGCTGCGGCGCCTCTCGATGACTTTCAGCCGGCTCCAATGGGAGGACTTGAACCAATTGAAGAATTTACACACTCTTGATGCCTCTTTAGAATTTGGTAGCACTGATGACTATAAGAAGTTCTTCTTAAATCTATCAGAGAATCTACCGTGTCTGAGGAAGCTAGTCTTGAAAGCTCCCGACTACAATGGGAAAGGACTCCAAGTGCTGGAGAAACTAGAGCATCTAGAGATATCTGACTTTTGCGATTTAGATGCCAAATACATAATCAAATGCTGCATCAAGATGAAAAATCTGCACTTTCTTAAAATTGGAATGTTTACCAAAAACCTGACCAACGAAAACTTATCCGTGATTGTCGCGAACTGCCGGAACTTGGAAACGTTTGTGTTCTTCGATGAAAAACTCCCCAATGATATTGAATTCGAAAGGTTTTGTGAGCTGCCCCGCTTGAAGCACTTAATAATGGACCTTCAAAGACTTGAAAGGCCGGGTTTAATCGAGGGACTTGTACGTAGGACTGGCACTCCTCTAGAGAGCCTTATTCTGTTTGGATCGAATCTGTGTAAGGAGCAGATAGAGCATATCTGCGACATTACTTCTCTTAGAGAACTCTGGCTAGGCAGCGAAGACGATGATATCAATGTGGAAGGCTTTACGAAGCTAAAATCTCTTGAATACCTACATCTGCGTATGCGACGCATTACTAATAAGCAGTTGTTGGAACTGCTGCTCGGATGCCCACGCCTACGGGTCTTGAATGTGTTATGTACTTGCCCAAATATTAATTCCGATTTCCTTTCTTTACTAAATCGTTCTTTGAAGAAGCTTAAGGAAACAAATCGTGACAAAATTTCAATATATTTAGCAGACTCTTCTGTGGATTGGGAAGGAAACTCCAGCTTTAAACTCGACAACATTCAAATCATAAAAGGCTCTCTATGGGAAGCTCCTATTTTATACAAAAGGAGTTCAATACTCCATAACAATTATTCCGACGCCGATAGCTTTTAATATCAGTGAGGATTATTTCATTCATACCTGCAGCCAGCCCAACTCACAGTGAAATATTTAAGAAGTAACAAACATTAAATTACGCATTAAACTTATGGGTTTTTTTTAATGCCAAGACCTTAGAAACTCCCCAGACACTACCCGAAAGCAAGACACAAGCTCTTGGCAGAGAAAATTCAATTCAATTCAAGGGACCGGGACCGGGACCAGGCCATGGCAGAAACGGAAACTTGAAAGGTAAGCACCCGCACCGATCTCAACCACACCCGGGATGTACGACTAATTTTATATTCATATGCATATTTAGACCAACTGCCGGACGAGGATGCAGGATGAGGAGCCGGAGACCCTTGGAGAAAAGCAACAACCCAGAAACTATAGCCCAACACGTTTCAAAAATCAAATATCTTAAAAATAATGTTAGAAAAATGCGCCAAATAAATAATTTTTGTACCTAAACCCAAAGGCCCACTACTAGAGTACGAAATGAGGATGAGGATGAGGTAGGTTGGCCTTGGCTCTATGGAGTATGGGGATGGATATTATCCCCATTTTGTTGGGCAGTGCATAAACAAGTGCGATGCCAGACGGACATGCTCTTATCAACTAATCCTGATCAAAAAGAAATATGTATATTTTATAGGGTCGGAGATGTCTCCTTCACTGCGTTGCACTCTATTGGACAAAATTACAATACCCTCTGGGAGGGTATAAAAACTTAACTAAGAGGAGCCCATGTAACAGTTTTATTTTTGTAAAATTATAAAGATATCGAAAGTCAACTAGTCACACCTTATAAAACCCACAACCTCACATATTTAGTCATCACAGATTTTAAAATTTTTTTTTTTAAAAAATAAAAAAAAAATCCAAATTAAAATAAAAAAAAAAATTTTTTATAGCCAGCCAGTCGGTTTTTGAGTCTCAAGCTGTAGAGTCCAAGCGAGCGGATTAAGTATGAGCGAATCGCCTATAAGTAGCTCTTCCTCGAGTCCTAAAATCGCACATATCAGTCGAAAATAATCCGGGAGATTCAGCTGCGCTCTTTTGATCCCCTAAGAGTTCCATCAAAAGCCTCGTCCAACTATTTTAGTCCTCAACTACGATTGCTTAGAAAGAATATTCTCACTTTTAAGCTTAAAAGATCAGTTGAATTTTTCACGTTCTAATAGCAAAATAGAACGCATGTACAGGAACTACGCACAGCGAAAGTACAAACACATCACTATAGACATCACCGACAGACTCGAGGAATTTGATCTGGAATATCTAGTGGAACAAGTCAACGAGCATTTAATCAGCTATGTGTCAAGTCTGGATCCCTCCTTCAGAGCCGAGGAGCAGTTGCGGTTACTAGGAATGCACTGCCCTATGCTGCGGCACCTCATGATGACTTTCTTGCGAGATCGATGGGAGGGCTTGAACCAATTGAAGAATTTAAACACTCTTGAGGCCTTAGCAATGTTTAGTAGCGATGATGTCTACGAGAAATTCTTCTTAAATCTATCAAAGAACCTCCCGTGTCTGAGGAAGCTAGACTTAGTAGCTTCTTATTGCTACAATGGGAAAGGACTCCACGTGCTGGAGAAACTACAGCATCTTGTGTTAGGTGACTTGTTTTTTTTAGATGTCACATACCTGACCGATTGCTGCATCAAGATGAAAAATCTGAACTTTCTTAAAATTGGAAAGTGGCCCAAAAACCTGAGCAACGGAAAACTTATCCGCGATTGTCGCGAACTGCCGGAACTTGGAAACGCTTCAGTTCACCGATAACGAATGCCTCCATTATGTCGCATACGAAAGGGTTTGTGAGCTGCCCCGCCTGAAGCACATAATAATATCCGATTCGCTTCTTCAAAGACCGGGTTTCATCAAGGGGCTTGTACGTAAGACTGGAACTCCTCTAGAGAGCCTCATTCTGTATAGATCGGATCTGCGTCAATGGCAGATAAAGCATATCTGTGACATTACTTCCCTTAGAGAACTCTGGCTAGGCAGCGAAGACGATAATTTCAATGTTGAAGCCTTCACGAAGCTGAAATCTCTTGAATACCTACATCTGGAAATACGAGGCATTACTAATAAGCAGTTGTTGGAACTGCTTCTCAATTGCCCACGCCTACGGGTTTTGAATGTGTTATATTGTTGGAATATTACTTCCGATTTCATTTCTTCACTTAATAGTTCTTTGAAGAAGCTTAAGGAAACCAATCGTGAAAAAATTTCAATATATTTAAAATACTCTCCTGTGGGTTGGGAAGAAAACTCCAGCTTTAAAATTGAGAACATACACATCATAAATGGCCATTTAAAATCTCCTATTTTAAAAGAAAAGGAGCGCAATATTCTATAATAATTATTCCGGCTCCGATAGCTTTTAATATCAATCAGGATTACTTCATTCATACCTGTAGCCACCACAGTGAATTATTTAAGAATAATTTTTAATGCCCAAAACACACAAGGTTATCACACAAGGTTGGAAATTTCTCTGTCCGGCGTTGCCTTAGCCCCCGGGGATCCAAATCTGCTTCCGCTTTTTACACAGATAGTCCCCGAAAATGTAGAATTTTTGTCTTAGATTAATAAATCAGCGTAAGTTGCTATCTACATTCAGTGTATACACTGCAAAAAACGAAAAATAAACTTAAAAATTATTGAATGAAAAGGAAAAATATTTTCCCAACTTGTTGCGTTTTTCCTGTTAATTTTCTTTCGCTCCCGCAACCTCTACGATTTGCTCAGTGCAGGAACTCGATTCCCTCACCAACAGATTCGTTGCACACTTTTGACCAAATTTATAAGACCCTCTGCAAGGGTGTAAAAAGAAGGTTTTTTTTTTCGATATTTTAAGTTCTGTACAAATACTTTTTCTGACTGAAAATCAGACAATTTTTTTTTTTCTATATTATCTATAGTTTAAGAGCTAGGAACTAAGAAGTTAATAAAATGTAATACTTGTAGAAACAAAAGGCATTTTAGAGATGTATCTATACTTTAAGCCTATTTAGATGCCAAAGTGAGCGAACATGTAATCGTTTTGCTGCATCAGGATGAAAAATTTTCACTTTTTTAAAATTGAAAAGATACACCATAAAGTCAACATGACAAATTCGCGATTGTCGCGAACTGCCGGAACCTCACGAAACGATTGGGTTCACTGATTTTAACGAAGCTATTCTCGATAATGTAACCTACGAAAGGGTTTGTGAGCTACCCACTTTGAAGCACAAAGTGTACAGAATTTACGCTTCATATTTGCGTATTCAGGACCGTGTTTCATCGAGGGACTTGTACGTAGGACTGGCACGCCTTTAGAGAGCCTTATTCTTTATAACTCGTATTTGTGTAAGGAACATATAGAGCATATCTGTGATATTTCTTCCCAAAGACAATATTTTCTGAGACTTAGAAGGTCTGAGTTAGCTGGAAGACGTTAATTTCAATGTGGAAGGCTTTACGAAGCTAAAATCTCTTGAATACCTACATCTGGAAATACGAGGCATTACTAATAAGCAGTTGTTGGAACTGCTGCTCGGATGCCCACGCCTACGGGTCTTGAATGTTGTACCAATTGTTGGAATATTAATTCCGATTTCATTTCTTTACTAAATCGCTCTTTGAAGAAGCTTAAGGAAACCAATCGTGACAAAATTTCAATATATTTAGCTGACTCTTCTGTGGATTGGGAAGGAAACTCCAGCTTTAAAATTGAGAACATTCAAATCATAAAAGGCTCCTTTTGGAAGCTCCTATTTTTATTATAAAAATTGAGGAGCTCAATATTCCATAACAATTATTCCGACGCCGATAGCTTTTAATATAATTCAGGATTACTTCATTCATACCTGTAGCCAGCCCAACTCACAGTGAAATATTTAAGAAGTACAAACAAACATTAAATTACGCATTAAACTTATGGGTTTTTTTTAATGCCAAGACCTTAGAAACTCCCAGACACTTCCCGAAAGCAAGACACAAGCTCTTGGCAGAGAAAATTCAATTCAATTCAAGGGACCGGGACCGGGACCAGGCCATGGCAGAAACGGAAACTTGAAAGGTAAGCACCCGCACCGATCTCAACCACACCCGGGATGTACGACTAATTTTATATTCATATGCATATTTAGACCAACTGCCGGGCAAGGATGCAGGATGAGGAGCTGGAGACCCTTGGAGAAAAGCAACAACCCAGAAACTATAGCCCAACACGTTTCAAAAATCAAATATCTTAAAAATAATGTTAGAAAAATGCGCCAAATAAATAATTTTTGTACCTAAACCCAAAGGCCCACTACTAGAGTATGAAATAAGGATGAGGACGAGGTAGGTTGTTTTATGGAGTATGGGGATGTATATTATCCCCATTTTGTTGGGCAGTGCATAAACAAAGCCGGGAAGGCTCTTCTCCTTGTTAGAAGAGTGCGATGCCATGTGTGTGTGGTGTGTGGTGGTGTGTCTGTTGGACAGGATTTATTATCAAATGGATAATTCAACAATCTGAATTGAATTATATTATAGGATATAGTTGGCCGATCGTAATGAGAACTTTATTATCAAAACAACTTATTAGAATACCAAATTTAAAAAAAAACAAGAAAGGAAAGCAAACTTCGGGCGGAGCCGAAGTTTATATACCCTTGCAGTTAAAACCGGATATATATCGCAAACATCGGATATAGTTGGCCGATCCCTATGATTACATCATAATAAAACTAATTAACTAAAATAAAAAATCTAAAAAAAGTCCCAAACTTCTATCTTCAAAAATACGAAAGTTGGTATTTCTACCAAAAACCATTTCCGATCGTTCTTCTTAGTTATATGGCAGCTATAAGATATAGTCGGCCGATCGTTGTAAAATTTGGTAGGTCGGATGATCTGGCCAAAAATATAATCAGTACTAATTTCCAGCTTTCTATCTTCAAAAACACGAAAGTTGGGTCATTTACGATCGTTCAGTTATATGGCAGCTATAGGATATAGTCGGCCGATCCTTACGAAATTTGGCATGTCGTATTATTTTGCCAAAAATAATGTAAAATTTGAATTTCTCTAACTCTAAAAACACCAAAGTTATACCATTTCCGATCAATCAGTTATATGGCAGCTATAGGATATAGTCGGCCGATCCCGGTCGTTCCGACTTATATACTGCGTGCAAAGGAAAGAAGGGTGTGTGCAAAGTTTCAAGTCGATAGCTTTAAAACTGAGAGACTAGTTTGCGTAGAAACAGACAGACGGACAGACAGACGGACAGACAGACGGACAGACGGACATGCTCATATCAACTCAGGAAGTGATCCTGATCAAGAATATATATACTTTATAGGGTCGGAGATGTCTCCTTCACTGCGTTGCACACTTTTGACCAAAATTATAATACCCTCTGCAAGGGTATAACAAACAGGGTAGCGTTAAAGTAGAAAAGCAGCGTAGAAATAGACAGACAGACGGACATGCTCATATCAACTCAGGAGGTGATCCTGATCAAGAATATATATGTATAAGGTCGGAGAAGTCTCCTTCACTGCGTTGCACATTTTTTGACAAAATTATAGTGCCCTCTGCAAGGGTATGAACACTTAACTAAGTAAAGCCCATATAACTTTTTTATTTTTGTACCTTTATAAAGATATCGAAAGTCAACAAGTCAGACCCTTCAAAAAACCAACAACCTCACATATTTGTCATCACTGATTCTACCTGAAGCTACAAGTAATCTAATCTACTAATCTAATCTACTTTATATGTAGATGTCCACTCGGCAATATACAAACACAAAAGAAAAGTACCCACCTTTATTGCACAAAGTACATATACCAAATGCGATTATAATGCCGTCTCGGCATAGTCAGTCAGTCGGTTATCGAGTTTCCAGCTGTCGAGTAAAAGCGAGCGGAATAAGTATGAGCGAATCGCCTATAAATGGATCTTCAAGCTCCCAAAGAGTTCCATCCGAAGCCTCGTCCAATATTTTATTCCTGAACTACGATTGCTTAGAAAGAATATTCTCACTTCTGAGCTTAGAAGATCAGTTGAGTTTTTCGCGCTCCAATCGCGAAATAGAACGCATGTACAGGAACTACGTCCAGTGGAAGTATAAACACATCACTGAAGACATCACCGACAGCCTCGAGGGGTCTGATCTGGAATATCTAATGGAACAAGTCAACGAGGATTTAATCAGCTATAAGTCATATGTGTATGCCTCTTCTCGAGCCGAGGAGGAGTTGCGGTTACTAAGAATGCACTGCCCTATGCTGCGGCGCCTCAAGATGACTTTCAGTCGACCCTATTGGGAGGACTTGATCCAATTGAAGAATTTAAACACTCTTGATGTTTCCTTTTTAGAGTTTAGTAGCACTAATGACTATGAGAAGTTCTTCTTTAATCTATCAGAGAACCTACCGTGTCTGAGGAAGCTAGTCTTGGAAGCTCCCGACTACAATGGAAAAGGCCTCCACGTGCTGGAGAAACTACAGCATCTAGAGATATCTTACTTTTGCGATTTAGATGCCAAATACATAATCGAATGCTGCATCAGGATGAAAAATCTGCACTTTCTTAAAATTGGAATGAACACCATAAACCTGAGCAACGAAAACTTATCCGCGATTGTCGCGAACTGCCGGAACTTGGAAACGCTTGGGTTCACCGATAACGAACTTCTCGATAATGTGGCATACGAAAGGGTTTGTGAGCTCCCTCGCCTGAAGCACCTAATAATTTCCTTTCCGCGTCTAGGACCGTGTTTCATCGAGGGACTTGTACGTAGGACTGGCACTCCTTTAGAGAGCCTTATTCTGTATAACTCGTATTTGTGTAAGGAGCATATAGAGCATATCTGTGATATTTCTTCCCTCAGAGAACTCGGGCTAAGCAGCTGGAACGTTAATTTCAATGTGGAAGACTTTACGAAACTAAAATCTCTTGAATACCTACATCTGGAAATACGAGGCATTACTAATAAGCAGTTGTTGGAACTGCTGCTCGGATGCCCACGCCTACGGGTCTTGCATGTGTACAATTGTTGGAATATTAATTCCGATTTCATTTCTTTACTAAATCGCTCTGCGAAGAAGCTTAAGGAAATCAATCGTGGCAAAATTTCAATATATTTAGGTGAATCTTCTGTGGATTGGGAAGGAAACTCCAGCTTTAAAATTGAGAACATACACATCAAAAAAGGCCATTTAAAATCTCCTATTTTTTATTATAAAAATTGAGGAGCTCAAAATTCAATAACAAACATTCCGACGCCGATAGCTTTTAATATAATTCAGGATTACTTCATTCATACCTGTAGCCAGCCCAACTCACAGTGAAATATTTAAGAAGTACAAACAAACATTAAATTACGCATTAAAATCATGTTTTTTTTTTTTATGCCAAGACCTTAGAAACTCCCAGACACTTCCCGAAAGCAAGACACAAGCTCTTGGCAGAGAAAATTCAATTCAATTCAAGGGACCGGGACCGGGACCAGGCCATGGCAGAAACGGAAACTTGAAGCACCCGCACCGATCTCAACCACACCCGGGATGTACGACTAATTTTATATTCATATGCATATTTAGACCAACTGCCGGGCAAGGATGCAGGATGAGGAGCTGGAGACCATTGGAGAAAAGCAACAACCCAGAAACTAAAGCCCAAAACTTTTCAAAATCAAATATCTTAAGAATAATGTAATAATTTTTGTAACTAAAGCTAAAGGCCCACTACTAGAGTATGATATAAGGATGAGGATGAGGTAGGTTGGCCTCTAAGGAGTATGGGGATGTACCATATAAATATTGGGCACATTTCATAAAACATCTTTAAAGTTAAGAACAAAATTATAAAACATTTTTTAAACAAAATGGCACACCAATTTTATGGGTTTTTATGAAATGACATTTCAGAAATGTACCTCTAAATTTGTGTATTGAAATTCTTGATTCTCTTACCCCTGCGTAGATTGTAGCATGCATTATATTTAACAATAATATTGCCTTTTCAAAATAACACATATTATACAATTGGTGAGATAACTCAACAATAACTGGTTGCAGTTTAAAACGGAAGGAAACTACTACGAAAAAAAAAATTTAATTGCCGAAGTAATTTTCAACAAACTTTATAATTGTGGAACCGCAGCAGAAAATATCATTATGCACACTTCTTTAAAGTATAATTAAAAATTGTATTAGATTATTTTGTACATTGCTACTTATTTTGTCAGAAACTGTAGAAGCCGATTTTTCGTCCAATTTTCTAGAGGGTCCCCTTAAAAATCCTGAAAAATGCATGGATGCACAATATGGCCCACAGGGAAGGCTATATCTTGGCCAATATTCATCCGATTCTTTAGCGGAATACATTAAACGATTTGTGGATCGATTCTCTTCAAATCTGCATCAAAATCTGTCAACAAAATATTTTTCGTCCAATTTTCTGGAGGGTCCCCTTCAAAATCCCGAAAATTGCATGGGGCACACTATGGCCCACAGGGAAGGCTATATCTTGGCCAATATGCATCCGATTCTTAAGCGGAATACCTTAAACGATTTGTGGATCGATTCTCTTCAAATCTGCATCAAAACCTTTAAACAAAATATTTTTCGGATTTTTCGTCCAATTTTCTGGAGGGTCCCCTTCATCCTGAAATTCTGAAAAATGCATGGAGGCACAATATGGCCCACAGGGAAGGGTATATCTTGGCCAATATTCATCCGATTCTTAAGCGGAGTACCTTAAACGATTTGTGGATCGATTCTCTTCAACCCTGCATCAAAATCTGGAAACAAAATATTTTTCGTCCAATTTTCTGGGGGGTCCCCTAAAAAAATATTTTTCGTCCAATTTTCTGGAGGGTCCCCTTCAAAATCCCGAAAATTGCATGGGGCACACTATGGCCCACAGGGAAGGCTATATCTTGGCCAATATGCATCCGATTCTTAAGCGGAATACCTTAAACGATTTGTGGATCGATTCTCTTCAAATCTGCATCAAAACCTTTAAACAAAATATTTTTCGGATTTTTCGTCCAATTTTCTGGAGGGTCCCCTTCAAAATCCCGAAAATTGCATGGGGCACACTATGGCCCACAGGGAAGGCTATATCTTGGCCAATATTCATCCGATTCTTAAGCGGAGTACCTGAAACGATTTGTGGATCGATTCTCTTCAAATCTGCATCAAAATCTGTCAACAAAATATTTTTCGGATTTTTCGTCCAATTTTCTGGAAGGTCCCCTTCAAAATCCTGAAAAATGCATGGAAGCACAATATGGCCCACAGGGAAGGCTATATCTTGGCCAATATGCATCCGATTCTTTAGCGGAATACCTTAAACGATTTGTGGATCGATTCTCTTCAAATCTGCATCAAAACCTTTAAACAAAATATTTTTCGGATTTTTCGTCCAATTTTCTGGAGGGTCCCCTTCAAAATCCTGAAAAATGCATGGATGCACAATATGGCCCACAGGGAAGGCTATATCTTGGCCAATATGCATCCGATTCTTAAGCGGAATACCTTAAATGATTTGATAATCGATTCTCTTAAAATCTGCATCAAAATCTGTCAACAAAATATTTTTCGGATTTTTCGTCCAATTTTCTGGAGGATCCCCTTCAAAATCCTGAAAAATGCATGGATGCACAATATGGCCCACAGGGAAGGCTATATCTTGGCCAATATTCATCCGATTCTTTAGCGGAATACATTAAACGATTTGTGGATCGATTCTCTTCAAATCTGCATCAAAATCTGTCAACAAAATATTTTTCGTCCAATTTTCTGGAGGGTCCCCTTCAAAATCCCGAAAATTGCATGGGGGCACACTATGGCCCACAGGGAAGGCTATATCTTGGCCAATATTCACCCGATTCTTAAGCGGAGTACCTTAAACGATTTCTGGATCGATTCTCTTCAAATCTGCATCAAAATCTGTCAACAAAATATTTTTCGGATTTTTCGTCCAATTTTCTGGAGGGTCCCCTTCAAAATCCTGAAAAATGCATGGATGCACAATATGGCCCACAGGGAAGGCTATATCTTGGCCAATATGCATCCGATTCTTAAGCGGAATACCTTAAATGATTTGATAATCGATTCTCTTAAAATCTGCATCAAAATCTGTCAACAAAATATTTTTCGGATTTTTCGTCCAATTTTCTGGAGGGTCCTCTTCAAAATACCGAAAATTGCATGGGGGCACACTATGGCCCACAGGGAAGGCTATATCTTGGCCAATATTCATCCGATTCTTAAGCGGAGTACCTTAAACGATTTGTGGATCGATTCTCTTCAAATCTGCATCAAAATCTGTCAACAAAATATTTTTCGGATTTTTCGTCCAATTTTCTGGAGGGTCCCCTTCAAAATCCTGAAAAATGCATGGATGCACAATATGGCCCACAGGGAAGGCTATATCTTGGCCAATATGCATCCGATTCTTAAGCGGAATACCTTAAATGATTTGATAATCGATTCTCTTAAAATCTGCATCAAAATCTGTCAACAAAATATTTTTCGGATTTTTCGTCCAATTTTCTGGAGGGTCCTCTTCAAAATACCGAAAATTGCATGGGGGCACACTATGGCCCACAGGGAAGGCTATATCTTGGCCAATATGCATCCGATTCTTAAGCGGAATACCTTAAATGATTTGATAATCGATTCTCTTAAAATCTGCATCAAAATCTGTCAACAAAATATTTTTCGGATTTTTCGTCCAATTTTCTGGAGGGTCCCCTTCAAAATCCTGAAAAATGCATGGATGCACAATATGGCCCACAGGGAAGGCTATATCTTGGCCAATATTCATCCGATTCTTTAGCGGAATACATTAAACGATTTGTGGATCGATTCTCTTCAAATCTGCATCAAAATCTGTCAACAAAATATTTTTCGTCCAATTTTCTGGAGGGTCCCCTTCAAAATCCCGAAAATTGCATGGGGGCACACTATGGCCCACAGGGAAGGCTATATCTTGGCCAATATTCACCCGATTCTTAAGCGGAGTACCTTAAACGATTTCTGGATCGATTCTCTTCAAATCTGCATCAAAATCTGTCAACAAAATATTTTTCGGATTTTTCGTCCAATTTTCTGGAGGGTCCCCTTCAAAATCCTGAAAAATGCATGGATGCACAATATGGCCCACAGGGAAGGCTATATCTTGGCCAATATGCATCCGATTCTTAAGCGGAATACCTTAAATGATTTGATAATCGATTCTCTTAAAATCTGCATCAAAATCTGTCAACAAAATATTTTTCGGATTTTTCGTCCAATTTTCTGGAGGGTCCTCTTCAAAATACCGAAAATTGCATGGGGGCACACTATGGCCCACAGGGAAGGCTATATCTTGGCCAATATTCATCCGATTCTTAAGCGGAGTACCTTAAACGATTTGTGGATCGATTCTCTTCAAATCTGCATCAAAATCTGTCAACAAAATATTTTTCGGATTTTTCGTCCAATTTTCTGGAGGGTCCCCTTCAAAATCCTGAAAAATGCATGGATGCACAATATGGCCCACAGGGAAGGCTATATCTTGGCCAATATGCATCCGATTCTTAAGCGGAATACCTTAAATGATTTGATAATCGATTCTCTTAAAATCTGCATCAAAATCTGTCAACAAAATATTTTTCGGATTTTTCGTCCAATTTTCTGGAGGGTCCTCTTCAAAATACCGAAAATTGCATGGGGGCACACTATGGCCCACAGGGAAGGCTATATCTTGGCCAATATGCATCCGATTCTTAAGCGGAATACCTTAAATGATTTGATAATCGATTCTCTTAAAATCTGCATCAAAATCTGTCAACAAAATATTTTTCGGATTTTTCGTCCAATTTTCTGGAGGGTCCTCTTCAAAATACCGAAAATTGCATGGGGGCACACTATGGCCCACTGGGAAGGCTATATCTTGGCCAATATTCATCCGATTCTTTAGCGGAATACCTTAAACGATTTGTGGATCGATTCTCTTCAAATCTGCATCAAAACCTTTAAACAAAATATTTTTCGGATTTTTCGTCCAATTTTCTGGAGGGTCCCCTTCAAAATCCTGAAAAATGCATGGATGCACAATATGGCCCACAGGGAAGGCTATATCTTGGCCAATATTCATCCGATTCTTTAGCGGAATACATTAAACGATTTGTGGATCGATTCTCTTCAAATCTGCATCAAAATCTGTCAACAAAATATTTTTCGTCCAATTTTCTGGAGGGTCCCCTTCAAAATCCCGAAAATTGCATGGGGCACACTATGGCCCACAGGGAAGGCTATATCTTGGCCAATATTCATCCGATTCTTAAGCAGAGTACCTTAAACGATTTGTGGATCGATTCTCTTCAAATCTGCATCAAAATCTGTCAACAAAATATTTTTCGGATTTTTCGTCCAATTTTCTGGAAGGTCCCCTTCAAAATCCTGAAAAATGCATGGAAGCACAATATGGCCCACAGGGAAGGCTATATCTTGGCCAATATGCATCCGATTCTTTAGCGGAATACCTTAAACGATTTGTGGATCGATTCTCTTAAAATCTGCATCAAAATCTGTCAACAAAATATTTTTCGGATTTTTCGTCCAATTTTCTGGAGGGTCCTCTTCAAAATACCGAAAATTGCATGGAAGCACAATATGGCCCACTGGGAAGGCTATATCTTGGCCAATATTCATCCGATTCTTTAGCGGAATACCTTAAACGATTTGTGGATCGATTCTCTTCAAATCTGCATCAAAACCTTTAAACAAAATATTTTTCGGATTTTTCGTCCAATTTTCTGGAGGGTCCCCTTCAAAATCCTGAAAAATGCATGGATGCACAATATGGCCCACAGGGAAGGCTATATCTTGGCCAATATGCATCCGATTCTTAAGCGGAATACCTTAAATGATTTGATAATCGATTCTCTTAAAATCTGCATCAAAATCTGTCAACAAAATATTTTTCGGATTTTTCGTCCAATTTTCTGGAGGGTCCCCTTCAAAATCCTGAAAAATGCATGGATGCACAATATGGCCCACAGGGAAGGCTATATCTTGGCCAATATTCATCCGATTCTTTAGCGGAATACATTAAACGATTTGTGGATCGATTCTCTTCAAATCTGCATCAAAATCTGTCAACAAAATATTTTTCGTCCAATTTTCTGGAGGGTCCCCTTCAAAATCCCGAAAATTGCATGGGGGCACACTATGGCCCACAGGGAAGGCTATATCTTGGCCAATATTCACCCGATTCTTAAGCGGAGTACCTTAAACGATTTGTGGATCGATTCTCTTCAAATCTGCATCAAAATCTGTCAACAAAATATTTTTCGGATTTTTCGTCCAATTTTCTGGAGGGTCCCCTTCAAAATCCTGAAAAATGCATGGATGCACAATATGGCCCACAGGGAAGGCTATATCTTGGCCAATATTCATCCGATTCTTTAGCGGAATACCTTAAACGATTTGTGGATCGATTCTCTTCAAATCTGCATCAAAATCTGTCAACAAAATATTTTTCGTCCAATTTTCTGGAGGGTCCCCTTCAAAATCCCGAAAATTGCATGGGGCACACTATGGCCCACAGGGAAGGCTATATCTTGGCCAATATGCATCCGATTCTTAAGCGGAATACCTTAAACGATTTGTGGATCGATTCTCTTCAAATCTGCATCAAAACCTTTAAACAAAATATTTTTCGGATTTTTCGTCCAATTTTCTGGAGGGTCCCCTTCAAAATCCCGAAAATTGCATGGGGCACACTATGGCCCACAGGGAAGGCTATATCTTGGCCAATATTCATCCGATTCTTAAGCGGAGTACCTTAAACGATTTGTGGATCGATTCTCTTCAAATCTGCATCAAAATCTGTCAACAAAATATTTTTCGGATTTTTCGTGCAATTTTCTGGAGGGTCCCCTTCAAAATCCTGAAAAATGCATGGATGCACAATATGGCCCACAGGGAAGGCTATATCTTGGCCAATATGCATCCGATTCTTAAGCGGAATACCTTAAATGATTTGATAATCGATTCTCTTAAAATCTGCATCAAAATCTGTCAACAAAATATTTTTCGGATTTTTCGTCCAATTTTCTGGAGGGTCCTCTTCAAAATACCGAAAATTGCATGGGGGCACACTATGGCCCACAGGGAAGGCTATATCTTGGCCAATATTCATCCGATTCTTAAGCGGAGTACCTTAAACGATTTGTGGATCGATTCTCTTCAAATCTGCATCAAAATCTGTCAACAAAATATTTTTCGGATTTTTCGTCCAATTTTCTGGAGGGTCCCCTTCAAAATCCTGAAAATGCATGGATGCACAATATGGCCCACAGGGAAGGCTATATCTTGGCCAATATTCATCCGATTCTTTAGCGGAATACATTAAACGATTTGTGGATCGATTCTCTTCAAATCTGCATCAAAATCTGTCAACAAAATATTTTTCGTCCAATTTTCTGGAGGGTCCCCTTCAAAATCCCGAAAATTGCATGGGGGCACACTATGGCCCACAGGGAAGGCTATATCTTGGCCAATATTCACCCGATTCTTAAGCGGAGTACCTTAAACGATTTGTGGATCGATTCTCTTCAAATCTGCATCAAAATCTGTCAACAAAATATTTTTCGGATTTTTCGTCCAATTTTCTGGAGGGTCCCCTTCAAAATCCTGAAAAATGCATGGATGCACAATATGGCCCACAGGGAAGGCTATATCTTGGCCAATATTCATCCGATTCTTTAGCGGAATACCTTAAACGATTTGTGGATCGATTCTCTTCAAATCTGCATCAAAATCTGTCAACAAAATATTTTTCGTCCAATTTTCTGGAGGGTCCCCTTCAAAATCCCGAAAATTGCATGGGGCACACTATGGCCCACAGGGAAGGCTATATCTTGGCCAATATGCATCCGATTCTTAAGCGGAATACCTTAAACGATTTATGGATCGATTCTCTTCAAATCTGCATCAAAACCTTTAAACAAAATATTTTTTTGGATTTTTCGTCCAATTTTCTGGAGGGTCCCCTTCAAAATCCCGAAAATTGCATGGGGCACACTATGGCCCACAGGGAAGGCTATATCTTGGCCAATATTCATCCGATTCTTAAGCGGAGTACCTTAAACGATTTGTGGATCGATTCTCTTCAAATCTGCATCAAAATCTGTCAACAAAATATTTTTCGGATTTTTCGTCCAATTTTCTGGAGGGTCCCCTTCAAAATCCCGAAAATTGCATGGGGGCACACTATGGCCCACAGGGAAGGCTATATCTTGGCCAATATGCATCCGATTCTTAAGCGGAATACCTTAAATGATTTGATAATCGATTCTCTTAAAATCTGCATCAAAATCTGTCAACAAAATATTTTTCGAATTTTTCGTCCAATTTTCTGGAGGGTCCTCTTCAAAATACCGAAAATTGCATGGATGCACAATATGGCCCACAGGGAAGGCTATATCTTGGCCAATATGCATCCGATTCTTAAGCGGAATACCTTAAATGATTTGATAATCGATTCTCTTAAAATCTGCATCAAAATCTGTCAACAAAATATTTTTCGGATTTTTCGTCCAATTTTCTGGAGGGTCCTCTTCAAAATACCGAAAATTGCATGGGGGCACACTATGGCCCACAGGGAAGGCTATATCTTGGCCAATATTCATCCGATTCTTAAGCGGAGTACCTTAAACGATTTGTGGATCGATTCTCTTCAAATCTGCATCAAAATCTGTCAACAAAATATTTTTCGGATTTTTCGTCCAATTTTCTGGAGGGTCCCCTTCAAAATCCTGAAAAATGCATGGGGGCACAATATGGCCCACAGGGAAGGCTATATCTTGGCCAATATTCATCCGATTCTTTAGCGGAATACATTAAACGATTTGTGGATCGATTCTCTTCAAATCTGCATCAAAATCTGTCAACAAAATATTTTTCGTCCAATTTTCTGGAGGGTCCCCTTCAAAATCCCGAAAATTGCATGGGGCACACTATGGCCCACAGGGAAGGCTATATCTTGGCCAATATTCATCCGATTCTTAAGCAGAGTACCTTAAACGATTTGTGGATCGATTCTCTTCAAATCTGCATCAAAATCTGTCAACAAAATATTTTTCGGATTTTTCGTCCAATTTTCTGGAAGGTCCCCTTCAAAATCCTGAAAAATGCATGGAAGCACAATATGGCCCACAGGGAAGGCTATATCTTGGCCAATATGCATCCGATTCTTTAGCGGAATACCTTAAACGATTTGTGGATCGATTCTCTTAAAATCTGCATCAAAATCTGTCAACAAAATATTTTTCGGATTTTTCGTCCAATTTTCTGGAGGGTCCCCTTCAAAATCCCGAAAATTGCATGGGGGCACACTATGGCCCACAGGGAAGGCTATATCTTGGCCAATATGCATCCGATTCTTAAGCGGAATACCATAAGCGATTTGTTAATCGATGCTTCATCAATATTTATCAAAACAATTTTCAAATTAAGGAATTTTGTAGTATGTTTTAGTTTACATTTCCCAGAGCCCAGGCTGAAAAGACTAGAAGAAATAAATACGTGGGTTGTGTTTAACGATGTTCTCTTTATTTTGCAGATATAAATAAATATATTCGTAATTAAAACTAATAACTTTTACATTCTGTATTCCGCTTTTCTTTAAATGTACTGTTTGAGGAGCACGTACTCAAAGGAACAACATCCTCATATGCCAACTCCTTTTCAAAAAGACTTTGAACAAAAATCCTCAAAAACGCGTAGTTTCTTTAAACGTATGATAATTATTGATGTATATATTAGATTTCTTATTCTTGATAGTTTCGTTTCTCAAATGAAAATCATAAAAAGTAGGAAAAACAAATGAAAAAAAAGAATTCATTTCGATTTTTGCACCTTTAAGATGTGGAAATCCAAACAATAGACTGCCACTGCCATAGTGTGTTCGTGTTTCAATAACATGTGTCTGTACTTTAATGCTAATGCTTCGATAGCCTTCAGTGCATTGCTCTACTGAACAGCAGTAATATATATTTTTTACTGGATATTGCTGTTGTCTTCTCTCTAATACGCTATACTTTCACACAATTTGTTCAACGTTGTATCTTTTTTTTTCGAGTGTATTGTGCTCCGTTTATCCGAAACTATGCTTTACTATATCCGCATAGCTAAACGAGCACTAACTGACCCAGAAAAGGACTAGAAAAATAATAGTTTCTCGGTAGATTTGATGTATTTTTTTCGTATGGCAGTGCAAAAAAAGCACCAAAATAAAAATTGTGATTCAAAGCGATAAGTATTTTGTGATTTATATATTTTGGATTGGAGTGTTGTGGGCACGTCTCTCGTTAGTGGAAAGCAATAATAGGAAACTACTACGGGTGTAAAAAATATATATATATATACGTATGTATGTATGTACCTCTTTGCTTAGCCACTTTCCAATCAAGTTACAAATTGGTTGCTCCTCTCATTTTATATACAAATTTGTTTGCATCTGCTTCGACTCTATACATAAATCATTAGCCCATTTAGGAAAATTATATTAAAATAAATGTATACACACGTTCGAGGTGTCGTTTAAGTCGTAATAAACACAGGAAAATAAATACAAAATTGGCAAAGTATTTTTTTAAATTAATAGTAGCTGCTTTGGAACTCGGTTTTTCAAACTGGCCATCGTTATGTTCTTGTTCCTCAATATACGTAGTATGCCGGTTGGTGGTTAAAGCGAAAAGAAAATAATAATTATAATATGCAAAGTACTTGATTAATAACTACTAAATATAAACATTCCTCTAAATGTATTTACAAATCACAGCTACGAACACTAAAACATCCTTCCAGTGTTACTTAAGGTTGCGATGACAGGCATTTGTGGGGCTTTTGAAACGGCTGGGGGCGGCAAATAAAAATATAAACCTAGTATACAATACACACGATCGATCGATTACATTACAATTCGTTATTCAACTCGTTCCGCATTGTGCCTTAAAAATAAAAACTAATTGCATCTTGCAAAAGGCGCTCTCCTTTAGATTAAAACTAAACTCTATATAGTCACCAGCAAGCGTTAGAATAAGGTTGTGAATGTGATCTGATCTCAGCACCCAATCTTTACAGCCAACCGCCCTTGCGGCCGAACAGCAGGGAACTAACTGAACCCACAAACGCCTGTGTTATGCTCTGTGGCGCCGCCTCCTCCTCTTCCGGCGCCTTCACATCCTCCCGCTTCCCAGCCATCTTGCTGCCGTCCGACACTCTTCCCAGATCGGGACGCACTCTGCCGCCACCTCCGCCGCCGCCCCCACCGGCAATCGTGCCCAGGTCGGGTCTTTGGCTAGCCATGCCGTTCTTCAGCTGCCTTCGGGATTTCTGGCGCTGCATCTGCTTCAGTCGCGTCTCGCTAGCCGTGGCTCCAGGTGCCGCTCCAGACGTTGGCTGACTTTGTGCTGCCGCTGTTGTGGTTGGGGTCGAGCTCTTCGCCGGCTTCATCTTCATCACCAGGCCCTGATCGTCGCTGTCGTCGCTATTGTAGGCGCTGGTACTGCTGCTCGTGGATATGGCTACGCCTCCGGCAGCAGCACCTGGTGCTGATGACGATGCTACAGGCGTCGGCGACTTCAGACCGCGATGCAAGACACCCTTGATCTGGGCCCGATCGAAGTGTATGTCGTCCACAATGCTGTTGGTGCTGGTGTGGAGACTCTGCAAGCTGCCACTGCTCAGTGGCGAGCTGCTCCTGTTCGCGATTCCTGCGCCCAATCCGCGCTGTGCGCTGATTATGTTCTCCAGTCCAATGCTCTCCACCTTCTCAATCAGATTCAGTGATCTTAAAGCCCGCCTCTCCAGGTGGGACAGCATGATCTTCTGCTGCTGCTGTTTGCTGAGACTGCTGCGTTGCTTCTGTTGCTGCTGTTGGTGTTGGTCGCCAACGATCTTGCGGCGGAGTAGATCCGCCCCAGAGGACAAAAGACCAAAGAGCGGCTCTGGCGACTGGGCACGCGGCGGTGATCCCTCGGGACTGTTGCATGGCGTCACCGTGGGCGAGTAGTTGGGACCGGCGGGCGTATTTAGGGCACTGGGCGTCACTGCCTTGATTCCACGCTCATTCAGCATTCCGGCGAGTCCAAGGTTCACCGAGAACGTGGAGCATGAATTTTTGCGCGAAAGTCCACCGCGTGGCGTGGCAGGACAACTGAAAAGAATCGGAAAACCAACTATTATAGATCCATAACCTTTCACCAACTACGATGGGCTTACCTGGGCTGTCTCGATGTCGATGTTGAAGCCATGCGCGAGGACATCTGGGACTGGGAGAGGAAGGACAGGTCGTTCACGAAGCCATCGTCCGGATGCATAACCATGCTATTCGTGTAGGTGAAGGTGCAGCCGGGCGCATCGAACTGCTTGCCGGGCAGGTCCTCGCTGACGTCTTCCTCCACGTCCGACAGCGTGTAGACCTGCATTCCCAAGTCATCCAATCCCCGACCACCTCGAATCGTGACGCCGGGTCGCTCGTCCAACAAACCGCTCAGGGTTGGGGTGGCTAGACGCGACCAGTGGTGCAACGTTTGGGAGCCCTCCATCGGTTTGATGATCTGCAGCTTCTCGGGCAGACGCCACTGGTGCGACATAGAGGCGGACATGTGATTCGACGAGCCGGACATTCCGGACGAACCCGTGGACATAATACTGTCCGGCGTTCGCACGCCCAGCGGCAGGTTCGAGTTTCGATCGTGTCCTGCTCCCCCAGCTCCATGGGTCATGGGCTCGTCATAGTTATAGGTGCCGGCTGGGGCGTAGGAGAGCATTGCACGGCGGGCGAGAACCTCCGCTGGCGTCAGCCGCTTGAGGGCCGCCTCCAGCTCCTTGGCGCCGGGCGCTCCTGGCACACCAGAGGGCTGGGCTGGATAGCCGTCATCGGACTGGGAGTTGAGACTTTCGCTGGATAGAGTTTTAACGCCCAGCGACTGATTGCTACCGCCCCGATAGTACGAGCCCGCTGGATACGCCATAGAGGCCATGCGTGATCCCGAGGAGCTGCTCATCGACATGGCACCCAGCTGGGTCATCGACACATTGCCGCTGTCCATGTAGTTGCCGCTCTTGCCGGCACATCGCACGGTGTCGAACACCCGCTTGTACGGCGGCACGTTTCCGGCGCCGGCATAGATGCTGCCGCCCATTCCCGAGGAGCTCATGCTGCCCGGCGGCATCTGCATCATCATGCGGTTGATACGGTCGGCCGACCTCTGGCTGTCGCCGGATATGCCCGAGTCGAGACTGTTCTCCGAGTACATCGACGACTCCATCAGTTCGCACTTCAAGGAATCGGCCTGGAAGAAGCCACCGCTCATGCCGGCTCCGCTCGTTCCCAGGCCCCCCAGGAAGGAGCTTCTTGCCTGCGGCTGGGATCTCTTCCTCTGCTGCTTCAGTTGATCCTGCGCCGAGTGCAGCAAAGCCAGCACCTCCTCGTACCGCTGCTTGAACTCCACCAGCTCCAGGGCCAAAGCATTCTGGTTCTCCTTGGTCACGTGCAGCAGGGATAGGTGTTCGTCATTGTCCTGCGTCAGCTGATGCAATCGCATCTCCGCCTCCGCCAAGCGAGCGGTCAGACTAACGATTTGCTCATGCTGCAAACGATTCTCCTCCCGCTGCCTCTCCAGCTCCAGACTGAGGTTGTCGTACTGCGAGTTGGCATCGTTCAGCTGGGCACTGATGTCCGCCATCAGCTGGCGCTCGTGCTCCTCCACCTCGTCCGTCTTGTGGGCCAGCTGGGTGGCCTCACACTTCAGCGACTTGTTCTCATCCAGCAGGGTGTTTACCTTTCGTTGGAGCAAGTCCAGGGTAATGGACTTGGACATGGTGGGAGTGTCTTCAAAAAAAAGAAAGGGAATTTAGTTAATTTTTCCAAAAGAGACTCCAAAGGCACTCACCTGCATCCGTGCCATCATCTGCATCGTTGGTCAGCACCGAGATGAGCTCATTTTTCTTGTGCAGCTCGTGGACCAACTGGGCCCGATCGTCGTTGGCCGACTTGAGATCGGCCTCCAGGTCGGCGACCCTGGCCTCAAGGCCATTATTCTGCGTTAGTAGCTCCTTCCCAATCTGGACTGTTAGCTCCAGATCCTTTTCCTTCTCCTCCAGCAGTCGCGTCACGGCTTCAATATCATCGTACGCTCGAGTCATCTGGCTAACGCGGTTCCCACATAGAACTATACATAAAATATACAAAAATGGGAAACTCTGTTATAACAATTGTTTATAGTTAGGAGTAATATATACTGATAGTTGGAATAAAACTAGATATATTTGACAGAGGGAGAGAGTTATCGATCATCGCCATGCCAACTAAGGGCACCCAGTAACCACCTTCCATTAACAACTGCTCGTTTTGGTGTTCTCCGGATGTTAGAGATTCCATTGGCACTGCTCCTCCTCCTCCTGCTCCACTGTGACTGCTGCTGCATAATGATAGCTCATCATCGTACTCAAGTTCATCGTCCATGATGCAGAATTCTTCGTGTAATTCCGACCAGCTCTGGCTCTGGCTCTGACTCTGACTCTGGCAGGCCTCAAAGGCAAAGTCTTCCAAGCAGGTTATTGTTGTGGCAGTTGCAGCATCCACCACATTGGCTAAAAATCGATGTTGCACCTCACTGCCGGCAGCAGGCGCCACACTTGTAGTCTCTATCTCTTTCTCTCTCTCTAGCTCCATCTCCATCTCCCTTCTTCCTTTAGCATTGTTTACGTGCGTCATGTTAGATTCTCTTCTTAGTCACCGCGCTGCTTAATTGCAGCATTCTTTTCTTGATTTAAATTAGAATTAAATTTTTAAATAGCTTTGTTAGTGCTACGGATGCGTTCTCTGTGCTATTTCCTTTTCGCTTTGTATTATGTAATTTTTAAAGGCATTTTACAAATTTCTGTCAAGGCACTTTTTCGCATTTTGTTTCGCTAGCAGGGCTAAGGGGTGGAATTTTTTAAATATTCCCCATTGTTGGTTCTCTTCCGATATCCGTTATTCCCCTCGGGGGTCACATGATCTTGCCCCTTGCCGTTGAACACTCTTTTTTTTTTTAATTTCAATGATAGTCATAAATGTAAACATTAAAGTTTAATTGCTAAATTAATGCGAATCGCCGAGTCACAAGAGAAACTGACTGGCCAGCCAGCCAGGCTGTCATCTACTGGCGCCGCTCTCTCGCCTGTCACTCTCTCGGGCTCTCTCTCTCCACCCACCAGCTGTGGAGCATGCGCAGTCGTTAGTTTTTTTTTTTGGGGAGGGGGGGGCTTTTTGCCGAAATTACTCGCTTGACTGGTCAATGTTGTCTTTTATTTATTTTTTTTTATTAATAGCCATGAGCGCAGCTTGAAACACCACCACTCTCGCACGACACACACACGTAGACTGAGGGCTGCGATGCTGGCAGCGGCAGAAGAGAGCCGGCAGAGCAGGCAAGCTGCTGCATAGGAACTCAAACAACAACAAAAGACTCAAACAAGAAGAAGAAGAAGGCTGGCTACAAGGAGCAGCCGCATTCAAAGTAAAAGGCGTTTTCCCACCACATTGCCAAAGTGAAAGGAAAAATGGCAATAATGGAAATGGAAATTCTTGCTGAAAAAACCATAAAAAAAAAACTCACATGTTTAAAAATAAGCTGCTTCCTCTGTGTTTCACTTCACTTCACAATAAGTAAAATACCAGCAAGACAAGGCTATCAAAGGTCCAAAGGTGAGAGGCATCAGCGCCACAACAGAGAGATACGAAAAACGCGAAAACCTCCAATCTTAGCCGAAAGACGGAAAAAGCTAGCAATAGAAAAAAAAAACTGCGCTCTAAAAACTCGTGACGAACTACAACGCACACACACACCACCACCAAAAAAAAACACACGCACAAATACAGACGCCAATTAAGTTGCTCTTTGGGGGTTATTCTTCCTCTTCTTGGTCAGCTATTTTGCGTGCTGTTTTGCTTAGTTCTTTGTTTATTTCATGTACTAATCACTAATACACATACTTTGGCACTCTATTCCTTGACTTTGGCCACTTTCGCGAATGGCTATGTAGCTGCACTTTGAATTTTGCACAAATTGTGTAATTTACAGATTGCAGATACTCGAGAAACGCGAAAAGAGAGTGAGAATTTTGATTAAACTGTTTGTTTGAGAACACCCTGTGTGCAGAGGTTTTGCAGCAAACGCCCTGTGCGAGAGCACGCAAAGAGAGAGAAATAAATAGTGTTGCCAGCATATAGAAAAAGTGTAACAGGGGTCGAATATTTGATACTTCTTAGTTAATAATTAATTAAATAATGATTAAAATTAGTTCTTTAAAAAATGTGTTTAATTTTTTCAAAAAGCATAAATAATTTTTATTTATTATTTTTAAACATATCTCATAATATTTCCGACATAGGTCTAGAATTTTCCAAAATTTCCATGTTTTTCCAAAGCGTTTCCCAATTGTTTTTATGTTTCCATAACATATTTCCTCCTTTTTCAGGTAAAAGCCATCAATGCTATTGAAAACTTCAACCTAAAACCGGAACCATTTTCTTTATAATCCTAATCCCATTCATGAATAGGGCGCGAAAAACTACCCGTGGAATTTTCCGCGTACTTTACAGATACAAAATTCCGCGAATTACCCGAAAAATACAATAAATCAGGTAAAGATACTTGGAGTAGAATGAAATCGCAGGGATTAGGGATACGTATTCAATTTTATGATAACTTCAAACTACGTTCTAGACCCGAAATGGAGTTTGTGAACTTAAAGATCCACTTAAAGATTTACAGCACGTGTCGGCCAGTCATAAAAATCGCCGTAAAAACTAATTTATTTTAAGTCTGTGGTTAACTAGCATACTTATATAATTGTTCTATATGTTATAAGAAAATAGGTCTTGTAACTATCATAAAAATATAAATAGAATTCAAAGAAATAACACTTGTATTAATAACCAAAATATAAACCCATTCTATAATGTTATCTAGGGTCATAAAGATTTTGAAGAAACGATCCTATCAGGTACTTTATCTATACTACAAGTCTGGAATATTGCTTTATAGAATTACCATCAAGACATGATAATCATTAAAGCCTAAAATAAAGCTCCAAAAAAGGCTAACTACCTCAAAATCATAAAAGTGTTAATTAAACTTCAATAATGATTAGTAACGATCATGTGTTTTTGGCCATAAAAGGCAGAGGTAGAGGCAGAGCTTTCGTCTGATTCAGAAATCAATTACTCAAGATAGTTTGCTCGCCAAACACATGATAAGCAATCATTAAAAGCTTCTCCTCGATCATTAAAATTAATACAAAATTGCGATGATAAGTGCCGGCCCTAGGAATATAAGCCCCAGACGCAAGATGAGATCATGTGCTATTTGCTTTCTTCTCCCCTACGACCCTCCGGGAACTTGATAGTTTTTTTTTTTTTTCTAACGAACTTGCTAAAAAGTCGAAACACCATCATGTTGTGCAAATATCGAAATGGCAATAAAGACTCTAATGATATAGACGCACGATCAACATATAGTATATGGAAAACAAGTAAAAAGTCTGAAATACACCCCATAAAGTAAATAAATATAAAGAATATTTTCAAGCCTATAGCTCCACTCTAGGTAGTCGTGTTTGTTGACACGTCGTCCACAACAAAGGAACTTTAACAATAAATAAAGTCTATTAATTGCAAGTATACTAAATCCATCGATAAGATAGTAAACTAAGGTAAAGCTAGTACCAGATGAGTGGGCCAAAGCCTAAAAAAAAGGCCAACTTGCAGGCTGCACTTGAGTGATAAGAAATCGATTTTTGAATTAAAAGTCATTATCGGAAAGTCTTTATCGAAAGAGGCTTTTTTTAGGGGATTTTATTAAGACACTGAGCGAAATGGATAATGAGGATTATAATATATAACATGTATATAATAATAAACCTTTGTTTACTTCCTCAGGCTTTACTTTCATTGATGAGTGTTGGGTTTAATTTATTGAGTGATTCATTTTATAAATAAAGGTCTCATTTTCACTTAATTTGAAGTACATTTACGTTTTTTGTTTTCCAAAAATACATCACATTTCGTTAATAAGTGATTAAAGTTCATTATCTGATATCCCCATTATCCATTATCTTATTTTAATGAGAAGACTTCCATTCATAAATGTACATATCTGAACTATTGAGGTAAGCTATATATCGCAAATATCGGATATAGTTGGCCAAATCTTATGAGATCTTCATATTAAAAACAAAGTTTTTCAAGAAAAAATTAAAAATAAAGAGTCTTAAGCTTTTATCTACAAAAATAACAAAGTTCCGATCAATCTGATGTATGGCAGCTACAGGATATAGTCTGCCGATCCCTATGAAACTTGGTATGTCGTAATATTTTACCAAAAATAGAATCCATAGAAAATCCCAACTTCATAACTCGAAAAACACCAAAGTTATGGCATTTCCGATCAATCTGATGTATGGTAGCTATAGGATATAGTCGGCTGATCCTACTGAAACTTGGTATATCGTATTATTTTGTCAAAAATAGAATTCATATAGAATCCCAACTTCCTATCTTTTCAAACACCGAAGTTATACCATTTCCGATCAATCTAATACATGGTAGCTATAGGATATAGTCGGTCGATCCTTATTAAATTTGATATGCCACATTATTTTACCAAATATAGAATCCACAGAAAATCCCAACTTCCTAACTCGAAAAACACCAAAGTTATAGCATTTCCGATCAATCTGATGTCTGGTAGCTATAGGATATAGTCGGCTGATTCCATCCATTTCAACTTATATACTGCATACAAAGGAAAGAAGGCGGTGTGCAAAGTTTCAAGTCGATAGCTTTAAAAGGACATGCTTAAATCATCTCAGGAGCTGATCCTGATCAAGAATATATATACTTTATAGGGTCGGAGATGTCTCCTTCCTCCTGTGCTCCCTCGATCTCTGGCTTACCTTTATTAGTCAGCAGACTGCGCACAACCTTTAGACAATTCTTGCCATCGACATTCTTGGAGGCGTAGTACATCAGCTCCCCGGAGTTGGCGGCCTGCAGCAGCTCCAGCGGCAGCTCGAACTGTGGCGCCTCCAGAGGACCAGCGATGGGACTGGGTGCTGGAGTACCCGGTGTACTAAGACCACTCTTCCGTTCACCCTTGGCCGCAAAATCGTGCAAGAGGGACAACATGGGAACTGACACCCCCAAGGGGGGATCCTTTGCCTTCGGCCCGGAGAACTTCATCTGCCGGATGATGCAGCGCATCCGATCCACCGCCTCCAGTTCGAGTTCCAGGCGGGTGGGCGGCGGCGTAGTGCCATTGACGATGGCCGACATGGAGGAGCTGGTGCTCGAGATGCTGTCAAAGTCACTGCCCGACCGCTGGCCCTTACAGTCCAGGTGCTGGCCCAGCAGCTTGTAGGTGTTGTCGAAGTGCTTGCTGGAGTTGGAGGGCTGGCTGGTGATCAGGGTGGTGGTGTTGAGTGACTCCTCCGAGGCGTTGGAGCACAACGAGGAGCTGGACTTGCTGGACACCATAGAGTCCGCATCATGGCAGGTGCTATTCAACTGCCCTCCGTTCTCAAAGTCTTGGGCATACTCGTCCGCCTCTTGTTCCACGATGATGGGCAAGGAATCCAGCTTCTTGGAGGGGTAGGCGGGCGGTAGAAGCTCATGCTCCTGGTTTGGTTCTTGCAGATTGGTTTTATTTCTCAGCGAATTGTTGAAAAGTGGCATTTTGGTTCAAGGAGCATTGTAAGCTTGACCTTTAGTTCTTTTTTTTTTTTTTATTTTTTATTTTTTAAATCACAAAACAAACACTTAATAAAGTTAAGACGAAGAATTTAAAGTTTTTGGGGTTTCTGTGTGATGGAGTTTATTAGTTAAAGGTGTGAGCGAGTGTTGTGTAATGCGGCAACTGTCAAAAGTTCAGCCGGGCAGTGTTGGACAACTCTAACGACCGGAATTGCAATTATCGATATTCGCCACTCTGGAAACTCTATCCGAATTATGAGGTAAGCCAACCGGAAGGTTTCAAAAAAACGAAAAAAAATAATAATAATACCACACCAACAATAGAAATTTTGTAAACATGTTGAGAGGCCACACATAATTCCCAAACATTTACATACAATGCTAGTCGAAAAATAAATCACAAAAATATTTCAAAACTGGTATCCCAGACTGAAAGATTGTTGCTATAATTTTGTGGCTAGCCAACCCTATAACTAGTTTCAGAGATGGGCTCTCCAACATGGCCAAGATCACGTAGGTTGGCCCAGAACTCTTTCAAATGAGTGGGAAATGGTGCACATCATTCCCTCTATGGACCATCCATGCTCTCAATGGCCATTCGATCATAATTTATATGGCCACTAGCTGGGAAGCTGAAGTGAAAGAAAATTGAGCTGAACCTAGATAGCCGAAGATGCTAACGGTTGTGCCAAATGAACGGTAATCATGAAGATGACCAACATAAAATCTGGCCAAAACAAAAAGCCATCAGATGATTCAACCAAAGACCCAGCTATGCGTTTTTTTGCGCAAAAAAAAAAAAAACATTTAAATCCCAGTTTCTCAGGTTCATCGACATGCACAACTCGTACAAAATCGTATGCATTTATGAGTCATGTGTTGGGGCCTTTAACGACCCCATCCGAGTCTCGAAACTTTAAAATTCATTCAAAAGGTAAGCAAAAAAAAATATTATCGAATAGATAAACAATATGTGGCATATGACAAAATGGGCTTCAAGAATAAACACACACGCCACTTGATTGGTTGATTGGATGATTGCCTGATTGACCGATTGGTTTTTTTTGAATAAAATTTAATAAAGAGACAGAAGACAGAGGGGAGGATAATTATGTAAAGAAAACTGAATAAATAGCTGAGGGGAAAAGCAAGAAAAAACATCCCAAAAAGGCCAATCAATTCATACACGCGAAAATAAAACGAAAATGGCAACTCTGTTTTCAAGTCTTTTTTTCGATGTATTTTTAGTTCACAACGACTTAAACTTTCACAAATGTTGTTTGTTTGGTAATTAATTAATGGCCAATGTTTGGTGCATTTTAATGGTCAGTACAAGATCAGCATGATGGCATTTGAAAAATCAATAAAAAATACATACAAGATTATAGAGCCATTCAAGGAAGTTCGATGTCCGAGGCAATTGTTGGATCACCTGGCAATTAAGTGGAAAACAGACTATGAGCCACATTTGTGGCACTAATTAGTGGCAACAATGTGAATGTCCTACTCAATAGGCCAAGACACACAAGACACCGTCTGCAGGTTGCGTAAATGACGCAATGAAAGTATGTCAATCTTAACAACAAAAAGAAAAGCCAACAAATATTTGCTAAAAAAAAAAAAAAGTGTAGCATGACCAGTGGGTCATAATCGGCTTTGCCTAGTTCGCCCATCTCTCGTACATGACACAAATTTCGAGTGCCATTTCCATTTAGTTTGGGAGAAGCTTAGCGCCAATAAAAAGAACAATTGCGAGACCGATTATGACTGGCCATTTAACGTGCCTGATAGCTAATACCATCCATACCATAGCGGTTGGTATACCTCCATACCCCCATACCATGGTATCCAGCGGAACACCAACGGAACGCTCTCTGGAGTCTAGATAAACCGGTGATTGATGCGGAAGAGCCACTAGATGATAATGGCGATCAATCAAGCCGAGCCATCAGAGTACAGTAAGCACTTGCAGTATAAGAACACAGTGATAACGGGTCAGGTCTAGTCAGATGAGTTTAAAGAAATTTTTATTACGAGTTTTAATAAAAAAAAAAAATATGAATCATACGTTTAAACTGGGGAATGCATAATATATTTTATTTTTATTAATGAATCATTTCTAGTCTCTGGGTAGTGAGGTATTTAATAATCAAACCTCTATAGGTTATTATATTTATTTATAAAATTAGTCTGAAGGCTCTAGTGCACTGCCTAGATAAGCCACAAATAATTGAAATTAAATAAAGATAGTATATCTTTGAAAAAGCCTCTTAAAAATTAGTATTCTCCCAAGTGGAATACTTTAACATTTCTTTTATTTATTGTCATAATTTTAATTTTTATTACCCCTACTTCCATTAACCCGTGAAATTGTCCAACATTTCCAGTTCTATGACCTTCTAATTAGCCAGAGATCACTGTAAACCGGCTGCACTCCAAGAACTGGACGGGTGGCATTCGTGTAACGGTACACACCCAAGACAAACATCGGCAAACAGCTGGCTGGAATAGAAGAGCAGGACAGAGAATCGAAACAGATTGGGGGGAGGAGGAGGGCAGGAAATTCCGATAGAGGGCTAGGCCAGACTAGGCTATAGAACGCTTATCAGCGTCTGAAGCGAAAGACGGAATAAAGACGGCATGGAAAAGTGATTATGTAAAGAGTGGAGGCGACAAAAAATAAAAAGACGGCAGAGACAACAACTGCAGGCAGTAAAGTAGCCTTACAAGGGCGACCCCTTTAGCTGACAGGCAAGCCCTGCCCGTGGCCTTAGCCCACAAACCACCCACTGCTCCCATTCATTAATCGCAATCCCTACAAATATGTTTACAACCGAAACAGTTTTCGTTTTTCATAAAGAAATAAAGTTTAGCACTCGGATACAAGAAACACACACACTCGCCCACTAGTTGTCCTAAAAATAAATTCAATTTGTATGACGGCACGACCGAAAACACTTGGAGAAATTCCAAATGTGTATGAATAATACACTACAAGTATTAATAATTTTGCGTTAATGATTTTCAGTGGCTTTCAGTTTCGGTTTCGGCACACATATTTCTGTATATTTTTGGCGAATTATGCCAGACGCGCACGCACAATTTCACTGCCAACAAAACACATAATTGTATTTTTTTTTTGCTTTTCTTTTCCCGATCTAGTTTTTGGGAAATTGCTAAACAGCGACCGCTTACATTTTTGTTTGGCACACAATTTCGCGTTTATTTGAGGGGCGACGGCGCGGCGCTAAGAAATACGCTTTTGAAATCCGCACACATGCTCCATCATTTCCTTTCTTTTCCCCACCGGCGCGTTCAACAGACAGACTCAGTATTGCCGGTTGGCCCCCAAGTACAAAACGCCACACAAAGCGCGTGGCAATTATGATGTTGCCTGGTCTCACTACCATTAGTTGCATCTCTTTTTGTCTTGTGTTGGAGCTGGTCAAACAGCTGTTTGGGGGGATAACAGCTGTTATCAAATGGGCAGCTAACAACACTGGCCAAGCAACAAGTGTTGAATGGTGGCATAAATAAGACATTTCGGAGTTATAGAAAGTGGGCGGGAAAATTTAAATTATCGATCACTCCGAAAATAAAGTTATAGAAATTAAAAAAAGTAGTTACAAAATATGAAAATAAATTGTCAGTCAAAGACTATTTATAATCATTTTGAGGAACTTTTTTTTTTTATAAAAATGGAGCAATGTTTTCCAAAATATTAATTTTATATGGAAAATAAATATTCAAAACTTTGTGATACATAATACAAGATAATACTACTTCAAAGGCTCGTGCCAGATATATAGAATATTCTCATTCCCGACATAAACAAAGAAATATATCATCTTCCTTTTTTGTCAACTCTTAGTACATAGCCTTTGAATTATTAACAAAAATATTGGCACAAAGCTTAGCAAACAACAAAAAAAATCTAAAATATTTTGCATGTGATACAAAAAATTCAGAATATAATATATTTGGAAATGTATTTTTAAACTGTTTGCGTAGATAAAAGAAAATTGCGTTTTTCTTCAAAAGTGAAAGTGGATAAACAATCTGAAGAATACTTAAAAACCCATAAAATTCAAACGAAGAAAGTATTATAACAAGGGAGATGACAAGCGGACATGTCCATGAATACACTGGCATATATATAGGATATGGAACCAAAAGATTGAATAACACTCTAGGGGAATACTGGCCTCTATAAAGTCTGCTGATAAATTTGTAGTAATTGAGCAATTTTATGAGCAACGCTAACCACCAGTGCTATAAAAATATATCTATTAGGAAACAACCCGTTCCCTAAAAGGCTACAAATGGGTTTGATTGCCCAAAACTGTGGTTGGAATAATGAACAACTTTTAGGTTTGTTTCACCTTTTCTTCAACTATTTTAGAAGAAATAGGCCCTCGAAGTTAAAGAAACATGTTCTTAAAATAAAGAAGCTCAAAGCACTGGCTTTGATTCACAATTTAAAGCCTTTAAATACATTATTCAAAGTAGATTTTCCTATATTCCTATTCTTACAGTTGACAGAACATCAATCATAGCTAATTCACGCAAATAATTGAGTCATTTTTTAAAACGAAAACAAAATATAGGTTTCTCTTCATAATAGCTTACAGATACAGGTCTTAAAATTAAAATTAACATTTTTACAATATCTTAAAAACTAAATATAAACTTACGAAAATAGTTGAGGCACTCTCTGGTCTGTTCCTTCGTCAATCCGAGGCCCTCTGCCGGGATGGGTAAAGCTGGAGCCGGAACGAACCAATCCTCGTTAGCATAGCCAGAGAAGTTGGTGAGGAAGTCGTTGCGCACCTTGTACTTGGGTATCTGCTCCTCCAGCAGCGAAAAGATCTCCACTTCGGGCAGGTTCTCGCTACTGCAGAGCTCTAAAAAAAAAGGTTTATAGTTCGAATATTAGTGTGAAGATCTTAATTAGTTAGCTCACCCGTCAGGCAACTGGCATCGCAGGTTTGGGGCTTTGGTGCTGGGGAGGCCTGCATCAGACGCTTGGAGGCCTGGAGGCGCGGCAGATGCTTGCTGAGCGTCGCCTGGGCGGAGGGACTGAGCGGCTGTGGGCCGCCATTGGCCCCCAGTGTTGCAGATAGCATTAAATGGTGAAGGAGTTCTGTATTGTCGTCAATTGGTTGCACTTTTGATTGTGGTTACGGGGGGTAGGGGGGATCTCTGCTCTGCTGCTTAACTGAAATATATAGACAAACAGAGAATGAGTGAGAGAGAGGCGATAATTGTCTGGCAATCACATGGAACTAATAAGCCAACTGCCAAAGCTACTTTTTTCCATGAGTATATGGGGGTTGGGTATGAGTTCATTGTAGCTTATCTTTGCTGATAAAGTCGTCGGTTGAATGATGATTATTAATACTATAAATATTGGCGAAATGTCAAAGGACTTATGGCTAATATATATATCAACTACCAAACCGTAGAGGAAGCTCTAACCACTAACGATGTTGGTCTACTAACTGGTCTTGCCCCTCTGATGATCGATTGAGCCGAAGAGTTTGTAGGAGCTTTCGAGGTCGGAAGCTGGCTAGAGAGTCGGAGGCACTCGAGATCCAAAGAGATCTGGCCCGAAAATAAGTGAAACAGACAGAGTACGTGCCTGGAGGCGCGTTGGCTGCAACGCCATGGTGATAATAACGCGGAGGCGAATGAAAATGTGTGTAATTGGGCTATAAACATGATACGATAGTGGGGAGGGGAGGCGGTTTGGGGGTGTGAATTGGAGTTTTTAATTTAAAACTTTGTGTGAAACACAATGACGCACAAAGAGCAGAGTCTTGAATGCAAGTGACGTTGAAAAATAACCTTCTAGTGGGTGTTCCCGCGATATGATAACACGAGGAAATCAATGGCAAGTGCTAGTCGCTTTCTTTTTCCACCTATTTGGCTGCAATTTGCCGACATCGGGGTATTGCGTAACACAAGCAAAAAAAAACCAAAAATATATAGAAAACTAGAAAATCGAAAAGCTAAAGCTAAGAGAAATATAGCTTGGGGGGGATATAGCCAGAAATAACAACAAAACACACAGAATTTCGTGAATGGAAACCGGCGGATGGTAATAGTTTGCTGCTACTGCGCTGCAACTGCGACGCGATGACGCTGCCAACTGTCAAGCAGACTTGACCCCTTACCCTTACCACCACCGCTCTCTCTCTTTCAAGCACTCATGTAGCGGAAGGCATTTTTCATTCCTGAGGCGTAAGCCCGCCAGAAAAGAAAAAAAAACACTAGAATGGATGGCATAATGCTCTAAAATTAATTTCGAATTTCGAAGCAACGCCAACCCTCAGAGACGCTTGCCAAAAAAAAAAAAGCGAAAATTTGTTAAAGTTGCCGCGTTCCTTGTCGAATTGTTTTGGCTTTGGTGGATGGCTGATGATGGTTCTGTTGTTATTTTGGGCTATTTTAACGCCGCACATACGCACACACACACTTTCAGTCCACTTATATAAGCCGCAATGTTTGCTGCCAGTGGGGCAGGGTCATTATACGACACCAATCAGTGGAGGGGCAGAGCTGCATGAATCAGCTGGATGATAAGACGAGACGGGGGGTGCGGTGGGTGGATGCCGTGGGGGAGGTCAAAAATGAAAACACACACTCTTGCGTGGGCGCAGCTGAGAGGGCGCGAGGGGAGAGAGGGGAGGGAAATTATAAAACACTGTCATACTGCCTCAAGTCCTCTCACATTTCATAATAGCTTTTCGCTCTCGAAAAACTAACCTTTCGAGGGAAGAAGAATAAAATCAACCAAGGCGTCCGTCCGATTATTGAATTTTCTAGTTGACCCTACTACTCATACTATTATTGTTGTTGTTGTTTCCACTCTGGTACCTACATTTGTTGTATTTGTGCGCTTGTGTTTGCCATTTTTTTTTTTTCGTCGTGCTGCTTTCACGAACACACTCGCACACACACACACGAAATGGTATTGATGGGGTCACATGGATTTTTCATCTATTTCGCGCCACTCCACACGATCGTCAACGATTGGAAAATAATTTTAAATGGTTCAACTTATAAAAGATAAACGCCGAGGGTCTGTGTGCGTGCCCAATGGCAGAGAATTCAATTAAAAACTTTAACTATGCTCCCGATTTAACTAAATTTTGGTTACAGTATGACCAGATTGGTAGGAGCCAAATATACCAAATCCATACCAAGTTTAATATACCAACAGTAATAAAATACTAACTTGCGAAAAATACCAGAATCGCAAACCATACCTTGAAATTTAAAATCATTTTTGTTTTTTTTATTTTATTAGTCTTTTTCTAAAAATATTAATATAGAAAAACTACAGAGACTTTATGATTTAAAATTTTACTCATTTTTATACTTAAATAGAACCCAATATTTTCTTTTATTCCTACATTTTTGGCGGTCAAACAGAAAAATAAAACTTAGATCGGTAATCAATAATAAATTCAATAATTTGCAGCATTTTCAGGCGATTTACAAAAAAATTTCAGAAAAAGTTCAACAATGTGAAGATTATTTGGAAAGAAATACCCAATAACAGCGATTTTGCGTGTTAGGAATGCCTAATTTACATAATTTTTGTTTTGTATATATTTGTATAGGTATATTTTGTATCTTAAGATGTGCCCCTAATTTTTCAGCTTGCTTCGAGTCTTTAAAAAAATTATAAAAAGGTGTTTTTTCGACCAAAAAGTATTTTTGCAACGAATAATAACAATTTCCCTTCGCCTGCCGCCTAGTCGTCGGTGTTCTTACGCGTGGATGCAATTAGGTCGGCGGCACTAGTGGCTTCCGGAAACATGGAGTGGTAGTTGACAAGGGGGACATACGCCGCTGTTATGACCCGTCCGGCGAACCAGCGTCCATGCAGAGCGTTCACCGCCAGTACAGCCGTCGTGGTGCTCGGACATTTCACATAGACAGTGCCTGTCGGCGACACGGTGTCCACATGTATGTGCAGCACACCGCCATGCTTGGCGCACTCTTCCAAGACGTCGTCCCGGATCTCAGCATCCCAGGTGGGGTTCGTCTCCGTGCGTGGATCGAACATGTTGGACAATATGAAGCACTGTGTAGCTATCGATGGTGCCTGCTGTTGTTGCTGCACTGGCGCCGGTTGAGGGGCAGTCGCCAGCAGAGCGTTGGCAGCAGCCTGTGGCACCGCAAGTCCGGCACCCTCGGCCAGTTTAAACATCAACTGGAGTCGTCCTGTGGCGCCCAGGTCGATGCCGGTGCGGTCCATTTCGTCAGTGTCTAGCGAAGATGTGTTCATGTCCAGGCGTTCAGTCACGTTGCCCACCTTCATGAGGCGGCCGGCCAGCTCAAATCCGTTCAGTTGTTCCAAAGCCTTTTTAGCATCGTCAGCATTGTGGTACTGCCATAAAAAATTACATTAAATATTAAACTAAAACTTAAATATTTTCTTAAAAAAACTAACCGTAATAAATCCGTAACCCTTGGAGCGACCTGTCTCGGTATCCATGATCAGTTGAATTGCATCAATCTTGCCAAACGGTTCAAATATACCCCTCAGCATGTCCTCGGTGATGTTAAAGTGCAGCGATCCCACATAGAGACGCATGGGTCCTGTGTGGCTCTTAGGCTGGAATGCGGGAGCAGCATTCTGGAGACGATTCTTTTCAGCCTGCGTATGTTGTACCATGATCGGTACGCCCAGCAATCGCTGGCCCGAAAGACCCAAAGCCAGAGCCACTGACTCTGGGTCTTCGAATTCAATGTAAGCAATGCCTTTGAAGCGCTTGGTCTTGTTGCAAAGGATCAGTCGGACATCCCGAACCTTGCCCACGCTGGAGAAGAACTCCTCCAGATCCCGGGCTCGAACTCGTTGGGACAGCTGGATGCAGAAGACAGTACGGGCATCGCGCTCCTCAGGGCTGAGCTCGGTGGGAGGAGTTCTATCGCCACCAGCTCCATTGGCTGGTGAGCGGCGGCGGGGAGAGTAACTGCCTCTCCGGCGGCTGCTGTAATTGGAAGAGGATTACTTTATGTTTGAGAGATGGTTTAAAATATATCCTTACTTTCTATCCTTTGAGCGAGAATGGCTACGTTTACGTTCACGGATGGGACTCAGCCGTTTGCGTTGGTCACGAGAGCGGCTTCGGCGACGCCTGTCTCTAGACCGATCCCTCTGCATGGACTTGCTACCGCCGCGACGGTCTCTAGAGCGTCGTTCTCTCTCCCGATCGCCATAACGCATGCGACGATCATCGCCGCCGCCGCCGCCCCTTTCATCGCGGGATCTACTCCGGCGAGATCTGTCGCCCCTGTCGCCACGCTCCCGCTCTCTGTCGCGCTCTCGATCTCTGTCGCCGCCGCCAGCGCGCTTGTCGCGATTTCGGTCTCGCTCTTTGTCCTTGTCCCGGTGACTGCTGCGTTCAGTGCCGCGATCTCGCCGGGATTTGCCATCACGCGACCCACTGCGACTGCTGCAAGGAGATAGACATATTAGCCTTTGGTTAAGGTGTTCTATTTGGAGCATAGTGAGACACTTACCGGGATCGCTTGGTATATTTTTTGTTAGAACTGCCACTGCCGTTGCGTGCTCCACCGTTGTTCTCGGCATAGTCATCATCATGGCCACCTCCAGGACTGTTGCTGCCGCTGCGCCGGCGTCCACCACGTCCCACGCTGCCCGCACTGACATTCTACACAGATAGGTTTTGGTTTGTTCGGGTTTGGTTTTTGGTTTTTTTTTTGGGATTGGATGTGGATTGAGGTGGGTATAGAGGAGGTGGGTTGACCACGTCAAGCAATAATTTACATACAAACACAATTGAATTATTGAAGACGAAGGCGAAGGGGAAGACAACGGGAGGAGAGTTGATCGTTCGTTACGATGTCGTTGATGTTGGTTGATTTTTCGATTATATCATTTGAGTTTGTTATGATATATTTATAGTTTCAGTTTCGTAATTATTTTATACGTTTTTTTTTTTTTTTGAATAAGAGAAAGCAAATCAAAGTAAATTAGTTAAATTTTGGAATCTGCAAGTACATAAAATAGAAATGCTTAATTCAACAATGACCATGAGGGGATCATTGCCAATTTATAGCAAGTTGATAATAGATAGATAGAGAGTATATAGAGAGATATCTTATACGTATTCTTGATTGATCAATATATATAGATTAGATATATAGATATTGTATATATATATGGCACACACACAGATGGTTCACGACGACGAGAAATGTTGTCTCCACATGGGCATGGGCAAATTTCTCATAGGCTCATTCTCATTCTTTGTCAATCAGTATTGGGATATGTTTAGCGCTGGCTAGTGGAGTGGAGTGGACTGGACTGGTTGATTGGACTGGTTCTCAAAAAGACGTCGTCTATATATATATAGGACATAGACATTATATAAGTAAGATTGTAATAACTATATATAGTTTAAGAATTGCTTATTACTTTTTTTTTTTTTGTTATTATTGTATATATTTGATATTTGATTTTTCAAATAGGTTTTTTTTGGCTCTCTGACTTTTGTGTTGGTCATTTACTTTCTGTTTATGGTTATATGGTAATTTTTTGCTTTTAATTTTTGAGCGATACTTTCTTTCTTTCTTGTCTGTCTGTGAGTGAGAGTAGAGTAGTAGTGCTGCCTGCTGCCCCAGACAAGTTAGGAGGAGTTTATCTGAAATTTAGTGCACGTTCAGTTTCATTTGTTTACAAAAAAGAAGCAGTATAGTAACGGAATTCAATTGGATTGTGTTTCATTAAAAAAAAAACTCAAACATAAACAGATTATATGGAATACAAATGCCTAGATATGTTTTGGTTTTTTTTTTTTTTTTAATTATATTTTGTAGGTTTTTTTTTTTTGTTCAGTTTCTGGCACATTCAAAACTTACCAAATGGTCTCCAGCTTATTGTGTTTAGAATGACCAAAACAATCTCTAGCAACAATATTGAGCTTATACGATTCTCTGCAAAGACATTTTACCCTTAAGGATTATTCTAGCTTTTTGTTTTCTTATTTTTTTTTTTAATGGTGATTGTGTGAGGGTATTTTTTTGATTGTTCTAAGTGAGACAGCAGAGAGGGAGAAATAAGAGCATTTAACTCAAATATTTGAAGATTTTGGGACAAGTAATTCAAAAATTATACTATTTTTTTGAACGCAAATGTTGTGTTTAAGTTATATGTGATGTTCAAGTCGGTAATTAAACCTCAATCGGACTATGATTTTTCCGAGAATCATTTTAATAATTAGTAACAGCTCTTTCTTCCAACTAATATTGTTTTAAGCTATAAATAATTGTGCTAAATTAATTATTAATTATTAATGAACGCAGCAGAGTCTTGAGCCAAGCCATCCATTATTTTCCACGAACGTTTGCCTTATCTGTGGACCTAACCTTTTGCCACCCACTGTACCCACCCACCCTCCTTTAATCGGATACCTATCTGGTTACCTGAACAAAGTAAACAACGTGCCCCGATGCACAGAATACACACACAAAATAGACCTTTCGACCACCGTGGGCTTGCCGAAAATTTTTCGCTCGCTCGCTTGCGTGCTGGTAACAATTGCAAAAAAAAAAAAAAAAACCTACGACGACTTAATTCAGCAAGAAATTTAGGCTAAAAATCGATTCAAGACTGGCGGCCAGAAATGCACTTTTGGTGTGCACATACATATGTATGCATGTACATAAATAAATAGGTTTCGGCGTGTGTGTGCCCCAGACGACTTACATACAAACACAAATGCACGTACGACGGCGCGCGTGTGGGTGTCTATGTGGAAAAAGTATACAAACAGACATATGAAGTAACTGTTTTTTTTTTCTTTTTGCAGCAAAACAACCGCATTAATTGGTACAAACCACTTTTGGACTTAATTTAAACATAATCACCTGATTCGGTGGAATTGGAAACTTACATTCTTCTGGTATGGCGCCTCTAGCATCGCCTCCACATCAAAGTCCTCGGCCATGTTTGATTTCGGATCGTTGATACTTTTTCTTTGCTAACCAACCTTCCGCTTGGGGTGCGGGGGGGGGTGTCCTTTAAAAGTCTGGTCTGTCCGGCTTCTGGCACGTTTTGGAGAAATCAAAAAGTGGTCGAGGTGCACAGCGCTATTCGCAGATCCACTTACGAGCTTCGTTTACAATGATAGCGCTTATTAAGTTGCGATTCTTCAACTTTTTCACCAGATTTTTTCTATAGCGTGGCTTCTTGTTTTTGGCTTCAGAGATGCAATGAAAACTATCGATTTATCGGCATATCGTTAGGGGTGGGTAAGAAAAATACTGTTCTAATCAAAACAACAGTATTTTACGGTATATCTTTAAATTATGATACTAGCGCGATAACATTTACTTTGATGGAATCTTATATCCGTGAAATGGCTACACTAAGTCCAATACCATCACAAAAATCGAAAAACGGCAAAAAATTCTGTTGGTAAACATATGCGCAAAAAACGTTGGCAATTAATGCACCAGCATGTTATCAGTCGACTTGAGTGAAACACATATTCCTAAAGCGACCGAGGCATTTTGAATGGATTTCTCCGATTTACCTGTACTGAGATACGAGAGATAAGCGCACCTGCAGCTGCCGTTGAGTCATCAGCCAAATAAGCCAAAAACAAGAGCAACAGAGCAGCCTTGGCGCCGTACGTTAGCACCACCACCCGCCTCCAGGAAGAGAGCAGGTGTTGTAGTAGTAGCCCCAGGTGAGAGGCAAGGCGTAGTCTCCAGTCGGATGGCGTAAGCCGATCCAACAGCCACCCCACCGACAAAACTCATAACTATCTAACGTTACGCGTCGCTGACTAAGGTGTGTCTAAACTCCGAATTGGGACCAACTATCGTCTACGTTTGCAGCTCGAGCTCGAAAGCGCAAGCACAGACAGGGAGGGTTAGAAATGGAAGACTACAAGTTCCTCTTTAAAATCGTCCTAGTGGGAAATGCTGGCGTGGGGAAGACCTGCCTGGTGCGACGGTTCACTCAGGGACTGTTCCCTCCGGGCCAGGGAGCCACCATTGGTGTGGACTTTATGATCAAGACTGTGGAAGTTGAGGGCGAGAAGATAAAGCTGCAGATCTGGGACACAGCCGGACAGGAGCGGTTTCGGTCCATCACACAAAGCTACTACCGATCGGCTCACGCTCTGATCCTGGTTTACGACATCAGCTGCCAGCCCACATTCGACTGCCTGCCCGACTGGCTGCGCGAGATCCAGGAGTACGCCAATTCCAAGGTACTCAAAATCCTCGTGGGCAACAAAACGGATCGGGATGATCGTGAAATTCCTACACAGATCGGTGAGGAGTTTGCCAAGCAGCATGACATGTATTTTCTAGAGACATCCGCCAAGGAGGCAGAGAACGTGGAGCGACTGTTTTACGAGATCGCCGCTGAACTGATTGGCCAGGCGCGGAGTAAGGACGGCAGCAGTGCTGCTGCAGCGGCGGCGGCCCATCGACAGTCGGAAGGCAGTTCCATAGGCCTTGGGAGTTTCAGTGCCAAAGCAGCCCAAAGCAATTGTTGTGGCGGAGGTGGAGCTGCAGGCGGTGGCTCGAGCTCTAGTCAAGCAGGCTAAAGATGAGGCCAAAACTAAGAACCCTTAGAGTATACATAGTTTAGACTTAATCGTGATATTCCATTGATCTTTTAAGACCCACTCTTCAATCTCGCCTCTATTCTAGATACCTTATCCATGTTGCTAAATATTATATATTATTTTTAATCAGAGATTAACTTACAGAACTGGACAATTTAATTTTTGAATTCCGATTCCGAATATCACGATTAAATCCACTCCAAAACTAAATGTCAATGACTATGGATGCTAAATATTTGTGTTAAAAAAAAAGAAAACAAAAAACTCCATTGGATGTGTAGACTTAAAGCGCCTGATTTTTATGATTAGTATTATTAAAAAAAGATATTGATTCCAATTGTGGATCAGATACCAAGTGAGCATCACACGCAGTGCTTCAATGAATTTATGATATCAGCAATGCTATGCACAGATTTCTGTTTTATTCAAATTGTTTCCTAAGTAGTATTGTATATTTTATAAATTGTATTTTTTTTTTGATACATAACATATACATTTTTTGCAATATACATATTTATTTAGTTATTTTTTTAAATGTTATGATTAATGTGCAATTTTAAATGGTACTCAGAATAGCAATTAAGGTGATTTTATGACATTCCAAAAATTAAATATGTAGTTGAAATTATGAGATAGGTCATGATGATAAATGGAAGAAAAGAAATAAAAAATAACTTCTATTGTAATTGAATTTTTTAAGTGTTTTCTTAGTTTAATATTTCAGTTTACCTTTTATAAATCACCAAAAACCTCCATGTTTCTAAGGGAAATGAAAGTAATCTATATATTTTAGTAACAACATTATTATTCTATAAAACAGCCTCTCTAAAATATAAAATTTACAAATCTATGCTTTCAAAAAATCATTGGCCAGCTCCACACCAAAGAATACAGCAGCGGTTGATGGAAAGGCACGTAATAATATTGGCAAAATGCCTCGAAACAGAGCTCTGGGGCCTTCGCTAGCCATGAGCTTCCGGAACACACTGCGAATGCCGTGCTTATAAGTGCCTTCGGGTGCTGTAAATCGAGAATGATTTATTAAAACACTGTAATTATCGGAAAGTCTGATGAAAAGCTGACTCACCTGACTGGAGGCGACTTTTAAGTACGTCGAACGGAACGGCCAAAGTCCAAAACACCATACCAGCTGTACCGCCAGATAGAATAGTGGATGCAGTGCTGATCTTTCCCGTTTGAGACTTCTTTCTGGCCAAGTCCTGTAGGAACTCGTAGGTCACAAAGTAAAAACCAGTTGGGGAATCTGAAAAGTGATGAAATTATTTAATAATTTTTCTTAAATGCTACTAGAGAGTAGACCCCATACCTCTAAGAATACAAGCACAAGTTCCCTTAAACAAGCTCCTGATGCCTCCCTGCCTGTAGAGCTTTACTGCGGTGTCTAATGTGCCATGATAGAGCATGGGTCCACCAGAAACTGTTTGCGTTTGCAGGAGCACCTTGATTCGATCGGAGGGCACGGTGACCAGAGCGGAACAAACCCCCGCCAGAGCTCCCGCTACGAAGATCTGGGGATAGGTGAGGGCTACATTGTCGTCCGTTTGAAACATTCGCTTTCCCGCTGCATAAACCGCAAAGTCAACAGCGTAGATGGGTGTAACCCCCATTAGGGGAGCGGAAATTCCTCTGTAGAACCCTCGGATTCCTTCCTTTCGAAATGTCTGGACGGCACAATCGGCGACTCCTTTGTATCTGGGAGGTTGTCCTGGTAAAGGCATTGGCATGGTTTGAAGGCGAACCTTGTTTAAAAAAATAAAAAAATATTTTAAAAAATTAAGAATTATAACTCTATTTTTAAGCTCACTTTAATCGTGTCCAGCGGATGGCCCACAACCACGTTACACATCCCGCCAAAGCCTCCAGCAATAAAGGACTTGACGGGATTGGCCTTTTGGGCTGAGGTCTGCGTGGTGTTTTCCATCATTTTGTAACTGCGACTATTTACGTAAACAAAGCAGCTTATCCGTTGGGCGCACGTGTACGGGCTTCGAAGACTCTCAACTGGCGCCTATGTTATCTTTTGGCAAAGCGTGAGCTGACCTATGCTAATAGAGTTGGTTTCGGCTGGCAGTAGCGCTACTTCCATGATCAGTTGGCGGAGCTGTTATCTTTTTAAATATTTCATTTGATTCCATGGAAATTGCAGCGGCTACAGACCTGCCAACCCAGGCGAAAATTCAGAGGCCCACAGTCTCCATTAAAAGTTTTGGTAGAGAGCAGGTTTTGTATTCAAAACGGAAATTTATATTTTAGCTTGCTATTTTTCTTATTTTACTTCATACATGAACTTTTTATTATATTATGTTACTCTCTTATTATGAAGAAATATTATGGAATTGTATTATTATTATGAAATACTAGATATTTATATGTATATGTCCTACGATATTAGTAATTTTATGTGAAAGTCGCATCCTATCCAAAACTCTTAGTATTTATTGGCATTATTTAATTTACAAATTTAAATAAATCTGGTTAAAAAAATATATCTATTATAGTCTTATGTTTCTCTACTATTATGAAGAAATATTATGAAATTATATTATTATTATGAAATACCAGATATTTACATGTATATTTTCTACAATATTAATGATTTTAAATGAAAGTTGCATCCTACAGAAAACTCTAAGTATTTATTGGCATTATTTAATTTACAAATATAAATAAATCTGGTTAAAAAAATAGAAATGTTTTAAAATCTAAGAATAAGTGCTAAGAAATATCTTTTAAGAAGTTACAGTCTAAGAAACTGAAATGCTGAAATATCTTTCTTAATATTCTGGAATCAATATTGTGAAATTAAAGAGTATATAAACATAATGCGTCATTTTGGCTATTTTAAAATTATATTCAACTATAATAATTGATCGATTTTTAGTTGGTAAAATTATTTTAAAACATCGATAGTAATTTATTGCCTTTGTCCTAGAAGGCGATTTAACGAGTTGTTATCTCTTACTAAAATGCCATCGCTAAGATACAAACGATAACCCTATCGATATCTTGTCATCCCCATGCAGAAAAGGAAGAATGTTTTAAAATTAAAACTGAATGCAAAACAATTGTTTTCATCTGAGGAGCAAGTGTAAGAATACGTTCGGCATCACGCATGCTGCCGTTCCCGCCGCTTTCGTTTATCCAGTTGCTATTGAAAACATCAAATTCCACTGCCATTTGGTGCTGACGCAGAGGAAGAAGAAGCAGCTGAATACCAACAAAAACAACACGAGCAGCAGGCCAAATTGTTGCGTATTGTTTTTTTCATTGGCTGTCGGGAACGGATTTCGTGCAAATAGTGGTGTCCAGCATATGCATAACTTATGTCTGATAAAAGTGCGAAGGAATCATGTATCAGTCGTAGTGCGATCTGCAGCAGCAGGCGCAAAAGAAGAAAGTGAGGCGTGGAGTAGTGTGGACAGCGAGGAGAGATCGAAAATCAAGCAACGTATATATATTGAAGCGCTAGCAGGCACGCAACGTGTTCTGACTGCCATCAGTCAACTCAACGAGCTGTGTTAAACAATGACCCATGTCGAGGATGTGCTAGACAACTGGGAAGAAATCGACGAGGCAGGGGTAAGCGAGCTACTGCATTCAAAATGCGAATAAAACTTAAAAAATTTTCGATATATCATTATTTCAGCTCTCGAAGACATTGCAAACCAAGTTACAGACAAGTGACGAAAGGCCCGCTCCCAAAATGAAATTGCTCCAGCGCCCGCAGAGTCTCCAGGAGAGTAACGCCAGCGGCAGTGCCAGTGGCAGCAATCCCTCGCCAAGGCAAATAACTATTGCCCGCAAACCGCCTGTAACGCCGCAAGAAGTTGACCAGCCGGCTCAGCCCGTCGTGATGGTGCTGCACAAATCGTCGAATGAGTACGATGCGGCTACCTACGCCACTCCCACAAGCAATCAGACGGTGAAGATTCTGCGACGCCCCGCGCAGGCTGAAGAGCGCAGGGACCCGAACGGCATGCGACCAAAGCAGCCGATTAAAACGCTCAAGCAGCGCGAGCAGGAGTACGCCGAGGCTAGGCTGCGTATTCTGGGTGCGGCCAAAAATCCAGAGGATGACAAACCGTTAGTGATTTTTATATCTTAGACGTTATTCCTTTTCTTCGCTTAGACTTTGGAAGTGATTTGACTTCCTTTAGTTAACATTTGCATGCTTTACCCTTAATTTAAGGTTTTTTCTAATTAAAATAAACCATTAATGAAAATTATGGTCTATTTCAGAGCCACCACTAACCCCCCAGCTGGTAACAATGGCCCCGCAGCTTCCGTGACCGCGATGCCACCTATCCCTCAACCTGCAGTCAGCAGCAACAACAACGTGAACAACAACAACGGCAGCCATCCGGCCTCTGGAATGCATCGATCTAGTTCGGCACCCAAGATGTCCCAGGTGTCACCCATGTATAATAACTACAACAACTACTTCCCGGGGCCGCACAATCAGCCTGGTCTGAACTATTACTACCCGCAACAGCAGCCACAGCAGCAAGCACCTTCGCCGCACTACAACCAACGTTTGCCGCCGTACGGAGTTGGGGGCGGGCCTGTGGGAGGCGGTGGGATGCAAGTCCAGGCACAGGCACAGAACGCGCCAAATCCCCAGCAGAGCTGGTCGCCCGTGGTGGGTGGCAGCGTGTCGGCCGCCTTGCTGCGTCAGCAGTCGCTGCAATCGCCACAGCAGCAACAGCAGCAGCTGCTGGCTCAACCTTCACATCCCTACAACGACAATGTCCTTCGACTGCCTCGAGGTCCATGCCCAAATGGATCTATTGGCTTCCAGATGCGTCGGTAACAGACTGCAACAGACGGTAACAGAATGTGGTGTCTCTAATTCAAGAACTTCTATTATCATCTTGGTACATTGATTCCAAATGCATGTTTTTACATAAAAACAACCGAAAAACCACCCAAAAACAATTCATTTTGAGATTCTGTGGCGCTAAACAAGGAGAGCGTTATACGTATGTGGCGATACGGTGTGACGTTTAGTCGATGGTTTAGCCACAGGTTGCAACCAAGCATCAACAAACTATCTAAAACAAATTTTATGACGGACTATGGTAGATATTTTGTAAATTTACAACTCACACCACACAATTTTTGTATAATGCCTACTAATAAAATAAAATTATTATTTTAAAATATTCAGTTGGACGTTGAACCGATGCTAGCTTGAATTAATTAGTAAAATGATGATGAAATGACAAAATAATTAGTATAATTATTCGGTAGAGAGTATGAAAAGTAGTTTTTAGTTTTTGTTTAAATTTAAAATGAAAATATTCAATTGATCTACAATAACTTTCGATTTGTTTTTTTGTTTTGTATCCTAAAGAGTATTAAAATTCTGTGAATCATCGAATATATTTTCCGCCTTTCACGAAGTTTTGATTTGTTTGGGACAATGATCCCTTGAATTCTTGACCCCAGAATTTGATCTTGTTTATTGCCTTTTTTGTATTCGATGCCTAATTAATCACAATCTGTTGTGACTGAGCTTAAAATATTTGATAAATACATAAAAAAGTAAGTATCTAGACTTGGTAGATTGTATCTTTTTTTTGAAAAAGTATCTTAGTTCTGGCCAGTGTGACCCTACGCTAGAATTTATCGAAGCTTTAAGCCTTTCTCAAATCTTCTGAGAGTAGCTTTCACCGCCAGCTGATTAGCCAGCAACAGTGCTACTTAATTCTAGAATCTAGATCTTTTCCAGATCCTTTACTGATAAGGACTACTCCTAGCAATTACAGTTACATTTACCCCCAGCGATCGTTCGGTGTTTTTTGGGGTCTTGGGAGGCTATCGACGTGTTTTTGTTATTTATTCACAATTTCCACAATCTGCCGGTTGGAAAGGAAAATAACAAACTGCAATCGACGCCCATGGAGACGGGCTCTTATCAGCGCAAAAAAAAAAATTGAAGCAGAAAAAACAAACATAATCGGACGCTGACGTCGCAGTCTAGCGACTACCTAGGCCTAGGCGATGGCCCACACATGAAAATATATTCAACTCGGATTCCAGATTTCAGTTCAAAACGAGGCGTCGAGCGGTGCGGTTTATTTAATAAAAAATTTGAACAAAAAACTGGGATCCAAGACAAGCATAGTCGTCCAAAACATATACATATCTCTCTCAGTTTGAAGCTCTCTCGCGGGTGTTTCGTTTCTTACTCACTCTCTGGATTTAGGAAAGGCACGCTCAACACGTGGGCGCCGATTTATAAAGAAATTATAATCATTTTCGCTTTGGAAACGTGATTAGTGCGATAAGTTATTGTTGTATCCGACCCGAAAGATGTCGCATCGCGTGTTGGTCATTGGCAGCGGCGGCCGGGAGCACGCCATTTGCTGGAAACTCTCCCAGTCCCCAAAGGTGGCCCAGATCTTTGCCCTGCCCGGGAGCTACGGCATTCAACAGGTCGCCAAGTGCCAGAACCTGGATGCCAAGACCCTGGATCCAAAGGATTTTGAGGTATGTCCAGCAGCTAGTCCTCGCGTCCTTGTCTCGACCTTCACCTGGAGCTTAAGTTACAGAAGTCCGGTGTCTGGGTTCAAGTTAATTAAATCCCCAGTTGGGGCGAAAAAAAAAGATGTTTGTGTTTGGTTTCTTTTTATTGCCTCCAGTCTGCTTTTTATGGCTTCCGATCTTAATGAATATTTTATGCTGGCTGAGAATCTTAAAGTCACTATAAATCCGCAATCGAGATGCTGGGAAAGCGATGCAGTTGCTGTGGCTTAACCCTTTGGTAGACCTGGGGGCTGGCGATTACGAAATGTGCTCCATTTACTGATAATTCCACTGATTAGTGAGTTGTGGGGGCTATAATCTTGAAGTGAAATCTTATTTCCATGAAAATGTGCAACTGTGATCTTGTAATATTTCATTTATTTTTAAAATATTAACAGTGCTTTTATTTTTATGCTTCTATTTTTTCTTAAGTTCCTCATAAAACTTTAAAGTTTTTCATATCTTTAAAAGTGGCAAAGTCTTTAGTATGTTAAAGATTTAATATAAATACTAAATGGATTTGTTGCTTTACATTTCTTTAACTTTTATATCAAATTTGTGTTTATTTTATTTATCAAACTTTAGAAAGCAAAAATTCCTTGTTTTATTTTTTTTGTTAGTTATTTTTAACTGAAATAAATCTTTGTTGAAACAAGTTTTTGAAGTTTCATTTACCAGTTTTAACATAATTAATTGCACCCAAATGCTTGGCGACAGCTTCAGTTACAGGTGCTTCAAAAAGACAAAAAACTTTCATTTTTTTTAATATACATATATTAAGAAATTTAATATATTATCTGTCCTTCTGTTGAATAAGTTTCACAATGAGTTTTAAAATAAGTTAAAATTTTAACCAACTGGTTCAGCTCCCTTCCTTCATAATCATTTCCGTTCCTCTAATTTTTCCATTAAATTTTTAAAATATAAACAACCCAATTATGATCTTCCGTTTGTCTTCCATATAAAAAGGTCAATAAAAAATATTGATATTTTTAGTAAGATTATTTTTATTATGCGGAATTTAAACATCCACTTTTATTACGTATTAAGTTCTCCCTAGATGGCTTAAAGACTCAAATGAAAATCTGAAAGAACTTATTAGGTTAAAAATGTAAAATGGGCTTAATCCTTAGTTTTAATATTGTCCAAAATTGTATGACCTTGGTAGTTTCCCTTACTATTATAGGAATTTCATGGAAACTTTTTTTAAACTCCTACAAAACCTAATAACCTCAACCAATGTATTGTAATCTACACTAAACCGTCTCTGTATTTTCACCTTAAGTATTTCTATAACAATCTTCGGATAAACAAAGAATGTTATGATTTATTACTTGAGCAGTAAAACCAAACGACTTCCCATATGAAACGTAAATCGATCGAATTTCATAAACAAACACCACTTTATCGTGATCAGTGATTCCCAGTAACATTCCAGCAGGTTGGCTAACAAAGACCGTCTATTTTGTTCATCTTCACACTTTAGCTTACGTTTGCTTAACACTTCTATTTATTGTTGGTGGCTTAATTAATTGTTTAGATCAAAATTCACAGATTCGCACGGTGGTTTGGTAGGAGACCGGCCCCTGACCCGCCAAGTGACAATAGCGACGCCCGGCCATCAGTCATCAATGTCGCGAGTAGCTCCGTCTCTAGCGCAGAGGTCGCAGCGTTGTCGTGGGCGGGTGGGTCAGGTAGATGGTCTTGGGGGTGGTGCTGGGGCGGGAGCGCGGAGTGGTGGCCTCCTGGAAGTTGCGGGTGTACACATTAAAGGCGGCCGCGTCGTGCTCCACCGTCTTGAGCTCCCCGGTGTAGTAGTCCTTCACCTGGTAGGGATGCGTTCTGATGTACTCCAAAGCGCGCAGGATGTAGTCCGGCACTTGGGGAATGTGCTGGCCCACCGGATGGTATCCGTACTCATCGGCCACGTAGTTCACACTGATCACCTCGCCTTCGGGCGAGGTGTAGCTGGATCCACCCTGAACGGAAACGCCGCCCAAGCCGGCCTGCGAGGCGGAAATGCCGTTGGAGGTCTCGTAGGCGTACCGGTAATTGCCATCCCGCTCCACCTGCAGCTCATTCTGGAGCGTCCGGGTATCCCGATCCGAGTCTGGAACGTAGGAGGCCGCCTGCACCTGCAGGGTGACTAGCATCACAACAACGATGGAATTCAACTGCGGGGGTGGACAAGAGACATCGATTATAATCCATTTTGGGGAAGTCCCAGGCGACTTGATGGTCTTACAAGCAGATACATTTTGGAGCTGCTGCCGCGTTCAAGTTTGGTTCTAAACTGATTGCCTGCTTCTCGGACGCTTTCGTTTTTATATCCATCCGCTTGGCAGCGAATTTTTGGGCAATTTTTCGACTCGGAAACCCAGTCGTCGTCGCCGCCGTCGCCATCAGACGTCTCCACCATCAGCCCGTCGTCATCATCTCCCCATCATCGCCGCTGGTTGCCTTAGTCAGTCATAAATAAAATGATTTTATTTCTTATAAGTATTATTTTATATAGGTATCAACGACGTTATTTGTCGCTGTTCGCCGTTGCAATTCCTAAAGTGTGGGATGGTAAAAACCAACAAATAAAAAATCAAGACCCAGTAAAGAGTCAAAGTAGAGTCAAAAACATAATGAAATGATTCGTGAATGGTATGCCCTACCCGAAGGTTGGGGCACTTACAATATGATCTTGAAAACTCCATACTACCAGGCTTGGCTTACATTCTCAAGGAACTCTAAATACCAAGCCGTTCACTGAACCCCAAAAGTCGTAAACAGTCGATTTTAATTTTTAATTGAATTATTCTAAATATGCATTTTATGTTCTTACCATTTTTACCAAAATTTTTGTTAAGAGTGTTCTACCCCAAAATGGAGAAAGTGTTTACTGCTTGGACATTAGGCGGTTACTTTGTAAATTTGTTGGGTTTCGTAAACTTGTTTTATGAGAATAATTATGGAAAATTCTGGTGCTTAAAAGCTTTGGATTAATGGTGCTTAATTATATTTTAAAGCCACTCCGGCGTTCTGTCGCAGTCTTTGTTTGTTTGGTTGGATAATTTTAGAAATTGCATAGTTCAATCATTAAGCTCGGCTCAGCATAGTTATTCTGATAAATGATCTCTGAGTTGGTATCTCTAAGCATATAATTCAATCGTCTCGCAGAGTCTTTTTCTTAAAAAATTTCAACAAACTCCCAGCTGTCTCCAGCTTGATACTTTTTTTTGGCCGATTCCCCAAAAACCCGTCCGACTAATTCAGCAAAGCGTATCTAATTCCTTAACTTATCCGCAAACAAATGTGGCAGCATTCTTTGGCAGCCTCGCCGCCCCCTCCAGATCCCATACTATCACCCACTTAATTTGCATATAATACAGTAAATCATGAGCGCACTCTGTAAAGCATAAAGACGAAAACGTTCTAACCAAATTTGGCAAGTCCCGGCTAAAAAGAAACAACTCAAATCCAGTATAAAATGCTGTTGATCTTGCTCCATCACCTACACCACCACCACCACCTCCTTCCTTCCCCCTTTTCTCGTGGCCAAAACAGCCCGTTATAGGCCAAAAGTATTTTGGGAAGCCTTTCGCTTCTTCGCAACCTTCGTTACGGGAAATTAAAGCCTTGGCCGGGTCTTAATTCGGAAAGCCAAATAGCTCAATAAAAACGTCATTTTTTGGACATTATCCACCGTGATCGTGCGAACGTTCTTGAACTCTGAGAAATTCTTGAATCAGTCGGGGATCGGACGGGGTTTGGACGTCAGGTAATCGGGATGAACCTCGCCAGGTGCTAAATGGTCTGGAACGTAGTCCAGTGCACCTGATCTGGTAATCCGCGTTCTGCGTTGGCGCCAATTCGAATTAGAGCTGAGTAACGATATCGAAGTCACGCCAACCACGAAACCGGATGAGCCAGCTCCAAGCTGGAGCTGTAGCTGTAGCTGGGATTAACTTGGTTTATTGACATGACTTGGTCGGCATAGCTGGCGCCTGAGTCAGTTGCTTGGATTCACCCGGTGGTGGAAAGACAATGCACCCACCGAGACCGAGACCCAGTTTAATGGCAAAACAATTAGGAAGGCATTTAGTATTTTGGCGACAAATTGGCGATGGAACCGGTTGAGTACTTAGAGGAGTGTTATCCCCCCACTTGGAATGTGGTTACAAAAATCAAAACAACCCATCGGTTGTGCCAAAGAAATCGGCACAGGCTTCTGACCCGGTTAGATGGGAAAAACCAATTATGATTCCAATTTCAAGATAGTCTTGTAAAGATTTGAATGCAATTTATAAGATTTCAAAGTCTAATGACTTTAATAGGTTCATTCAAGACTTAATAGCTATGTATTTTTGACAGTGTAGAATTTATTAAAATTAAAATCATTGCCAATTAAGTAATTTGAACGCAACGGTTCTTTCATTATGATTTTAACGCTTGCATTTATATGTCTTAATTATTTTTAAGACTTTGGATATTCCCGATTAAATGTTTTGTCAGATTTTTGCGAAACTGTATCACATTCCACATAAAGTGATGAGGTTATAAGTTGAATTAATAAAAAAGACACTGATTAGTGCTTCTTTTTTTTGTACATTGTGTAACTCCGTTTCTGGTTTTAAAAAATAAAATAAAAACATATACCATTAAAACTAATACTTTATGTTTCTTAATTTTTAGGCCATTGCCAAGTGGAGCAAGGACAACAAGATCACCTTGGTAGTTGTGGGCCCCGAGGATCCTTTGGCTCTGGGCTTGGGCGATGTCTTGCAGAAGGAGGGTGTGGCATGCTTTGGACCTGGCAAGCAAGGTGCCCAAATCGAGGCTGATAAGAAGTGGGCCAAGGACTTTATGCTGCGCCATGGTATTCCCACCGCACGTTACGAGAGCTTTACGGATACGGACAAGGCCAAGGCTTTCATAAGAAAGTGAGTCTAACCTTAACCCTATTTATTTTGATGAAGATTACAAAAAAAACCTTTCCAGTGCTCCCTACCAAGCTTTGGTGGTCAAAGCAGCCGGGTTGGCCGCCGGAAAGGGTGTGGTGGTGGCCGCCAATGTGGAGGAAGCCTGCCAAGCCGTCGACGAAATTCTGGGAGACCTCAAATACGGCCAAGCTGGAGCCACGCTTGTGGTTGAGGAGCTGCTGGAGGGCGAGGAGATCTCCGTGCTGGCTTTCACGGATGGCAAGAGCGTACGTCCCATGCTCCCAGCCCAGGATCACAAGCGTCTGGGTAATGGAGACTCCGGACCGAACACCGGAGGAATGGGCGCCTACTGTCCATGTCCGTTGATCAGCCAGCCTGCTCTGGAACTGGTCCAACGGGCTGTTCTGGAGAGGGCTGTCCAGGGTCTGATCAAGGAGAGGATTAACTATCAGGGCGTCCTCTACGCGGGACTCATGCTAACACGCGATGGTCCCCGTGTTTTGGAGTTCAACTGTCGGTTTGGTGACCCGGAGACTCAGGTCATCCTGCCCCTACTCGAAACAGATCTATTCGAAGTCATGGAGTCCTGCTGCAGTGGCCAGCTGGAGAAGCTATCTTTGCAATGGCGCAGTGGAGTCAGTGCTGTGGGTGTGATTTTGGCCAGTGCTGGTTATCCGGAGACTTCTACCAAGGGTTGTGTTATAACGGGTAGGATTTAAAGACTCTCTGGTGGAATCTCTTAATTAATATTTCATTTCTTTTTAAAGGACTTCCTGCTGAAAATACTCCTACACAGCTGGTATTCCACAGTGGCCTGGCCGTCAATGAGAAAAAAGAGGCCCTGACCAATGGAGGACGTGTTCTGATCGCTATTGCCTTGGACGGAAGCCTGAAGGAGGCTGCTGCCAAGGCCACTAAACTGGCCGGCAGTATCAGCTTCTCCGGCACAGGAGCTCAGTACAGAACGGACATTGCCCAGAAGGCTTTCAAAATGTAATGAAAAGTTAAAGAATTCTTACTAGGATATCAAATGAACTTAAAGACCATAAAATATATATTTTAATCTGAAATTTAATAACAATGGAAACTCATTTTATTTGCTAAAGACTTGTCACTAAGGGTTTCTATTAATTTTTCCACCTCCTACTGATATCTACTACTGATCTATTTCTTTTTCCATCTATTAATCCTAAATAGAGCCAAAACCAATGCTCCGGGCTTGAGCTACAAGGACAGCGGGGTGGACATCGATGCCGGGGATGCTCTGGTCCAGCGCATCAAGCCCCTGTCGCGCGGCACCCAGAGACCTGGCGTCCTCGGGGGTCTTGGTGGTTTTGGAGGGTTGTTCCGCCTGAAGGAGCTTAGCTACAAGGAGCCCATTATCGCCGAGGCTACTCAGGGAGTAGGTGCCAAGATTCAACTGGCACTGCAACATGAACTCTACGAGAACGTGGGCTATGATCTGTTCGCCTTGACGGCCAACGATCTGCTGGAGGTGGGAGCTGAGCCAGTGGCTTTCCTGGACTACATAGCCTGTGGCAAATTGCTCGTTCCTTTGGCCGCCCAACTGGTTAAGGGAATGGCCGACGGATGCCGGGATGCCCGGTGTGCTTTAGTAGGTTCGTTGGTACCTTATAAGATTTTAATACCTGTTATTAAAACCAATTGCTCCCCAGGTGGCGAGACAGCAGAGATGCCTTCTCTTTACGCTCCAGGACAGCATGACATGGCTGGCTACTGCGTGGGAATCGTGGAGCAGTCACGGATTCTACCCCGTTATGATCTGTACCAGCCGGGGGATCTGCTCATCGGTCTTCCATCGTCTGGCCTCCACTGCGCCGGCTTCAACGAGATACTAACCCAGTTAACCGCCGCCAAAGTGAATCTCAAGGAACTCTCTCCTGTCGAAGGTGGAGAGGACGGCCTTTCCCTAGCTCAAGTCCTTGGCACGCCCACCCGATTGTATGTAAAGGAGTTGTTGCCACACCTACAGAAGGGAGGCGAGATTAAGTCATTGGTGCAAGTGACACATGGTCTTATCAAGGACGTGCAGCGCCTCTTGCCTGAAGGATACGAGACAACACTGGACTTTGGTGCAGTTCCAGTGCCAAAGATCTTTGGTTGGCTGGCCGGAAAATTAAAACTAAGTGCCCAGACCTTGCTGGAGAGGCACAACTGTGGCATAGGCATGGTGCTTATCCTTCCACAAACCAGTCAGCTATGGAGGACATCCCTGCCGGGAGCCAAGGTACTGGGTATTCTCCAGAAGCGGGCAAAAACCGCTTCCAGTGGCTCACCAGTGCAGGTTAAAAACTTTGTGGAGCAAATACAGTCGGTGGCCACCAAATTCGGCGGTCCCGGTGAACGAATACTGCCAGAGGAACTGAAAGAGCTATCGGCGAAGAGCTCCCCAACTACTCCTCGCGCAGAGTGCTTTGAGAATGCCGCAGGACGAAGACTAACTCGCATTCCAGATAACTACAAAGATCCCATTCTCATCCTGGGCACTGACGGCGTTGGAACAAAACTGAAAATAGCCCAACAAACTAATAGAAACTCGAGCGTAGGTATCGATCTGGTGGCCATGTGTGTTAACGATATCCTCTGCAACGGAGCCGAGCCCCTCAGTTTCTCCAGCTACTATGCTTGCGGTCAGTGGCAGGAGGAATTGGCAATAGAAGTGGATGCCGGAGTCCAGGAGGGCTCCCGTCAGGCTAATAGCAGCTTTATCAGTAAGTATACAACTTAAAAATATATTTTTTTAAATTAAGATTTAGACGAAAATTGATAGAAAATAGAATTATCATCCGTTAAAAGTATTGCGCTCAAGAATCGAATAAATATTGGCCGAGATATAGCCTAATCTGTGGGCCATATTGCGTCTCCATGCATTTTTCGCATTTTTGAAGGGGACCCTCCAGAAAATTTGACAAAAAATCTTAAAATTTTTCAGTTTGTATGTTCTAATAGAAATTGATAGAGAATCAATCTACAAATCGTTCAAGGTGTTCCGCTTAAGAATCAGATAAGTATTGGCCGAGATATACCCTTCGCTGTGGGCCATATTGCGTATCCATGCATTTTTCCCATTTTTGAAGGGGATCCTCCAGAAAATTTGACAAAAAATCTTAAAATTTTTAAGTTTGTATGTTTTAATAGAAATTGGTAGAGAATCAATCTACAAATCGTTCAAGGTATTCCGCTTAAGAATCAGATATGTAAGTATTGGCCGAGATATACCCTTCGCTGTGGGCCATATTGCGTATCCATGCATTTTTCCCATTTTTGAAGGGGGCCCTCCAGAAAATGTGACAAAAAATCTTAAAATTTTTTAGTTTGTATGTTTTAATAGAAATTGATAGAGAATCGATCTACAAATCGTTCAAGGTATTCCGCTTAAGAATCGGATAAGTATTGGCCAAGATATAGCGTTCGCTGTGGGCCATATTGCGTCTCCATGCGTTGGTTGAAAATCGATCCTCGAATCGTCTAAGGTATTCCGCTTATGAATTAGATGGTTATGGTCAAAAATAAAGACTTCACTATGGGTTGTTTTGTGAATATATTGGAAGTCATCCATTTTAATTCATTTTCTATTAATTTTAGGTTCCCACAGCGCAGCCTTACCTCTTCTCTATGAGCCAAAGGTTTATGACTTGGCCGGTTTTGCTCTGGGTATTGCGGAACGCTCCGGAATCCTGCCCCTCTTGGATGCCATTCAACCGGGAGACGTGCTCATCGGGTTGCCTTCCTCAGGAGTACACAGCAACGGCTTCAGTCTGGTCCATGCGGTTCTCAAACGCGCTGGTTTGGGACTCAACGACAAGGCGCCTTTCAGCGTGAAAACTCTGGGAGAGGAATTGCTGGTGCCCACCAAGATCTATGTCCAGGCCCTTGTCGCACTGCTCACACGCCCAAATCACGGCATCAAGGCACTGGCTCACATAACCGGCGGAGGACTTAGTGAGAATATTCCAAGGGTTTTGCGAAAGGATCTGGCTGTTCGGCTGGATGCCAACAAGTTCCAATTGCCGCCTGTATTTGCCTGGCTGGCCGCAGCCGGAAACATCAGTTCCACAGAGCTGCAACGCACTTACAACTGTGGTTTGGGCCTGGTCCTAGTGGTGGCTCCCACCGAGGTGGAGAAGGTTCTCAATGAGTTGAGGTATCCTCAGCGTGCCGCCGTCGTAGGAGAAGTGGTTGCCCGAAAAGATCCCAAGAAGCCACAGGTCGTGGTGCAGAATTTCGAGGCTTCAGTGACGAGGACCCAGAAGCTTTTGTCCACACCAAGGAAGCGAGTGGCCGTGCTTATCTCGGGAACCGGCAGCAACCTCCAGGCACTCATTGATGCCACGCGGGACTCAGCCCAGGGAGTCCACGCCGACGTAGTTCTAGTGATTAGCAACAAACCTGGTGTTCTTGGACTAGAGCGTGCCGCCAAGGCGGGCATACCTTCGCTGGTCGTTTCCCACAAGGACTTTGCCAACCGCGAGGTCTACGATGCTGAGCTTACGCGAAATCTGAAGGGAGCCCGCGTGGATCTCGTTTGTCTGGCCGGTTTTATGCGAATCCTGAGCTCTCCGTTTGTCAAAGAATGGCGTGGCCGTCTCATCAACATTCATCCATCCTTACTGCCAAAATACCCCGGTCTTCATGTCCAGAAACAGGCTCTGGAGGCGGGTGAAAAGGAATCTGGCTGCACTGTTCACTTTGTGGACGAGGGCGTTGACACTGGCGCCATTCTCGTCCAGGCTTCGGTACCCATTTTGCCCGGCGACAATGAGGAAGCCTTGACGCAACGGATCCACAAAGCCGAGCACTGGGCATTCCCGAGAGCTCTGGCACTGTTGGCCAATGGCTCAGTTCGCCTGAGTCCAGAGGGAAAGTGTCTCGGCAAAGATGGCCAGTAAATCCGTTTAGTTTGTAATCTTGTAATTGTATAATCTTTCAAACCCTATAGGGGTTAAATCGGACATCACAGGAATGAATTTATGTATAACTATCTTTTGACATTCTCATTTTGTTATAAAAAGATTTTGGCTAAGACTGCACATGATTTTTTATAAATATCAATTATTTACAATATTTGGCATTATTTTAAGGGGTCAACCCTACATTTTTACTATTTTGGGACTACTCTTTATCAATTACTAATTTGGGGAATCTACAAACTAATATCACGATTGGGTTCCTCATCACAAGAAGTGACTAAAAAGTGAAAACAGGCTAGAACCGGAAGTGGCCTGTGTTTCCACCTGTTGACTTGACTTTGAATCCACCGAAGGCCGCTTGACATTACGCTGCAAATCCGGATCATTGAATATGGGCTCTGCCATTCTGTCCAAGTGAAGCCGAAAGAATTGGTTTTGAAGGACGGGTACAATCAGATTGTACTTGTCGATGAGCTTGTTCAGCTGCTGGATATCTTCCTGGTGCTTTTCATGAAACTTTTGCCAAGCAGCTAGCTCTTCGAGACTCTGCAGTGGCCATTCTCCGTAGTATATGCGCTCCTGACGCAGCTGCTGCTTGAGCTGACCCGCAGCATCGCGGATGTCCTTGCTGAGGCTGATCCACTCCGGTGTGAATCCATTGTCCAGCATTATCTTGTTCAGCTTGTGGGTGGTAAAGTCCAGATATGGATTTTGCGACTGAAGGGTGGAGAGGGGCTTGCCAGAGCCATCGAGATTATTAAAGTCGCCCTTGGACATGGCCTCCTGGATAAGATCCTCTACGACGCGCTCGATGCCGTACTTGGTTTTGATGGCATGCTTGCGAAAGTGATTCCCGCCCTTAGACATTAGAGTTTTCTCGCCTGCGGCGGCCTTGTCGATGCGATGTTCCAAGACCCTTTCCTGTGCCTTCATGGCGCGCACCTGTTGGTATTGCTTTTGGCGCTGGAAGGGCGTGCCCACGCCGATACCCTCGTTGGACAGATACTGACGGTGTTGTGGAGCTGTGTGTTTGATGTCAAACTCCATGGCTTCCTCCTCATCCTCTGAGATATTACGTCGCCCCTTAGCGAACTTCTCCTGCAGCACTCTGAAAGCCTCGTCCACCTGTTGGAATCGTTCGGCGCTGGCCTCCTCGGTTCCAGAGTCCGGGTGCACCCGCTTTACCAGATCCAGGTATGCATGTCGTACGGTGTTCTGATCAGCAGATTCGTGCACTCCCAGGATGCGGAAACATTCCTACAAAATGGATGTTGCATAATTGATTTAAACAGAGGTAGATGCGTTACTCACCAAATAAACCTCCCGGCGTTTAAGGTGCAACAGGCGATTGGATCCCCCGGCAAGTGTTCGAATGGCCCCGAAAAAAAGGCTTCCCGTTAAAAACATTTTTCCTTTTTGAAAACGTTAGATACTTTTTCCTTTTCTGATCTGAGCTGACATAAAATTATTTTATATAAGGTTGATTTTTAATTTTTGTAGGTTTTTGATTTTACATATCCGATAATATCGATCAATGCTGGTTTTTAAGGACCTTTATTATAAATTAATCACGTAATAAACAAAGATCAACTAGATAGTATCTGAAGATACTAAAAATATAAACAAAAATCAGCTGATGATTTGAAACAATGAAATCCACACCACATTTGGTGTATCTGGCAGATACAGTCCACAATCCCATCTAGTGTGTTTTGGTATTTTTTTTAGTATTAATCGTTTATTGCAAAAGAAAAATTATATAAAAATATAAAAAATATAAAAATTATAAAGATATATTAAACGTTGTTTACTCTATTTTGCAAAAATTTACTATTCAGCAAAACTAAATTCAATTAAAAATAAAAAACTTAATTTTAAGTACTTAGTTTTATATTCATTTCTTTTTATTATATGTACATATATTTTGCTAACGCAGGCTAACACAATTTTAGTTATTTTAGGTTCAATTTTATTTATTTTTGTCAGTTTTTATTAGTAGTTAAAGTGGTTAGCCTAATAATGTGTTCCCCATATCCTTTACGTATTATTTTTTTAGTTTTCTTGACAATTATTTGGATATTAGAATTGTTTACCAAAACATCTCGACTATTTTGGATATAATTATTATCAAATTAAACTTGAACTAATTAATTAAACACTCAAACAAAAAAAAAATTAAAAAGGGAATTTGGCCTACAAATTTATTGGAATGTGCCAAAGCTTGGAAAGAAATAATGTATGTTAGAATGAGATTTGTAACGCGTGTTTATTTCTCATGATTCTTTAATCCAAATCCATAATTTAACTTCTACTTAAAAATATTTAATAAAAATATAAAGAGTGTCGATTATAAAATATTTAAACAACCTTCATGCTCTGTTTAATTTGCAAACAAAAAAATGGTAACATTTATTATCTTTTTTATATAAATAATAAAAATTGCAATATGTGTACCTGCCAGCCAAAATTAGAGCACGAAAGTGGGCTAAGTGGGCTTTGGCTAAATGCACAATTATCAAGATCAAGTTTTACAAGATTATATTATCAAGAACTACTCTAAAAATAGGAAAACGGCTGTCAAATTTGTAAAGTTTATTACGAAATCCTTGACAACTTATGATTTTGGATGTTAAAATACAAGAAGTGATTTATGATTCTTGGCTTGACTCGCATTATTTGTGGCATAGAATATTTTTTGCAGCATCCCGTTTGGCATGTTTGGTGTGGCACATTAGCATATATAAAAACAGGATGGGGACAGGCTTGCTCCAAATTCTCAAAGTTTATCATGCCACATCAGTTGTTCTGTGCCACATTGCATCTAGTCGTCATCGACAATATCGGGCGTGAACAAGTTGCAGATTTCAAGGAAATGAGCCAGTTTCTTGCCAATATAACCACCCAATAAAATGCCTGGTAAGATCGTGACAATTAGACCAATTCGCGAATATTTGTTTCGCCTGCAAACATCCCTGACTTCGATGTAGTCAGAGTGCTGATCATTGCGACCCCTAGGCATATTAAATATTTTTCAAAGAGGTTTTTGTTTTTATTTATTTTTTATGAAATGACATACAAAAGTGTTCTGATGGAAATGTCAAGACTTTCTCCAACCAAAAAGGGACAGGCACGCCCCAAAACCTAAACTCAAACCCGAACCCAAAACCCTCATCGAGTATACGTGCCGCTAGAATATTTGAGTGTGCGCCCTATATGGGACTTCCGTTCTGGTGGCCCAGCCGCTTGATTTTGTAGTCTGTCTGATGGTAACTCCTCAATTGTCTTGCAATTGTCTACATTTCCCCCTTGGAAGCGGTCAATTTTAGTTTCAATATTCGGTGTCTTGAAGCCGACCAGCAGAAGTCAGTCTCCACAGACCGTGGAAAGGATGGTCGAAGGTAAGGGATAATGGTGTTTCCCACAATGGGATGTGCAATTAGAGGAACCACTCGTTAGAAATTTACTCCTCGTGTAGTTTCAAAGTCATTAGTTAGAATTTGTTCAAGGGTTTGTCTATTTCTTCTAACATAATCACATAAATTGGTGTAAATCACGTTTTTTAAACCAATTTCTGAGCAAAGAGGAAGTAAAATGTGGCATAACATCTTTGAAGATTGATTGATGTTGTTTCCTATTATAAGGTAGGTTAAGTACTTTCATGTGTAAAGTGCATCATTTAATCTAATTCATATTTGATATAGTTGAAGAGAAATCATAATTATGATTAAGAGAAAATGGAAACGGAAGAATTCAATTATTTGTAAAAGATTATCTATTTTGAAAGGTACTTATATAGTCAATTTTATTTGCTGGAGGAAATTCATTGCATAAAACCTTTTATTGTTACCTTAAAGCTGGCGTCAGGACACTTGATATTCTAAAAACTACAAATCCCAAGGAGTAATAAAGGTCTGTTAGGGGTAAGTGTAACAACAAAGCAAATTTTATGGCCCAACCCTTTTAGCAAGTTCGTTGCTTGAGTCTTTTGATTGCCCCTTAGTGGATTCCGCTTCCGTTTGCCATTTCACAGTTTTCCGAGTTTATGGCTCCGTTAATGTTTGAAAACATGTATCGGGGGAGGGTAAAACCCACCTAGATAGCGCACATGTCCCGTGCAATTAGAGGGAATTTCGTAGGAAACAAGGACGACACCGCGACTAATCCACCGGCAGTGGGTAAGCCCACGTACTGGACGAATATGGCGAATCCGTTAGGTAGCTGTTCTGCTAGTTCGCTGTTAAATCGACTGCCGGCTAAAAACTCCGAGCCGTCTTTTAAGCCGAACGATCGCCGGCAGCCGGCTGGAAGACATCGGGAAGCTTTAACATTTCAGTATGCCTTCGACTGTGGTGGACGACGGTGTTGAAAACGGCGGATAAACGGCAAACTCGTAACCGTATGTATCATCGATCTGCAACAGCAAAAGCAACAGAAGAAGCAGTAGCTTAAGTGTGAGTGTATCTGTGTGAGGCTGCCCGAAAGCCGTTAAGAAGCCGTCGTCTGAGCCGTCTGAGTGGGCAAAGACATACTCTGTAAGCCGTGCTGCCACAAGAAAATCTGTAAAACGGGCACGTTGAGCTGTTTTATTTTCTTCGCTTGCCTCACATTTCTACCTATTTTTCTGCCTTGGCTCTACCTTCTTTTTCTCTGTACTACCTTTTTCTCTTTTACCTTTTTTGCTGTCGTGTCTTCTGGTCTTTAGTGGCACGGTGTGTGTTCATGTGCCTGAGATTGTGTGCGTGGACTGAAACTTCAGGTGCAGGCCGCGTTGATTTTTCTTGAACAAGTTTCAGTCTGAGTTTGGCCTTCGTGTGGTACAGTACATGGTACAGTAAACGCTCTCTCTATCGGATTTTTACATCTCTAGATTTAAACAATAAGTGCCTATGCCAGTGGCTGTGCCTGTGACTGTGCCTTTGCACTTTTGTGAATGTATTTGCCTTGAAACTGGATTTTATTCAATTGTTTTTTCCAACCAATGTGATTGATTTTGTGTGTGTGCCGCAAAAAACAAAAAGGATTTCTGTGCATTTTAATCGAGGCGCGTGCTGAGATCGTGTGTGCAAAATAAGGAAACTATCCATTAAATGGCAAAATCCAAGGAATTGTTATAAAAGTGACTGCAATATTAAGAGTGACTCTTCAGGACAAAATCCCTTTTTTGAGAAGACCACAAGAAGACTATTCAAAGTCGTACAAGCCAGAGCCGCTATTATATTCTTTTTTGTGTTGTTTGTTAGTCAGCCAAGTTAGTTGAACTTCTAGTATAATTTCTTCTTACCATTTTCTTTGCTTCTTTATAGTGTGGCTGCTCGGTTTTTACCACTCCATTAACTTGTCTGTGCCTTTTGCACTTTACTTTGTAGCTGACATTAGTCTGCTGCCATGGAGCCTACCATAGATCAGAGCATATGTGGTACATCCATCCATAGGGAGTAACACACTCTGGTACTCACTTCACATGCCAGGTGCGCATTTACGCTCCCATTAACCGGGTAGAAATAACAAAGATTTGGGGTAACAAGAAGCAACAACCGATATACAGAGCACCAACTGGCCAGCAAGTGTTTTGCGCAATGGCCAAAAAGAAATGGTGCGGCCAACAAAAAGCAACAGCAGACCACAACACACAACAAGTTACCAAAAAATAATTAGGGATACAAAATTGCAGTGTTGCGGTTGAAGTTAGTCCATCAACAAGTGCATTTAGCTTGGTTAGGTAACTCAAGCCCCACCAAGTTTGCGGCCTAAGTCTTTCGAAGCACAAAAATCTGGAATAGGAATTTTTGTTGGTTCCCCTCTCAGGGGACAGGGTTTCACCTAATTAACATAACTATTTCTTCGAAGATTTTGGTGAGCTCAAAACCAAAATGTTCCCAACACATTCCGAAGACGTGCTTCGACTTGAGACGAGAACTCTTGGCTTGGCTTGGTTCGGTTGTCTTCCACGGCATACATAATTAAACAGACCCAACCCCGATAGGGAAAATATAGATAGAGTCACTAACCAAACGGATCATAAATTACTTTTATGTGTCGCGTCTCTTCCAACTTTTAATCAACTCAAATATCTCCCAGCAGTGCAACACTGGCCTTGTCCACTAAAAACTTTATATAAATATTAAAAAATAAGCACCGAAAAGTTGCCATATAAAACGGAAACCGAAACCGACCGAGTTGTCGGGAAAGGGAAAAGAAAACGCCGTCGTTGTGGCTTTTGTTGACCCCAAGGATAACCAGCTGACATGCCACATAAATTGGAATACTAAGCATTCGCGAAACGATACATAACGCACCTATAAAGTGGTTATATTTATACCAACAGCTGCATTCATAAGAGGTGAGTTGCATATTGAAATGGCGGCGAATGAGCCGGTATAAGATGGACGAGTATATAACTGGGGGACTTTTGAAAAGTACAAGAGAAAGAATCGAGCTTTTTCATATTTTTAGAGATAATGGAGACTGACATCATTATCTACAAAACAATAAGCTTCCAACTATCAATCAATAATCAATAAAAACCACAAACTACACTTCCAAGCCACGCCTCGTTTTGAATTCAGTCATTGCGCAAATATTCGATTATAAACAAACGAATGCTTTCGTTTACGCCAATGATTTGTAATTAAACTTTGCTTTTATTGAGTTTATTAATTGATCGATTCCTGCTATTATTGGTAATAGTGTAGGCCACAATGCAGTCCCACATTAACCCATAAAAAGTAGCACACACACACATCAGCCGCACAATAAGAACAATTTCTTTTACTTTCTATTAAACAAAACCCGAAAAAAAGCTTCGATTGTCTGTCGGCCGTGTCTGACGCGCCTTTGTTGTCACATTCATTCAATAAAGGCCAAGTCGGCTTCCCTCAACTGCCGCCCCACGACCCCGCGGCACTCTGGGGGAGTCGAAAAGCGAGAGCTACCAAACAGTTAACCTCAATTTCAAGACGCACTCGGCAAGCTGTTGCCTTTCTGTTGTTGTTGCTTAATAACAGAAACCGAAACAGCCACAATGCCGCATAGAAGTTGTAAAAAATTTCACTCAAGTTAACTTAAAGTGAAAAGCAGAACAAATGACGTACAAACCAGCACAAAATCCCACTCATCCGATCTGTAAACAGCGCACAAAAAATAGCTTTTTTTTTGGCAAAGCTATTTGGCAAATATAAATAAACTCGTTTCTATATGGAAATTTATGCCATGATTAAGAAAAGATCTCTAAAGAAATGAGTTCTACTTAAGTCATTTCCATAACTCTGCTAAAAAGTATCGAAACAAGTAAAACGTGTTTTAGCGCGTGCTTTATGGCTTAAATCGCTATGGCTTAGTCATAACTACATTTTTGTATTGGCATTTTACCTTAGAGCATCTAAACGGAAGTTGGGGCCAACATTTTAAAGTAGGGAATGCAATGTTTGCTTTTTTAAAACTTTAAATGCTTGCAAGTTTGTTGCCTAAGTCTTTTGATTTGGCTTGAGTGTTAAGGGAGTTAAACATAAAAGTAAATGTTACCTTTACCCCATTATTTACAGCAATATAAAAAAGTAAAGAGGGTTTCGAGTTTCCTTCAAGCCACTGCTCTGGGATGATCTAATCCTGAAATTCAGAGAAATCAAAGACAAAATCAGATCTATGGGCTATGATGAGTATTGTACAAATTCTTCGACCTTTTCCGAGGGTTTATAATTGGCAGTTGACGCCGATGTGCCGGCAGGTAGATATACACAACACACCCTAAAAAACACAATAATAGCAGAAATAAAAATCAATTCACCAAATTCCCAGGTAACAGGCTTAGAATGGATCCATTTTCAAAACTATTTTGAAAGTGCGAGAAGTCATAAGAAGTCAGAAGACGGGGTTTGTTTTGAGGCTCCTTTTTTTAAGGATTAATGGAGCCTGAATTACGGCTAAGTAGAATGATTAATCTCCTGCCACAAATCAAGCCGCCATTACAAGAATGGAATGCCAGGGCGTGGTTGTGTTAATCTCAAGGGAAATCCATCAATGAGGTACAGATGGTTCAAATCTTTACCGACACGCGAGAAGCTTTTCACAGAGACGCATGTCTCGCGATCATCAAATTATTAAATAATTACTACAATTTGATTGGGTCAATAATTTTCTAATCAACAACTTTTTCTCGGTAACGAAAGTTTTCATTGGATGTATTTTTTGGATTTTGTTTTTCAATTTTGTTATTTTCAAATTCTCAACTTCCGCCTCATCAACAGTGAAAGTCCGCACGAATACCAAACTCATACTAAAAGCGAATTAATGGTCATCTTTTCGCTCTCTATTTCTGTCTGAGGAAAAAATACAGAAAGCAAAAAAAAAAAATAAAAGAGCTTGATCATGTTGAAAAGCAGTTGACAATTTCATAAGTTTTCCAAGGTGGGCGCTTTCACGGCGCCATCATCCATTGCCCGTCGATTAGTTACAATTGCCACAAATTTTCTTTATTTTTTTTTTCTATTTCCATCGGCAAGTGCGAGTGCGTTTTCTGTTTTCTTCTTATGTTTTTAATTGTGAGAATTATTTGGAAATGTGGAGCTCTCTCGCTGGGAAAAGCGAAACAAAACAAAAAACATTTTACACTGTCATTGTCGACAATTGTTGGAAATAAAAAAAAAAAGAAGTGATTAGGCTTTGTGAAAGAGATCCGATGTTTTCAAGACTTGTAGAGTAGTCTTTATAATCAGGCCGCACTTCTTGTTGGCAATTCTTTAAAGTCACTCACTCATAATTCCCATTCACTTTCAAGATTATCTTCTGCGTTTCCTGAGCTGCCGAAACTTCAAATGCTAACTCAAAAAATATTTCACATGACTTCTTCGCACTGTTTGTGTATCTCTATGTATACGAAGCTTCTTTAAACTCTAAGGCAGACTGTCTGACTCTTGACTCTGGTGTGCATATTTTCGTTAACCTGTTTTGGGTTTGTTGCTTTTGCCTTTTTGGCTGCATTCTTGATGGCTTCACGTCTTCGGGCCACGCAGCCAGCGTCTTCAGTTTCAAAAAGTCGTTAACAAAAGCAACAAATAAAGAAACTGATACTTTGGCCTGAAGGGTTTTGGTGTGCGATAGTGATACTCTTTTTGGTAGGGTGTTTGGTATTTTTGATAAAATAAAAATTCTTACTGAAAAGTAAACAAAGGAAGTTTGAAGAAGAAATAAGTTCGTAAACCATATTATACGTTTTCAATAGAGTATTTGGCATTCGTTGTTCTTTTTAATTAAAAATGTTCATCATTGTTTTGAATTATATATCCCAAGATATCATGGGAGTGCCTTTCAGCCCTGGTGGTTGTTTGACGAGCCGCTGACTTCATTTTGGCGATTCGAGTGCTTTTGTGTCGGTGGGAGTAGCTGTGAGGTGCGGCTGGCTCTTGCATTTCAATTTCTTTGCTCGACCAAGTCATTTATTTCCAGTTACAAAACCATCAGCAAAACAAAACTTTTCCTTGTCTATTTACGAATTAAATATTAATTGCACTCGGCACCCACTTTCGGCCCCCCGCCGCGCTTCTTTGCGTTTTTTGCTTGTGAAAGCGTTGGCCAGTAGAAATCACTTGACCATTTTGTGCCCAGCTTTCGTCGGCTCTGGCTCTTGCTCTGGCTCTAGCTGGACATGAAAACAAATGGATGTTGTAGCAACGCGTTGCTGTCGGTGGCAAGTTACCCGAAAAAGATAAATACAAATATGAGTATAGTGAAAAGTGTTAAGTGGTCAGCCAGACAGGCTGAAGGAAAACACCAATTTCGATGGAAGATCAAACAAGTTTATCAACTGCCAGTGATAAGGAACCAATTTTCTTGTGGTTAAGTGCAGTTTAGTGGCCAACCGCAGGTCAGCCTTCATAGCTCATTAGGCCCCTTTTTTATTGGCCTGGCCGATAGAAACCCCATTAAAGTCTCATTGGTTTGGCCGCAACTTTGGCCACAAACACAATTCATGTAACCCAAATACCAAGGCATTCAAAAAAAAAAAAAATACAAAAAAAATCAACTTACATGCCACAGGCCCGAAACTAGTTCAATGGGTCTCTCCACCGATCGGGCCAGCTGCCCCAGCTGGTTTTCTCTCCACAAGCTCTGCTCCCTGCGGCTCCAGCTACCTGACCAACAAAATTAAACACAAATTTTTATGTTCGGCCAAAAGATCAATAGCAGCAAGAGGCAAAAGAAATCACGAAGCCCAAAAAGAACATTAATTTACATAAAGATCTGGTTTTCTTCTCCATGCCTCCTCTCTCTTTCCTTTGTGGCATGAAATGATACCCATAACGGTGGTAAAATACTGGATTATGGAAAGATCTTAAATCCAATGAGAGTGAGTCTGATTGGAGAACAAAGAAGCCGACTTGATAGTCTATATAGTATATATTTTATCCAAGTAGATCAAACAACTAATTTCTTCTAATCAAATAGATCACGAAAGTAGTGAAATGTCTTGATTATTTCATTAAAGTCAATCACCATCGATCTGAATAGTAAATTGATCTTTTCTCCTGCTTAAGATTCAATTAGATCTGAAATCTAAAGAAAATCTGTATTTATCTTGCATTAAGCTGTCTAGTTCAGATCTATCTAGTCTCTTGAATGGCTGTCTGCAAATTAAATGTTTCTCCGACTGATCCTCATTGATACACAAATAGCCATCGAATTAAAGCCGGACACTGATGCTCTCTCCCGCCATTTACTAGATGTCCCAGTTTCTCTGCCACGCCATTGCCATAAAAAAGCTTAACTCAATTTGCTGGAAATGGTAAAAAACCAATTGACCTTCAGGCCAAAAGGAAACCAAAGTAAAATAATATTTGGTCATTAGTTGGGCAGACACTAAAAAAACGTGTTTTCCAGCATCGATTTGTGTGGCCAATATTGGCAAAAACAAAAGAAAAACCAGCTAAGAAGAAAAAACACGAAAAAGCCAAAATGATCGGCAGACAAGTGCACAAGTGAAAGTCTCTGGTCTTTGGTGGAAAACTGTGAGCTCGTGTGAAGAAATGAAAATGGAAAACTTAAGCGTTGGCCATAAAAGGCAAACATACCGGCAGCAGCGGCAGCCTTAACAGCAGCTGCATTTCCAATCACCTAAAATCGAAAACCAGCAGCACAAAAAGTTCACCAAAAATTATATGCACTCCGGTTGACTTTTACCATTTGCTCAACTTAGTCATCATCTTCAGGTTTTCGTTTTTGAGTCTTAGGTTTTGTTATTGTTTTCGTTTTTGTTGTTGGTCTTTTAACCCGCTAAATGTCGAAGGTGTCATCAATGGTGGCAGAGCCAGGTATAACGAAAACCGGTTTGGTCACAGATCGTTCCGTTTCTTGTTTGATATTCAGTTTGCATACACACATGTGTGCTCAGGAAATATTTGAATTTTGATTGCAACTGATGCAGCAGTGATGCTGATGTCGATTGCAAAATCTCTGCATTGGCGGATGAAAGAGCTTGTCCAAGTCTTTTGTTCTGTACGCTTCTCTTCGACGGTGGCTGTCAAGTTCGTTTCCTAAGTCATTCGTTTTCTGCCGGTCTAATATTATTTTATCTGCAGGAAAGTTAATTAATATGAGCATTTATCTAACCACCTTACCTAATAAGCTTCCATTTGCCTATCTGGGGCTTAATCAGCCTCTTAACGATTTCTGTCATGGGAATTACGAAAATCCACACGAGACAACAGCTTCCCATACCGCCCATTTTGATGCAAATTTTTGGGGGAATCTTTCGAAATGATTGTTAAGCCATTATGTTGGGCGTCTGCATAATAAAGACACACACAGACATGTAATCAAAGACAAATCAATGGGCAATAAACCGTAGACGCTAAATCAAATAAAATGCTGCCATCACAGACCTTTCACTCTCGTCGTCGTGCTTTTGCTTATTTACATGCTAAATGGCTGTTCATTTTACTTTTGTTTATTATTATTTATTATCCAAGACAACATTTGCATACATTGTGTGTATGTCGAGTGCAATCGGTTGCAGTTTGCATTTTTCAGTTTGCAGTGAAGAATGGAAAATATTGCTTTGCTTACTTGTGCAAGGCTTTTGGTTCGTATCGTGCTTTCGTCATTAGTCGTGATTATATAAGGCCCTGATATTTTGGCCACAAATTTTGGACTGCATTTTAGCCCCACAGGCTAGCTATCAAGAAATTAGGAGCCTAAAAGCATCCACTATTGCTGGTATTATGATTAATGCTTTGAAATTTAAGAAATTATTCTATTAAACAATGATGATGATGAAAAATTATAATCTTAAACATATTCAATTTTAATGAATCTTCACCAAAAGCATCTCGTGCTAATGATGATGCTGTTTAACCTTCAATGAATTCACAAATTCACAGTCTTCACAGACAGCTAATGACAATGCTGTCTCTTGGTTGGGTCAAAGCCTCCCACCCACGCCCTTGCCACCGGCCCCCGGACCGTCCCCTTTTGGCCTTTTGTGTGCGCTTCATTAAACAGCAAAGTAAATAAATACTGGGTAAAGCTGTATAATTTTTGGCGCCTTTCCGCTGAATGCTACCAGACATCGAGTTGCCTTTAGTTTGGTTTGACTTTACGCGACATGGTTAAGGCAAACAATGCCAACTTCACCCACACACAAATATCTTGAGTCGCTGGACAAGTAGATAAACAACGAAAAACAGTTAGCCATCGAACAAGTTTGTGGTTTGGCGGCTGCAAGTTGCTTTCTGGGCCAAACCGCATAGCCAACTAATTGCACAAAAAATGTGGCATGCCGCAGCCGCAGCAGCAGCAACAGTGTGGCAGGCAGCTGCTGCAGCTAAATTTTCAAACTCTAAACTGGGAAAATGCCATGCGAAAGAAAACAACAACGCATTGCATAATTCGTTGCCCTTTTGCTTATATTACTATGTATTTTAATTATAATTTCTGAAAGACGAGAAAATTATAAGCTAAAAAACAAACAAGAGCTGCCATCGCTATTTTTCTTAATTAGTGTCGAGAGGTGCGTGCAGTCTTGGGTTACTTGCAAATTTATTTAGCTGTCTTTTTTTCTTCAATAAAAGCCGCCAAGACCTGTCTGGAGTTTAAGCCGCTTTTCAATGGCTTTTATTCATTTTTTTTTGGCCTAAGCCTCTCGTTCGCATGCAACAAAGTTATCTAACATAATGTTTCGCTTTTGTTGATACTTCTCCTGGCGATGTTGATGTTGCAGAGTCTGTGTATCTTATTGCAAATGAAACATGTGGCAGGGCGTTTGCCTTCGCGTTTGACTAAATTTTAAGCCAAGATTGAGATTTCCCCCACAGACAATTTCCGGATGTTGTTAATGGTTTTTGGTCCGAGACTGGTCTATGACTGGTGTGTTTTATGGTTTTGTATTACAAATGCAATTGTGAAATATGACTTTTGGTTTATTAGAGACATTTAATATCTTTATTAAACTTTAAAAGGTTAAATCATAAAATTTGATGCCTGCTGACAGTCTTCAACCCCAATTAGACTAGCCTTAACACAGCCTCCACCTCAAATGCCAAGTTAGTTAACAAATTTCAATAAAAAAGTGTAACAACAGCAACTGTACATCTTGTGTTAGCTGGTCTATAATTACTTGACAATAACGGCAACCTTGCGCCTCGATCTCCGTTTTCAAAAGCGGTAAAAGCAATGGCAAGGGGTTGGGCGGTTCAGACACGAATATGCCTCACCCGAGACACCTCAGAAACCCCAGACAGACTGTATCTAGCTTTGGATATGAATGAAAAGTCACACACGCACACCCAAGCACACTACTGAATGCAAACGAGTTTGGACAAATAAACGCAATCGTGATATTTGACAATAATGTGATTTAAAAAAAAAATACGAAAAAACCTTAAACTTTGTGTCAAATATTTAATTGCTAATTAGAGAGTTCAGTGTAGTGTGAAGTTGAAACCTAAAATTAAATTTCTAAACACATCCAGCTCTTGTTTGGAATTTCCAAATTAATTTCTCTTGCTCGAAAGTCATCTTACACGAATACCATTTTCAATTAAAAAGCAACGCATTAAACTAAGCATTAACATTATTTATGGCACACACTGTGTTAACAATCTTTAAGCGGTGAGGCTAAGGGGAGGTGTAGAGACAAGTGTATGCAAATTCTTTAGCTAGCTGCGGTTGGCAGACTTCTCGAGAAACTTTCTAAAACCGCATTCACTAAACGCGAAAGGCCGCAGAAACACGTGCTCAGATCGCTGGCAAGGCGGCGTCTGAGTCATCTTGGCATAAATTTGCTAATCATTTATTTTTGTGAGTGAGGTGTGAATGAGGCAACCAGTTTTTATCGATTCGAGGCCATAAACTAATCTCCCATCGATTATTTCGATCGATCTAGGATGTTGAAAATGACCGAAAATCAAATGGCATTAAAATAATATTTCTTTTCCCTTTTTATTTTTTGCTCGATTTCAGATTGGTAACCAAACTCTGGGCTTAATTGGGATTTAAATCGGGCCAACATGAACCAACCGACGGCAGCCAATTCGCATTGGCTGGCCGCTTTGCTGTCGTCGTTGCTGCTTTTCAATTTGCTGCACTCGATCGGAGCCGACGAGGCGTTTTCCTGTCCAAATGGTAAGTTGGCCAGCTAAGCCTGGCTTTAACCCTACATCTACCAATAACCGAAATTAAGTTAAAATTCCGAATTGCATTCCGACAAACACGTGCGTGGCTAGCGGACGCAGGTGTGGCAAACCAAAAATCTTTTTGGGCAAATACATAAATCAAAAGCGAATATAATTAAAGACAAGCCAAGCTGAGCCAATTGGGTGTCTGAGTTGGGTGTGCTTCTACCACTGGCAATTATGTCTTTAAGAATGTTTTGTCTTGTCTTCTATAAAAGCTTCTAATTACGTAATTGAATCTGTGATTGTGTGTTCGAATCGTGGTATGATTAACAATTTCCGGTTGTTAAAGTGTCTAAGGAAAATAAAAAGCTAGGAAAGTCTTGGCACTTCTAATAGCCATCACTATTGATTTTTACTCTTAACTTGGTTCTTAATAAGTAAAATTTATGATAAACAAAGGGCCATAAAATAAAGTTTTCTATGTTATAAAAATCAAAACAAATTAATCATACTTAAGACCATTATTTGGATTTACACACCTCAGAAATATTCCCAAAATACTTTTCGTCAAGTCATTAGTATTTCCTCAGTGTAGTTCTTTCCATATTTGTGTCATAAAGATATCAGCATGCGTTTTGGCCATAAAAATTCTTAGGCTAATGACAAAATCCACAAAAGCCAATAAGCAACCTGCTAAACGGGTTAACACTCAACGATACCAACAGAATCCCATAAAGAATAACAATTCAGTGAGCTGAAAAGTTTGCAGAAAATGTAGAGATGACGGAAGTTATGGCCAAGCTAATCAATCAATATGTGTTGGTCTCTTTGGTAATGGATTGGGTGGTCGGGAGGGGGGTGGTCCTCCCGTACTACACATAACACTGCCTTTCACTTGGCTTTGCCACCTACAACACCTGGTGGTGTGAGATATAGATAACGGTTATTACATATGCCAAAACTTGTTTCTCTCTTGGCCGATTACCATGTTTTCTTCTTCTTCATCTGTAGAATTCCATGACAGCATATACTCGTATATAGTAGAATGCTCCAAAAGAAGAATTTCCAACTCTAGACCGCAAACAAGATTTCTTAACGGTTTTCCGCTGCCGCTTTTGCTGCAGTAGTTGCTCATTTTTTTTACTTTTTCCTCACTTGGCCGACTGAGTGAATGAGTGAGTGAGTGACTACCTCCAACTGGCTCTGGCTCTGGCTCCTGGCATCTCTTAACTATCTGCAGCCTGCTTTACTGATTAACACTTGTGCATGCTTGCACACACAAAGCCAACAAAGGCGCACACACACGCATACTGTGCCACCGCCAAACAAGTTCGTTGCCTAAGTCTTTTATTTTTTAAATATTTTTTTTTTTTTCATCGCACTTAAGTATTTTCCATATGCAGGTGTCTGGGTATCTGTGACTTGTTTTTAGGTGCAGTCAGTTGGTCACACACACACACATAGTGTGGCTCAAAAAATAGGCCAAACTCTTGCCAGTTATTGCAGTTTTCCTCACCACACCATATTGCATATTGATCGTTGCTAATAAACCGAAATCGACCAAGATATGGGCCAAGAACCGATATTTATTTTGATTTTGTGACTCAACTAATGGAATTATGATGCTTAGCTATTAGTTGGGTTGTCAAATACGATTGCCATTTGGCGGGTGACAAATGGTGATGATATTATGGCTAAGGGAGTCTTGAAAAAATTAATTCTTTTGCGTGTCTTGAAGCATTTCCCAACTAATTTCCAACACAAACAGAAGTCTAGCGCTGCCATCGGCCTTTGTCGGCCACTTTGGAATCACGCCTAACTGTAAAAGCCTCAAATTGATGATGACCAACCCGACTCAGCTGACAGGCTGAAAAATAGAAAATAAAGAACATAGCTCACGGCAATGCGGAGTCGATCGTGAAGACTTAGAACAGCAACTTCCACATTTTTGGATACGCTTGAGTAAACGCTGCCAGGCGGCCGAGAGTTTCAAGCCAATTAAGTTAGCATCTCTCTGGCTCCCTCCCTGATGCCTACACTGCCAGAAAATCAAGTCGATTTGGCGTTTGATACAACATTTTCTAGGTCGGTGAGCACACACCAAAGTGATTTATGGAATAGCGACAATGTGTTACCACCTTATATGTAAAGTTTTGTTTTTCGGTTGGAGGTATTATTTATTATATTGAGGTATTTAGTAAATCATAAAGCGTGAAATGCGCGTGCGCTTGGGTTAGATTAAACAAAATTTTGTTTATTTTTCGGTGGCATATGTGTTTTTTGTCGGTTTGTTGGTTTGTCGGTTGGAAGTCAACGCTATTTCACTTGACTGACTTCTGTGTGAACCAAACAAATGTGGAAGTAATGTAAACAAAATGAAATGCATAGGGATTTAACTAATCAAAGACCGCATAGAACTTCCCAGAATCTCTGGCTTAAGTGCCCTTACTTTTCCACCAAGCTTTCTACGCACTTACTAAAATTGAGATCTCATTTCGTAGAGATTTAATGTGAAAGATACTGGGTAGCTATGCCGGCAATGGGGTTAATGAAATGAGCACAGAGAAGAAGATTTATTATTGCTAACCGCAATCAGGTTTTCACTTTTTCTTTTCCTTCAACCAACAGAACTACTGCCATTTCGAAATGAGTAGTTGGCCAAAAAACAGGGCATGGCATATTTATGTTTTCCAAAAGTGGGTAATAAACCTGGTTGGCCAAAATCTGATATGCTTATAAAATTACACGATTAGGGTATTAAAGCCTTAAGAGTGGAATAAAACGGAAGAACTGGTTAGCTCTTTTGAAATTCAATTACCATACCAAGATTTTGATTCTCACACCTTGACATGATCCAAAAAATGCCAATTTGCTGATGTTCATTAAGCCATTAACTTTGACAAAGTGAAAAATAGCAAAGGCCCTAATACACCTGAAGAAAATCGTATGCATATTAGGCTTAATACACCCAAGAAATAAAATCCCACGTGCTGGTAAATAACTAGATGATTTTTACGTAAGAAATTCTCACATTATTAATTTGGTATTGTTTTCACAAGATCTTTCCTATGCTGCAATCACTGAGCTTTGCTCTGCAAATTATATATCCACATATATACCCGTATACTATATAGACAATGATCGGGTGAAGTCAGAAACAGCAATGGATTACCAAGACAGAGACTGAGATAGAGAGGGCGAAACACTTGGCCAAGTCACGCAGCAAACATTTGCATAGGTAATGGAGCAAAAAGCAGGAGAAGCAAAGCTTCCTGGCAAGAATTTCAAATATCTGGCACACAATTCAATAAAACGAAAGAAAAAACACCAACCTGGCTAATGCAAAAGCCAAGGCACAGTCGCGGATGGAGTCTGCAACAACAACAGAAAACTGGCTAACCTTGTCCAGTTTCTCGGGCTGCACCCAAGTGGTTGAAGACCAAAAGAATTTCCGAAGCCAATTGGCAGTTACGTGGCTTTAATTGCCCTCCGCAAATCGAAGCACTCCGACGAAGTTCTCGGCTGTCATGTCACCGTGACATGGCCCGAAGGTGCAGAATTCAACGCAAAAGCTCAAGAAAAGTATCTTGGCCGTAAAGATGTGTGAGATATTCGGCGAAGTGTATTTGCAGCCATTAAAAACAATTACGTGAGGCTTCTGCGCTGATTTAGATTTCAATTGAAGCGTGTTAGGTAACCCAGAAAATAACCGCAATTCCCCCCAAAAAAAAAGAAGTCCAGAAATGTCCATGTCTTCCGTCTTCGTCTTTGTATCCACCTCCACCCCCGCATTTTCTCTGCCCCCACTTGTAAGTGGAACACCTTACAGTTAAGTGTGGTTATTTTGGCATTGAAGCATGGCTAACACAAAAATTGGTAGTGGTAAATGGGCAGACAAATAAATAAATTCGAACAAATTGTGTGGCAAATAGCGGTTCACTCGACCAGTTAGCCAAACAAATAAGCCACGAAAAGAACGTTGACTAACTGTAAACTGGGTGGAGCTGATTATAAAAATTGGTAACAGCCATAAATTTTTTGGTAAGATCGATAAGGTGATTGGAAGAAGAATTTGTTGGGGCGTAAAAAGTTATATGATAAATTAAAGAAAAGTAATGGTTATGATAGGATCTATTAGACCTGTTGTATTATTAATTAATGAATATTTAAAAATACAAATTTTCTAGTGGGCTTGCCTTATCGACAGGATATACCCATCAATTTGGAAAGCCCGCCTTTCATTCGAAATCGTCACGGAAATCGTGAAAGTCGCCTGAAATGATGTGTGGTTTTTGGCACCCATACGAATTACAGTGCCCCGAGACAAGGCGGCTTTTCTGAAAAATCTGTAACAACTCATTGGTTAGCCACAGAAGAGACCAAATATGCACAGCTCCTTTGGCAAAGACAACATTTTCCGGCGACGACTGCGACTTTTAAATGCTGGCGCGTGCTTGTGCACATAAAAACCACAAATTGCTTAAATACTTTTGCTTTTTGTTTTGGTTTCGCTTTGGCTTTGGAGCACATATATTTGTCGATTTGATTTTAAATGAAAGCTGTCAATCAAGCTGACTGCGAGGCGGGCCGTGTCCACGACTAGTGTGCAACTTTCCCATTTTTTTGTTTGGAAAAACTCCTAAAACACTTCTGCAGGAAAATGAAAGCGACAGATCGTGGCCCAAACGGGGATCAGGTTAAGAGTGCCCACAAATCTAATCGTGGGGATCACAGCTTCTCTACTAGACAGTTGCTGGAAATTCTTGTTCTCATCGAAAAACTCGAATGAGATGCAAAACAAGTTTAAGCACCGATTGGGGACACCGATCTTTCTCTTTCTCCAGTGATATATAATGATTAAAAGCATTTAATTAAATTTCCATAAAGTCTCTAGGGGGTCTGTAAGCGGTTTAAGATTAACATAACTTAAGAATTCAGGTGGTCCAGGAATTATCAATCGTGTAATAAGGGGAAACACTTAACTTTAAGAATATTATTTCCAAAATTCTTGACTAATTTAAAAATATATTTTTCCTTATGTTTCAGGCTGGGAACTGCGCGGCTTAAATTGTTATAAATATTTCAATATTAAACATTCGTGGGAGAAAAGCGCCGAACTGTGTCGAAGGTGAGTGGAATCACAACCATAACTATATGATAATTTCTGTAGCCCAGTGAGATGATGATAATATTTTTGAAGAGGAAGTGAATGGAGGGGAAGTCTATACGCCAACTTGTGTTCCGCTCTTAGCCAACAATCGAACCAGAGAATAAGGCAGAAAAAGCAATCAAGTTTGCTTTTTTTTCGCCATCCACGCTTGAACAAATGCGCTACCTGTTGTTCTTGATGGATAGAGATGGCTGGATCGATGGTTGGTTGGTCAGATATAGATATATATATGTTCTTGTTCCAGCAATTGCCGTTACACCACCGCATTGCATTTCCGTTGCCGACAGTTAACTGTCAATGCCAAAGTGGGCAGCAGTCAGAGCCAAAAAATAAAAGGCGAAAGAAGAGAAACAAGTCTTTGGCGGCTTTGCTGACCAAGTTAGCAATTGCTTTTCTGCCCGACTGGGCAGGCAGGGCCATCAATATGCCAAATCGATACTTGGGTGATTCATAATTGTGTTTTCCTTTGCCGGCAACTCCCTCCATAAACTTCGATCCAAAAAGAAAGTCGCTGGAATGCTTCCGGCAACTTGTTCCAGGCTCGTATAATTTTGTTTTTTTTTTGGGTGTTAACCTGCGCTGCTGACCCAAATATTTGTGGAGTGTGGATTGGTCCACCTGATCAAGAATCGCCCAACCCCCCGGAGTGGCCCCTGGAAATTGAGAGTGTTTTGATAAGAGAGCTTGAGATTTCTGGTTGCGGCTTAATGAACGTGAGAATCGTGATCTGGCCCGCAGGGCGATGAGTGTGTGGGGTGAAAGTTTGGCTCTCCCGACTCCGGTTTTTTGTTGGCTTGGCTTGACCAGTTGGTGTTTGTTTGGCATAGACGGAAAATATTAATAAAGCTATTGGCGTTTGGCGTTTGGATGATTAACCCCCGGCGAATGTCAATGCCCTACGCAATTTCTCCACACCATCAGCGGCGTTAAATGCCACTTAACTATGCCCGGCACATCGTGGCTCCAAAGACACCACTCTGAGCCGACTTTGCCACTCGAAGACCACTGCTCCTAATGTAATTTACATGCCATAGACCTCGCCCCAGTCAAGTCCACTGTGTTTTGTGTTCATTTGAATGCCAGCAACGTGGCTACTTGGGTTCAACAAACGTCAGCTAGCCGCCAATTGTTGGCTCTGTTTCTTCAAATGGTCGACTTGCCAAAAAGTTAAGTGTAAGGTCTGGCCAACATCATATGGCCAGGAGTATTGTGTTTATCAGCGATGGGCGATTGCGTTGACAGGTGTCATTGGCCAGTCCAAACTGTGAAATATTTCCGTCCTCCACCTTTGGTACTTTTTTGGTGAAATTTCTTTTTGACGTGCCCAGCATGAGAATCCATGAAAGCCTCTGAAAAAGGCGGTAACATTTCCAGTTAACGGAGTTGAAAAATAAAACTGTTGGAATGGCCCTCAAAGCTTTTTCACTTTTTTAACAAGGCTTTTAAAAGGCAACTTTAATAAAAAATAAATAAACTAGAGAGTAAACAGTCTCCTAAAATCTTCCTTAAGTTAAGCGTCTTGTCCAAAAGTTTCTTAAAAAGAATTTCAAAAGTAAATACACATTTTTGCTAATTAAGAAATTTCTTTTGGCGAAAATCGTAGAACTACGCAAGTCGATAAATGGTTATCCAAACAAATCTTATCCGATTTGGCTTACCTTTAAATCACACCCAAACCCATATATGTACATATAAAAAAAAATGTACAAGAAATAATGTTGACTTATGGGGCCGCGACTGAAGTTTTCACTCTTGTGTGGCACGCAACGGGTAATTGATAGCAAGGGAGTGTCTCACATACATAATTTTGTATGATTTTTTTCCTCCATTTTTGTTTTTTTTGTTTTTTTTTTGGCATGCCACAGCTGCAGCGAATAGCCAAAGGCAGCCACGTCCCACGTGGCGAATGCGTAATGTCGCAATGGGCTTCGGAATGGAAACTCGTTTTTCATTCGATGGGCTTGCGCAGAACTTGGAGTTATGAGATTGAAATCAAAGAGAGTTTTGCGATTGGAAATGAAAGTTTTACTTGGTGCAGTGTACTGTGTATATTGTGTGCTGGATTTCCCCTGATCCACATGGAGCACCATAATTGAGATAGAAACCGAAAATAGAAAGTAAAGCGCAGCTGCATAATTGAAGTTGCATTACGCCCGGCAGCGGAAGCTTGGTCAACACCAGCTTACTAATCGTTTACATCCTGTCTTGGTTCGAACATTATGAAAAGCATTGTATGGAGTAGAATATACTTTTCTGATAGACATGTCCAATAGACTATTTAATCTCTGAGAAAATGTATCTAAACATGATTTTTCTTTACAGATACGGCGCCGAACTAGTGGCCATCGATAGTTATGCGGAGAACAACGAAACCTTGTCCATTGCCCGGGCCAGTGATCCCAACCAAAGGGCTTCGGACAAGTACTGGCTGGGACTGGCCTCCCTCGACGATCTCCGCACCAACACCCTGGAGTCTGCCTCCGGGGCTTTGATCTCCCAGTACTCCGGCTACTGGTCGCTGAATCAACCGAATGCCGATTCCGGCGAGTGTGTCGCCGCCGGGTTTGCAGGAAAATCACAGAGCTGGGACCTGGGTACGTGCGAGTCCCTGCTGCCCTTCATGTGCCGCGCCCAGGCGTGTCCCCAGGGTGCCCTGCACTGCGCCAACGGAAAGTGCATCAACCAGGCATTCAAGTGCGACGGCAGCGACGATTGTGGCGATGGAACAGATGAGCTGGACTGCCCGGCCCAGTGCCACTTCCACATGCAGTCTGGAGGAGATGTGATCGAAACCCCCAACTACCCGCACAAGTATGGAGCTCTGAGCAAGTGCAAGTGGACTCTGGAGGGCCCGTTGGGCAGCAACATCATCCTGCAGTTCCAGGACTTCGAAACCGAAAAGACCTTCGACACCGTACAGATCCTCGTAGGCGGACGAACTGAAGACAAGTCTGTGTCCCTGGCCACTCTGAGCGGCAAGCAAGACCTGACCACCCAGCCCTTCGTTTCGGCTTCCAACTTCATGATTGTCAAGTTCACCACGGACGGCAGTGTGGAGAGGAAGGGTTTCCGGGCCACTTGGAAGACGGAGGCCAAGAACTGCGGCGGAACCCTGAAGGCTACCCTGCAGCGCCAGATCCTGACGAGCCCCAACTACCCGAAGCAATATCCCGGCGGCTTAGAGTGCCTTTATGTGATCAAGGCTCAGCCTGGTCGTATCATCTCCATTGAAGTAGACGATCTGGATGTGGCCGAAGGACGCGACTACCTGCTGATCCGTGATGGGGAATCGCCCATGAGCCGCACCATTGCCAAGCTGACCGGAAAGACGGCCCAGAACGAGCGCGTAATAATCTCCACTGGCAATTCCCTGTATCTGTACTTCAAGTCCAGCTTGGGAGAGGCCGGCAAGGGCTTCAGCCTGCGCTACATCCAGGGCTGCAAGGCCACGATCACCGCCAGGAACGGCACAGTCACCTCCCCTGCCTTCGGATTGGCCGACTATCCCAAGAACCAGGAGTGCTACTTCACCATCCGAAACAGTGCTCGTGCTCCACTCTCGCTGAAGTTTGACAAGTTCACGGTTCACAAGAGCGACAATGTCCAGGTGTTTGATGGATCCTCGACTTCCGGACTGCGACTGCACTCCGGCAATGGCTTCACGGGAACTGCAGCACCCAAACTCACCCTGACTGCCTCTTCCGGCGAAATGCTCATCAAGTTTACCTCCGATGCCCTTCACAATGCAGCTGGGTAAGTTCTATAGAACCTATTCTTTAGTTAAAAGCCCTTTCTAACTAGCCTTTTCTGGATTTCAGTTGGTCCGCCACCTTCTCGGCGGATTGCCCAGAGCTGCAGCCTGGAATCGGAGCCTTGGCCTCCAGTCGCGACACCGCTTTCGGTACGCTGGTCAGCTTTACATGTCCCATTGGACAGGAGTTTGCCACCGGCAAGACGCGTCTGGTTACGGAATGTCTGCGCGGTGGCAACTGGAGTGTCTCCTACATACCCAAGTGTCAGGGTAAGTCTCGAATGATTCATTTTCTGCTCAAAGATCGATTAATATAACTTGTTATCCCTTAACACAGAGGTCTACTGCGGTCCTGTGCCACAAATCGACAACGGCTTCTCCATTGGCTCCTCGAACGTGACCTACCGCGGCGTCGCCATGTATCAGTGTTATGCCGGATTCGCCTTCGCCTCTGGTGCCCCCATTGAGAAGATCTCGTGTCTGCCGGACGGAAAATGGGAGAGGCAGCCCAACTGCATGGCCTCCCAGTGCGCCCCGCTGCCGGAGGTGGCTCACGCCAATGTGACGCTCCTGAATGGAGGTGGTCGCAGCTACGGAACCATCGTCCAGTACGAATGTGAATCGGGATACGAGCGGAACGGTCATCCGGTGCTGACCTGCATGTCCAACGGCACCTGGAGCGGCGATGTGCCCAGGTGTACACGCAAGCGTTGCTACGAGTTCCCCGACATTGACAACGGATTCGTGGTGGACTCCACCAGGGAGTACCTGTTCGGAGACGAAGCCAGGGTCCAGTGCTACAAAGGATACAAGCTCATCGGCAGCAACATCATGCGCTGCAGCGAGGCCCAGAAGTTCGAGCAGCCGCCGATCTGCGAGGACATCAACGAGTGCAGCTCCTCGCAGTGCGATCTGACCACCACCGAGTGCCAGAACACCAACGGATCCTTCCACTGCCAGTGCCGTGCAGGATTCACAGCCACCACCGAGTGCCGACCAGTCGCAGATTTGGGACTAGGAAATGGTGGCATTCCCGACGACAGTATCACCACTTCCATAAGTGAACCAGGATACAGCAAGACGCAGTTGCGATTGAACACCAACGGCTGGTGCGGCGGCTCCTCGGAGCCAGGTGCCAATTGGATCCTCATCGACCTGAAGGCCCCAACCATCCTGCGAGGCTTCCGCACCATGTCCGTGCAACGACCGGACGGCAATGTGGCTTTCAGCTCCGCGGTGCGTCTGCAGTACACCAACGATCTGACAGATGTGTTCAAGGACTACGCCAATCCTGATGGTACTGCCGTGGAGTTCCGGATCTTGGAGCCCACTCTGTCCATCCTAAACCTGCCCCTGCCAATCGAGGCACGTTACATCCGCTTCCGCATCCAGGACTACGTCGGTGCCCCTTGCATCCGCATGGAGCTGATGGGATGCACCCGTCTGGACTGTGTGGACATCAACGAGTGCAGCAAGAACAACGGTGGCTGCGACCAGAAGTGCATCAACTCTCCCGGAGGATTCGCCTGTGGCTGCAACACTGGCTACCAGCTGTACACCTCTAACGGAACTGCCGGCTTCCACCTGGAGCGCTCGGAGTCGGGTGAACGTGACGGAGATACCTACCAGCGCAACAAGACTTGTGTGCCCGTCATGTGTCCCGAACTGGATGCCCCCGAGAACGGCCAGTTGTTGAGTGACAAGAACGATTACCATTTCGGCGATATAGTGCGCTTCCAGTGCCACTTCGGTTACATCATGAGCGGCAGCTCGTCGGCTTTGTGCCTGTCCAGCGGTCAGTGGAACGCTAGCGTACCAGAGTGCAATTGTAAGTATTTCTTAGGGATTCTTTACGGTTCATAAAATTAAGGGGTTTATCCTTTTTGCAGATGCCAAGTGCGTTTCCTTGCCTGATGACAAGCTGGAGGGTCTTACCGTGGCCCGCCCCGATCCCGAATCCGTGCTTGTTCCCTTCCGCGACAACGTGACCATCACCTGCGGCTCCGCAGGTCGCCAACTGCGTGCCACTGCCTCTTCTGGCTTCCGTCAATGCGTCTACGATCCCAAGCCTGGTCTGCCGGACTACTGGCTATCGGGAATGCAGCCTTCCTGCCCCAGGGTAGACTGCTATGCCCCTATGCCCACGCCCGGAGCTGAATACGGACAGTTTGTGGACACTCGCTTCCAGAGCAGCTTCTTCTTCGGCTGCCAGAACACCTTCAAATTGGCCGGCCAGACCGGACGCAATGACAACGTGGTGCGATGCGGTGCCGACGGCATTTGGGACTTTGGTGACCTGCGTTGCGAAGGACCCGTTTGCGAGGATCCTGGCCGCCCAGCCGATGGTCGCCAGATTGCCCGCAGCTACGAACAAAGCTCGGAGGTCTACTTCGGCTGCAATCGTCCTGGCTACATCCTGATCAACCCACGACCCATCACCTGTATCCGCGAGCCCGAGTGCAAGGTCATCAAGCCCTTGGGTCTGAGCTCTGGAAGGATTCCCGACTCTGCCATTAATGCCACTTCGGAGCGACCCAACTACGAGGCCAAGAACATCCGCCTGAACTCGGCGACTGGCTGGTGTGGCAAGCAGGAAGCATTCACCTACGTGAGCGTGGACCTGGGACAGATCTATCGTGTCAAGGCCATCCTGGTCAAGGGTGTGGTCACCAACGACATTGTCGGTCGCCCCACGGAGATTCGATTCTTCTACAAGCAATCCGAGAGCGAGAACTATGTGGTGTACTTCCCCAACTTCAACCTAACCATGCGCGATCCTGGCAACTATGGAGAACTGGCCATGATAACCCTGCCCAAGTACGTGCAGGCCCGATTCGTGATCCTGGGCATTGTGAGCTACATGGACAACGCCTGTCTGAAATTCGAGCTGATGGGCTGTGAGGAGCCGAAGAATGAGCCTCTTCTGGGCTACGACTACGGCTACTCCCCGTGCGTGGATAACGAGCCTCCAATCTTCCAGAACTGCCCTCAGCAGCCGATTGTAGTCCGCCGGGATGAAAACGGCGGAGTGCTGCCTGTCAACTTCACCGAGCCCACGGCTGTGGACAATTCCGGATCGATTGCTCGTCTGGAAATCAAGCCACAAAACTTCCGAACTCCCAGCTACATATTCAAGGACACGGTGGTCAAGTACGTGGCCTTCGATTATGATGGCAACGTGGCCATTTGCGAGATCAACATCACTGTGCCGGATGTCACTCCTCCGCTGCTTCAGTGCCCCCAGAGCTATGTGATCGAGCTGATAGATCGTCAGGAGAGCTACGACGTCAATTTCAACGATACCCGTAAGAGGATCAAGACCTCCGATGATGCCGGAGAGGTGAGGCTGCAGTTCATTCCGGAGAGAGCCACCATCAAGATCGGAAACTTTGAGAATGTGACTGTGACGGCCACAGACAAGTTCAACAACCGGGCCTCCTGCCACTTCCAGGTGTCCCTAAAGGCCTCGCCCTGCGTGGACTGGGAACTGCAACCGCCAGCCAATGGAGCCATTAACTGCCTGCCAGGAGACCGAGGAATCGAGTGCATTGCCACCTGCAAGCCCGGTTTCCGGTTCACGGATGGCGAGCCCCTGAAGACATTCTCATGCGAGACATCGCGTTTGTGGCGTCCCACCTCCGTGGTGCCCGACTGTGTCTCCGAAAACACGGAGCAAGCCGCCTACCATGTCACCGCCACCATTACCTACCGTGCCAACGGAGCCGTAGCCCAATCCTGTCTTGGACAGTACCAGGATGTCTTGGCCCAGCACTACACCGGACTGAACCAGCTGCTTTCCCAGCGATGTTCCGCTGTTAATGTGAACATGAACGTTACTTTCGTCAAGTCGGTGCCCATGCTGCTGGAGGAGAATGTGGTCAAAATGGACTTTATTCTGTCCATTCTTCCAGCAGTTCGCCAGCCGCAGCTCTACGACCTTTGCGGATCTACTCTGAACCTGATCTTTGACCTGAGTGTTCCTTATGCCAGTGCCGTGATCGATGACCTCTTGAACATTGCCAACATTGGCAACCAGTGCCCGCCCCTGCGAGCCTTGAAGTCGCAAATCTCTCGAGGATTCAGCTGCAACGTTGGTGAGGTTTTGAACATGGACACCAGTGATGTGCCTAGGTGTCTTCATTGTCCTGCGGGCACCTATGTGTCCGAGGGTCAGAACAGCTGCACCTACTGCCCGAGAGGATACTACCAGAACCGGGATCGTCAAGGCACCTGTATTCGCTGCCCCGCCGGAACTTATACCAAGGAGGAGGGCTCCAAGTCCCAGGCCGATTGTATTCCTGTTTGCGGTTATGGTACCTACTCTCCCACTGGTCTGGTGCCTTGCCTAGAGTGTCCACGCAACTCTTTCACTGCCGAACCCCCGACCGGAGGATTCAAGGACTGCCAGGCATGTGCTGCCCAGACCTTCACCTACCAGCCCGCTGCCTCGAACAGCGACATGTGTCGCGCCAAGTGTGCTCCGGGAACATACTCTGCTACTGGACTGGCACCTTGCTCGCAGTGCCCCCTGCACCACTACCAAGGATCTGCAGGATCGCAGAGCTGTAACGAGTGCCCTAGCAACATGAAAACCGACACAGCCGGCTCCAAGGGCCGCGAACAGTGCAAGCCTGTGGTCTGCGGAGAGGGAGCCTGCCAACACGGTGGACTGTGCGTGCCGATGGGTCATGACATCCAATGCTTCTGCCCGGCTGGATTCTCCGGACGTCGCTGCGAACAGGACATCGATGAGTGCGCTTCTCAGCCTTGCTACAATGGAGGCCAGTGCAAGGATCTGCCCCAGGGCTACCGTTGCGAGTGCCAGCCAGGATATTCCGGCATCAATTGCCAGGAGGAGGCCAGCGACTGTGGAGCCGATACCTGCCCCACGCGGGCCATGTGCAAGAACGAACCTGGATTCAAGAATGTGACCTGTTTGTGCCGCAGCGGATACACTGGAGACCAGTGCGACGTGACCATCGATCCGTGCACGGCCAATGGCAATCCTTGCGGAAACGGAGCCAGCTGCCAGGCCCTGCAGCAGGGTCGCTACAAGTGCGAGTGCCTGCCAGGATGGGAGGGCATCCACTGCGAACTGAACATCAACGATTGCTCCGAGAATCCCTGTCTGTTGGGTGCCAACTGCACCGATCTGGTCAACGACTTCCAGTGCGCCTGCCCACCAGGATTCACGGGTAAACGTTGCGAACAGAAGATCGACCTCTGCCTGTCGGAGCCGTGCAAGCATGGCACCTGCGTGGACCGCCTCTTCGACCACGAATGCGTCTGCCACCCGGGATGGACGGGAGCTGCCTGTGATGTTAATATCGATGACTGCGAAGGCAGACCCTGTGCCAACGAGGGCACCTGCGTGGACCTGGTCGATGGCTACAGTTGCAACTGCGAGCCTGGCTACACCGGAAAGAACTGCCAGCACACCATCGACGACTGCGCCTCCAATCCTTGCCAGCACGGAGCCACCTGCGTTGACCAACTGGACGGGTTTAGCTGCAAGTGCCGACCCGGATATGTGGGCCTGTCTTGCGAGGCTGAGATCGACGAGTGCCTGAGCGATCCTTGCAACCCCGTCGGCACTGAGCGCTGCCTGGACAAGGACAACAAGTTCGAGTGCGTGTGCCGCGATGGATTCAAGGGCCAGCTCTGCGAGACGGACATCGACGACTGCGAGGCTCAGCCTTGCCTGAACAACGGATTGTGCAGGGACCGCGTAGGTGGCTTCGAGTGCGGCTGCGAACCAGGATGGAGTGGAATGCGCTGCGAGCAGCAGGTGACCACTTGTAACCTGCAGGCTCCTTGCCAGAACGATGCGCGCTGCATCGACCTGTTCCAGGACTACTTCTGTGTCTGTCCCAGCGGCACCGATGGCAAGAACTGCGAAACTGCTCCGGAACGTTGCATCGGAGACCCGTGCATGCACGGAGGCAAGTGCCAGGACTTTGGCTCTGGCCTGAACTGCAGCTGCCCAACAGACTATTCGGGCATCGGTTGCCAGTACGAGTACGACGCTTGCGAGGAGAAGGTTTGCCAGAATGGAGCTACCTGTGTGGACAATGGCGCTGGATACAGCTGCCAGTGCCCACCCGGATTTACTGGACGCAATTGCGAGCAGGACATTGTTGACTGCAAGGACAACTCGTGCCCGCCGGGAGCCAGCTGCGTGGATCTTACCAACGGCTTCTACTGCCAGTGCCCCTTCAACATGACCGGTGACGATTGTCGCAAGGCCATCCAGGTGGACTACGACCTGTACTTCAGTGACCCGTCGCGATCCACTGCCGCCCAGGTCGTGCCCTTCGCCACGGGCGAGGCCAACAGCCTGACGGTGGCCATGTGGGTGCAGTTTGCCCAGAAGGACGACCCCGGCATCTTCTTCACGCTCTACGGCGTGGAATCCGCTCGCATGACCCAGCGCCGACGCATGCTGCTCCAGGCTCACTCTAGTGGAGTCCAGGTATCGCTGTTCGAGGACCAATCCGATGCCTTCCTGAGCTTCGGGGAATACACATCCGTGAATGACGGCCAGTGGCATCATGTTGCCGTGGTCTGGGACGGTATTTCCGGCCAGTTGCAGCTCATTACTGAAGGATTGATCGCAAGCAAAATGGAATACGGAGCGGGAGGATCTCTGCCTGGCTACCTCTGGGCAGTGTTGGGTCGCCCGCAACCCTATAGACTCACCAACGAACTAGCCTACTCCGATGCCGGATTCCAGGGAACCATTACGAAAGCCCAGGTGTGGGCTCGTGCCCTTGATATTACCTCTGAGATCCAGAAGCAGGTGCGCGACTGCCGCTCGGAGCCGGTCTTGTACCCTGGTCTGATCCTTAACTGGGCCGGCTATGAGGTCACTTCCGGTGGAGTGGAGCGCAATGTGCCATCTCTGTGCGGACAACGCAAGTGCCCAGTGGGCTATACCGGTCCCAATTGCCAGCAACTGGTCGTGGACAAGGAGCCACCAGTGGTGGAGCACTGCCCTGGAGATCTGTGGGTGATTGCCAAGAACGGATCTGCCGTGGTTACCTGGGATGAGCCTCACTTCAGCGATAATATCGGTGTGACGAAGATTTATGAGCGTAATGGACACCGCTCCGGAACTACTCTGCTCTGGGGCTCTTATGACATCACCTACATTGCCTCTGATGCTGCCGGCAATACTGCTTCCTGCAGCTTCAAGGTTTCCCTGCTGAGTGAGTATTATTATCCTCGAAATCCGGTTTGTATCTGAAACTTACTAATTCGTTTTTTTACAGCCGACTTCTGTCCAACGCTGGCCGATCCCGTGGGTGGATCCCAGGTGTGCAAAGACTGGGGAGCAGGCGGACAGTTCAAGGTCTGTGAGATTGCCTGTAACACTGGTTTGCGCTTCTCGGAGCCTGTTCCTGAGTTCTATACCTGCGGAGCCGAAGGATTCTGGCGGCCAACTCGTGAGCCCTCAATGCCACTGGTCTACCCCTCGTGTTCGCCCTCAAAGCCCGCCCAACGTGTGTTCCGTATCAAGATGCTCTTCCCATCGGACGTTCTCTGCAACAAGGCTGGTCAGGCGGTGCTCCGCCAGAAGGTCACCAACTCGGTGAATGGCTTGAACAGGGACTGGAACTTCTGCTCCTATGCCGTCGAAGGCACAAGGTATGTTCTCTTTATATTCATATCCTCTTCATTTATTAATGGACTTTATTCTACCAGGGAGTGCAAGGACATCCAGATTGATGTCAAGTGCGACCACTACCGCGCCGCCCAAAACAATCGCGTCCGTCGCCAGGCCAAGGATGGCGGCGTCTATGTAATGGAAGCCGAACTGCCAGTGGTCAAGTAAGTATCGCATGAAACGGGCAGGTGACCCCCGAGGGGTCAAGCATGTCTCTTGTCTATGTATTGTTGTGTGTGCACTCTGTGTATTGTATACATATGTTACATGTTACATGTTATATGTTTGTATGTTCGTTAACACAATTTGCAGCGAGGATGATGATGATCTGACATTGACGGGTCGCCAGGGACGCCAACAAACTGGCGGCGATACGTATACCCTGGAGATAGCCTTCCCGGCTGTAAAGTATGTCTAGCTCTTGTTCGTTCGTTCAGCCTACGAATAACACCAAATCCTCGACCAATTGCACCCGATCTGCCAAGCATCAATTCTGCACCTAGTACTACCAACTACCAGCAACCGTCTCAGTCTAATCCCAAGCCCATAAAAGCAAAAACACCAAACCAAACTAAATCTTATGCTTAGCTAACCTCACATTACATGTCCTTCGTTCTAACCCAATTTGTTTCTCAATATTCCATCCAATCTCTTCAAACAACTAATTCCCACACTTTCGTTATCCTCCAGTGATCCTGTGATCCACACATCGACGGGCGAACGTTCCAGCGTGAAGCAACTTCTGGAGAAACTGATCCTCGAGGACGACCAGTTCGCCGTGCAGGATATCCTGCCCAACACAGTCCCAGATCCAGCCTCGCTTGAACTGGGCTCGGAGTACGCCTGTCCCGTGGGCCAGGTGGTCATGATCCCCGACTGTGTGCCCTGTGCCATCGGCACCTTCTACGACAGTGCCAACAAAACGTGCATACCTTGCGCCCGAGGAACATACCAGTCGGAAGCTGGCCAGCAGCAGTGCAGCAAGTGTCCGGTGATTGCCGGACGACCGGGAGTCACGGCCGGACCTGGAGCCCGTTCGGCGGCAGACTGCAAGGAGCGTTGTCCTGCCGGCAAGTACTTTGATGCGGAGACCGGACTGTGTCGCTCTTGCGGCCATGGATTCTACCAGCCCAGCGAGGGAGCCTTCGGCTGTGAACTGTGCGGCCTGGGCCAGACTACTCGCTCCACGGAGGCTACCTCCAGGAAGGAGTGCCGCGACGAGTGCAGCTCTGGCCAGCAGCTTGGCGCTGATGGTCGCTGCGAGCCCTGCCCACGAGGAACTTACCGCCTGCAGGGTGTCCAGCCCTCTTGCGCTGCCTGTCCACTGGGCAGGACCACCCCTAAGGTGGGCGCCTCCTCGGTAGAGGAGTGCACATTGCCGGTGTGCTCGCCTGGAACGTATCTGAACGCCACGCTGAACATGTGCATCGAGTGCAGGAAGGGCTTCTACCAGTCAGAGTCACAGCAGACTTCCTGCCTGCAGTGCCCACCGAACCACAGCACCAAGATCACCGGTGCCACCTCGAAGAGCGAGTGCACCAACCCATGCGAGCACATTGCCGAGGGCAAGCCGCACTGCGACGTGAATGCCTACTGTATTATGGTGCCGGAGACCTCGGACTTCAAGTGCGAGTGCAAGCCAGGATTCAATGGTACTGGTATGGCCTGTACGGATATGTGCGACGGTTACTGCGAGAACTCGGGCACTTGTGTCAAGGACCTGAAGGGTACTCCCTCTTGTCGCTGCGTTGGTTCCTTCACCGGACCCCACTGCGCTGAACGATCTGAGTTCGCATACATCGCTGGCGGTATCGCCGGTGCTGTGATCTTCATCATCATCATTGTCCTGCTGATTTGGATGATCTGCGTTCGGTCCACGAAGCGTCGTGATCCCAAGAAGATGCTGACCCCGGCCATCGATCAGACAGGTTCTCAGGTGAACTTCTACTATGGCGCCCACACGCCCTACGCGGAGTCCATTGCACCCTCGCACCACAGCACCTATGCCCACTACTACGACGACGAGGAGGATGGCTGGGAGATGCCCAACTTTTACAACGAAACGTACATGAAGGATGGTGAGTAGATCATCAGATCTAGCTTTTTTTTAAGATTTTAATGTTTATCATATTGAATTCCAGGACTTCATGGCGGTAAGATGAGCACATTGGCCAGGTCCAATGCCTCGCTCTATGGAACTAAAGAAGACTTATACGATCGACTGAAACGTCACGCCTATACAGGCAAGAAGGGTGAGTTCATTACAGAGACCTAGTCCTAGTCAAATAATAAAATTATTCTGTTTCCGATTCCAGAAAAGAGTGATAGTGATAGCGAAGTGCAGTAAACAACAAAATGCGCCTATTAGCAATGATAAATTACGGATAACCAAGCTGCTTTAATGTAAAATGTGGTCATAAACAAATCGAAAAGGAAAGGAGGGAAAATACCGAAGTGAAAGCAGCTAGCACAGCACTGTCCATATAAGCCGTGTTCCACGAAAGCACTGCCGGCGCCCACAAATACTCACTGAATAGAGCCTTGCATTGAATCAACGTAATAGCTGTGACAGCTCTATTCCGGTCCGAACTTCAGTCCCAATCTCGGATATTACGTGGCTTAATGCAAGGCTTTGGGAGCTGCTCGAAAAAAAAAAATAAAAATAACTTTAAAGAAAGACGCAAGACCTTAAGAAACCTTTAATTAGTAACTCCAACATGTGCTCTTTAGGTATGCAAACTAAATGAAATTAAGTCGAACTTATGCATAATGTAATGAATGAAATATTGTTTTAATCTTAAGTATTATTTACCTATACAAGATTATCGAAATTTCCCTGCCTGACAGGGTACCAAATTGCAATACACATATACTTATATATACTTATAGTAATAGATTTTTCGGACCACTTCCACTTTGTCAAAGCTTGTTGAACAAATTCGCGAGTGCTGTAAAAAGCAAATCAAATATAGTCGTTATTTTGTAATTTAATAAAAGCAATTTAATTATTATGTATGACACTTAATTTTACAAATTCTCTTGTATAAAATAAAATAAAAAAACAAACGAATCTAATTAAACAAAAAATAGTTATTTCAATGAATTATTTTATTCGGTTTAGTCGATGCTGTTGCATGTTTCATTGGGAAGTTTTTGAAAGATCACCACGTTCTTGGAACCATTTCTTTGGACTTTCGATAGCGAATCAAGCTGTAGATCCTGTTACCATTTCTGTAGTCCTGTTCGGCTATAGAGTCTCAATCGTCAACTCGTAAAAATTAGGTCAGATTTTACATGGTTGTCCCCGGTTTGATATAGAATTATTCTACTCAAAGATCTAAGATCAGGAAGGTATATTATTCAACGATCAGATAATCGTTGATACAAAATGTATTTTGTGAGCCTTGTGGTCCAAGTTAATATCATGAGTGGCCAAATATACGAACATTGTTAGCTTCAACTGCGCTCAAAATCAGCTTTTTATTCTTGTAGCATACTTTTTGGGGCCGCGTAAATCTGATGTACCATCTTACAACAGCTCCACCTTGCGGCAGGCGGTGGAACACAATGAAGCGCGTTATTCTAAATACAAATAATTAAAAATTAAATATTTATACTTTATTAGTTCCGTTCGCTCTGGTTAATATTGGGCCTCCATGCATTTTCCTCGGCTTTACGCTCCATAAAATTCGGCTTTAAGGGTACCCTCCATAAAATTTTACAAAAAATCTAAAAATTATTCTTTCTCTAGATTTTGATGCAGATTGAGAGGAAATCGATCTACAAATCTTTTAAAGTATTCCGCTTAAGAATCGGATGGTTATAGGCAAAGATAAAGACTTCGCTGAGGGGCATATTGGGCCTCCATGCATTTTTCTCGGTTTTGAAGGGGACCCTCCATAAAATTTGACAAAAAATCGAAAAAATATTTGGTCCGTAGGTTTTGGTGCAGATTGAAAGGAAATCGCTCTACAAATCGTTTAAAGTATTCTGCTCAAGAATCGAATGATTATTGGCCAAGATATAGTCTTCGCAGGGGGCCATATAGGGCCTCCAAGCATTTTCCTCGGTTTGGAAGGGGACCCTCCATAAAATTTGACAAAAAATCGAAAAAATATTTTGTTTCTAGCTTTTGATGCAGATTTAAAGAGAATCGATCCACTAATCGTTTAAGATATTCCGTTCGATAATCGGATGAGTAATGGCAAAGATATAGACATCGATGTGGGGCATATTGTGCCTCCATGAACTTTCCCCATTTTTGAAGGGGACCCTCCAGAAAATTTGACAAAAAATCTAAAAAATATTCTTTCTCTAGATTTTGATTCAGAATGAGAGGAAATCGATCTACAAATCGTTTAAAGTATTCCGCTCAAGAATCGGATGATTATTGGCAAAGATATAGACTTCGCTGTGGGCCCCATTGGATATTAGGAAATTATCGGCAAGTCTACAATTTAAACAATGTTTTGGTTTAATTTTGAATTTTATTTAAAAAATAGATATATTTTGAGCAACCCAACGCTAATAAGTTCGTGCGATTTTGATGTGTTCGATTGGTCGTAGTATTAAGTGCGGAACTGAAGAATGTCAGGTTGCGTTTTACTTAAAGCCTTAAAGGTTTTAAACCTTGCGCGAGAGATAGATCAAACTGATTGCCAGGCCACAAAACAGCAAGGGGTAGCTGATTCGGGCCATCTTATTTCCTGCGAGACGTTGCATCATGGCGAAGAGGTAGCTGGATGGTTTTTCAGTTTCGGAATCAGCCTTCATCATTTCCTCCTCCGTGTTTTCGGATGCCACCTCGTCCCCGGTTACAATTTCATTTTCGTTTTCGTCCTCGTCGTCGTCCTCTTCAGTCGCGATGGAATCCGTCTCCTCACTGTATGCCTCCGTATCGGTGATCATATCGGATGCAGCTTCATCCACATCGGGTCCACCCTGGAGTAGTTGACGCAGCAGCTCCACATTACGTTCGGCATCGAGCAGCTGCTCCAGGCTCACCATCCGGCGGTCACTGCCTACTGATCCATCCATGTGGCTGACCTGCGATGGGCGCTCCACCAAGGCCACCTCCGAGGTCGCGGACAGGTCCTCATCCGCAACCTCCGTCGATGCCACTTCAGGCACAACTTCAGTGGCTCCATCTGCCTGTACCTGGTGGGGGAACTTCTGGCCCAGGAATCCGGCTGGGCTTGCCGGATCAGAGTTCTCCAATTGTTCACGTTTGAACTTCTCCTCGTCAGTTTCGGGTGCAGCCCGCAAAGCCACTTGCAGCTCTTCGATTAGCTGTTTTGCCCGCTCCAGGCAGGGATCCACAATCGACTCCTCCACTGACTTTTGCAATTGCTCCTCGATAAAGGATTTTGGAGGGGCTCCTCCTCCAGAGGTCGTTGGTTTCTCGGTGGAAGCTTCCGAGTCCAACTGCTCAAACAAGTCCTGCGATGGCTTGAACTCCTCCAACTTCACTGATTCCTTCGATGCCTCCTCGGCTGCTCCAGGATCTGGCTCGTGCAGTGACTTGAGCTCGGCATATCCCAAAGAGTTCTGGATACCCTCCTGGTTGGCCTCTTCGACTGCCGCCTCCACCTCTGGCAGTACCTCGAAGATTGGTTGTTCATCTGAATGCGTTTCATCTTTCTGCATTTCCTCTAGATCGTCTAGGGCCACTTCGGCCTCCATTTCAGCGACCACACGTTGAAGTTCCTTTAGAGTTTGCTGCTCGGCTAGCTCCATTTCCAGTTCACTGGTGGTGGTCGGAATCGCTTGGAGAATTGTCTCCAGTATGGGACCACTTTCCCCGGAGCACGACGGCTCCACGTCACTTATTGAAAACTCCATGTTTATGCCGGAATCATCGGTGGTGTTCTGGCCAGAACCGTTGCTTCGATTCTGATCGCGTTCTAGATCTTTTCCACTTGCCACCGAGGTGTGGCTCTTGGCCAGGCGCAGGACGCTGCTGTAGTGGCGTTTGGTAGTCTGGATGAAACTTCCGCTGGGTCCCGGCAGTACCGGTCCAGGAATTTTGGTCATTTTTGCGGTAGAACTGACGGATCGCACCTCACCCTCCGATATGGGCGACGGATCCGTTTCAATGGCCGCCGCTGCAGCCAAAGCCACAGCCGCTGTCATTTCATCTTGGGAACTGGCTTTGGCTTGGTCACGTTCCTCCGAATTTTTAACATTCTTGATTGTTTCTTTCTGCTTTAACTCCTCCTGGGAGGGAGAAGACTGCACATCGCAGCTGGCCATCATAGCTATCTGGACGCTCCAATGGACTCAACTTAATTTTGGAACAACACTCTCCCGCTGTAGGGCTCTGTTTTAACTTTACCCGTAACAATTTCTAGCGAGACTGACGGAATTTTATTTGGTTAACGAGTTGACTGCTATGTGTAGGGTGTTTTCGTTAAAAGTCTGTTTGGCTTTTTTTTTTAATCAGAAATCAAAATAAAATTTCCCTAGCTGAGGTGTTGGTTCCTATGCAAATATAGGCTGGATGAATAACTGATAGTGACATTGTTTGCCAACACTATTGCCCAATCCCCTGGCCTACTCAGAAGAATAGTATTTTGTTTTAATTAAAAAGATTGTGTCGACCCTAGTAAGTTCCTTATTTAAACCTTAAAACATTCTGTGTGGAAATATTATATATTCTCCCATAAAGAAACACTCCCCCATATTCTTGGGCAGTTATACCTTTTTTTTTTACTTAGTACATTATTTAGTTAAATGTTAAATAGTAATTTGGTTAAAAATGATGGCAAGGGAGGCTCTAGCCCCTGAAGGCATCTTCAGTTCTGCAACTCAACTTTCAGCTTGAGATGATCAGGCAGCTCATTGTAGATGAAGGAGTCCACATGGTCTGTTTTTGAAGGATGGAAGGGAGTACGAATGTCAATCTGAAGGGCTAGAGACTCTTCTATACTCACTGTTGCACTTGTAGTTTAGATTCGACCATATAATCATCTCCTGGGAGAAGCAGAACACGCCCAGTCGTCCGCCCTTCAACGTGGAATCGTAGACGTTGCCCGAGTCGATGATTAGCCGATGGCCCTCGAACATTCTATGGGAGATGGAGAATGAGTATTATGGGAACCTGTCATAGAAAATGTATGACTCACTGCAGGCGGATGAGGCCGATGGCCGGGCGATGCACCAGTGACCAGCGGTAGGGGGTGCGCTCTTTCCAACCGGTGTTTCGCGGCTCCTTCCACAGTAATCGCGCCTCGCCAGGAGTATCACCTTCATGCCACAGGCTATTTCGCATCCTGGACCCCGGGCCCGTGAGGCTATCCACCAGCTTGATCTGGATGCCCGGGGAGGCGGACGCAATGAATGGTTCCGCCTCCCAGTAGGTCTGGGAGCCCTTTTTCCACTGCACCACGTAGTACTTGTGGTTGCTCTGATAACTGAACACAAACCCGGCATAGTCATCGTCTGTGTCATCGTTTACGTAGAAGGTGCCCTCGAAGTCCACGCCACCGAAGGAATCGCGACCCACAGCCAGGCCAGGATCCGAGTTGAGGGTCTGGACGATCTCAGTTCCATTGGCATGGACCACCCAGTTGGGATCCTGCTGCGAATCGCCATGCGGATCCAAGGCGATCGTGCGGAGGGTTCGGAAGTCCGTGTGATGGATCATCGAGTTGTTGGGGCAATTGTCTATAATGTTTGGCACACCGTCATCATCCTCGTCCTCCTGGCAAAGATCCCCTTTGCCATTGCGATCAAAGTCTAGCTGCTTCGGGTTCTTCACCAGCGGGCAGTTGTCCCTGTAGTTGGGAATACCGTCGCCATCCATGTCGTCATCGCAGGCGTCGCCCTTGCCATCCTCATCAGTGTCCAGCTGATCGGAGTTGCTTACCATTGGACAGTTGTCCTCCGAGTCCTGGATGCCATCGTCATCGCCATCGATGCCACTGTCACACGCATTGCCCACAAAGTCCATATCGCGATCCTCCTGAGTGGGATTGGGGATGGTGGGGCAGTTATCGCAGCCATCGCCCACGCCGTCGTTGTCCACATCCGCCTGGTTGGGATTGGCCAATAGTGGGCAGTTGTCTTCCCCGTTGGGTATCGAGTCGTTATCCGCGTCCTCGTCACACTCGTTGCCCCGCCCGTCTCCATCGGCGTCCTCCTGGCGGGGATTGTGTCTGTGAATGCAGTTGTCGCACACATCGCCCACCCCATCCCCGTCCGAGTCCACCTGTTCGGTGTTGTACCTCAGTGGGCAGTTGTCCTTGTTGTTCAACACAAGGTCACCGTCAGCATCTTCGTCACAGCCATCGCCAAAGCCGTCCAGGTCGGCGTCCTCCTGCCCTGAGTTGGGCAGATCTGGGCAATTGTCCTTTCGACAGTGGAGCTCTGGACAGGAGAGTGACTGGTCCGGCCAGCCATCCAGATCCCGGTCCCTTCCACACACCAATCCGTTGCCCGCCCAACCCACACTGCAATGGCACTTGAAACGCTGGTTGTCCAACAGAAGGCACTGGGCATTGCGGTCGCATATGTTTCCATCCGGACAGACAGCCACAGAGGATCTCTCCAGGCAGCTGTAGGTGCCGTTCTTCACGAAGCCTTCAAAGCACTGGCATCTGTATGAGCCCTTTGGAAATAGCAATCGAATATGATTCATAAGACTCTTGATTCTAAAACTCACAAGTTCGTTGATACATAAGGAATTTTCAGGACATCGAAAGAATCCTGATAGGCATTCATCCACGTCCTGGCAGGTTTGTCTGCGGTAGTCCACCGAAAGATGCTCAGCATAGTAACCATGGACATGCACTCCATCATAGCCGGGAGGACAGGGACCACATTGGAAGCCAGGATTAAGGTTAGTACAGATTGTGCGCTCATCGCAGGGATTATACAGACGGCACTCGTCCACGTCCCGGCAGCTGGTGCCATTGATCTCCTGACCCTTTTGGCAGGATATGCATTGGAAGTAAGGCGGGAAACCCACCTGGAGACACTGAGCACCTTCAGAAAATATAATTTAAACATTTTAAAGGCTTTGTCTCATCTAGATTATTTTCAATTTTGTATAAAGAGAGAGAATATGTTTTTTAAAACTCCTTAAATTTTTTTAAGAAGTCTACATGTATATCCAGCTATTAAATAAAATAGTATATTAATGGTGGTTAAGTTTGGTTAAGTGGTTTAATGATTATATTAATGACGAATATCTAATAACACTGAAAACCCCCTCTATACTAGAGAGAATGAAATGTAATTATCCCATCCACTTACCCTGATCTTTGTATCTTTGAAGGCATGACCAGAAAATGATAGTTTATAAACATGATGATGTGATAATAGCAGTGAGGGGATAGGGTGAATGATTTCAAAAACAAATAAACAAATTTTTGTATAGCCAATGGTTGAGTTTATTTATTTAATACCAAAGAATAACAGCGTACACGGTTTCATATATTTTATATTTTATTACAATAATTGGGAGATTTCGGTCCAAGGGGGAACAAATTTCGTTACACGTTTATAGACTCCACTTTCTGGGCATTTAATTTTCAGTTTTTAATGCATACTCTATTCTATAATTGATTTCCAGAATATATATATTTTCTTAGACAGTGTTAAGTAGCAAAATGAATAATTATTTAGTTATTTTTTTCGTGGATTGCTAATACTTTGAATTCCGCTGTTTGCCAATCGTAGAGCTTACAACTTATGACTATTTTATATAGGTAGTTATTCAGTATGTGCACTTTCTGGATTCTTCTGTTTGTAATATATATTATGTATATATCTTAATAAAAACGTTGTTCTTGCTTCTCCCGCTGTGGATTAGTTCGTTACGACCGAGTATTTGCGGGCCGTGTACTGGCTCTGCCTCTGATAGTGTTGCACATTATGCGAGGGCACTAGAATGTTGCCTAATACAAATGAGAATGGTATATTAGTAATCAGATAATTCATTTGTGATGTGCCCCATATGAGTGTGCCGACTCAGTCCGCCTACTGGCACTCTGCACTTTGTGCTTTTGCCGCAAATCAATTAGCCAACTTAACATATAAGGCCCCAACATTCCAGCACGCCTCAACCAACCAATGATGACTCTCCGGGTCTGCAACTTTGGACCTTACTGGGCATCCCAGCCCTGATTAGTCGTTTTGTTTCACACATTCGCGGGAAGACAGAAATTACCCACAGGTACCATATAATTTTCAAGGGTTTTTTATTCAATCAAAAGGGTTTATTGGCCGGAAAGTCCTCAGAGCCCCAAAGTTGCCCACGGTGGCCATTAATAAATCAAATAGTCGTGTGAATTGAGTACTCTACATTGTATTGAATGTGGTATGTTTATACTATAGATTGTGTGAGGGGTTTATTATATATATTTTTTTTTTTAATTTTCATTTTTAAGCTTTAATCAATTAATTCCGATTCCATAACCCAAAAACATTGTTAGCTATAAGCATTAAATATTTACAAAACAAAGCCATCCGACTGGGTTTAAAGCTAGGTCCTATTATTCGTTATTATGTTACAAGTCTCATAGTATTTTTGAAAAATAAAACCTAATACTTTAATTCTTAAAAGTCTTTATAAATGAAAAAAAACCTATCAAAGTTTTCTTATTCAATTAACATTCTTTTTAGCTTACTCCCAACAAAACTTCTAATCAAATTAAACTCTCTAACAACTCTAATTTTGTTGGGAACTCCTATATGGTTCTACGTCTGGCAATCAACCCACTCACAACTGAGTTGATGGCACGACAAACCCAAATTAGCCATAAAATCAATCGGTACCCGAAAAAAAAGAAACTTCACATGGCTAACCTGAAATGGGATAAAGACTGGGCTCAAAACAAGCCCAAAAGAGACCACTCCAAGCCAATTGATTGGCTGGAGAGAGGAACTTACCTGAGGGGCATGGGGTGTCCAGGCAAGGATTTCGTAGGGAACATGTGCGTCCATCACCTTCGTAGCCAACCGGACAGGAGTCACACTGCGCCCCATTCACGGTATCACGACACTGAACGCCTCTGCAATGGAAAACGACAACACATATTGTGGTTAATGCCGCCGAGGATGGGGAGGATATTTGCTGGGCATATTGTTTATTATTATTAATACCGACAGGCAGGAACAAACAGCAACAAAAGGCTGTTAATGTTGGGACACGGTCTCGAGCATACAAAGGCATATTTATTAATGATGTTTAGTCGAAACGGTTACACAAAAGCCATTCAGCCAGTCAGCGGTGAAAAGAGAAAAGGTTACAGTCGCCGGGGGATCACGAGGGTGGGAGGGATCAGGGCCATCAGGGGTACCCCTGGCGAGGGTCACAAAACACCGACAAAGCAACAAGACATGAGGGATTCTCCGTCCCCCATACCCCCCTTCCTCCTCAGGTGGATTTTCGTACAGGAAGACAACAGAAGATTCCAAAAAGAAAACAAATTACAATTACAAGAAAATCTTATTAAAAGCCAGCGAAACACAAATAAATAAAGGAAGACCAGAGGAGACGGACTGACCAGGCCGGTGTGTAGGCCGGATAGCCGATGGCCAAAACAACTGCATTGCATGCATGTAAATTTCTCCCCAGCCGTTCCTTATTTATGCTCCAGAGTGTGGGATTGCTTATGGCTTGCAAAATATTTACATATCATGACATGGTCATTAGTTCGCCAGAGTTCGGGGTTACAGTTACTGGTCTGGTCCTCCGGTTGCCATAAGCTGACCATTTGGTCGATTTTGGCCCATCTTCATCCAAGACCAAGTCTGCAGTTTGGCGGTTCGTTTTGCTTTCCACTTTGTCAGGACATAACTCATGACAGACCAATTTTCTAGGAAAATCACCCATCTGCCAGAACTACCGTGCCCAACTGACCCAGAAGCCATAGTTTCCAATATTTTATGACTAAGCACACAGAGTGCCTGCTCCTGCCGGAAGTTTAAGTCGTAAGAGGTCTTTGGACCTGGCCGAAACAACACAAATTTTAAGTTGGGTTGGAGTAGAGGATTCCAGTAAGACTAAGGGAATACCCTTAAGATAATCTCAAATTTTATTTTAGTTTGTAATAGATACTAGTGGCAGAAACTAGTTTCTTTGTTGAACTTCTAGAGGTATATATTAAACATTAATCAAGCCAAATTAATGAAATGTAAAATAAGTAATTGGAAACCAATCTATAGATTATAACAACAATTCAAGGTTCAACACTACCTTGTTATTTTAAAAGAAACTTCTATAAATATCATACTTAGGATAAAAAACGCCCCCTACAGAGTATTAGAATAACATTAGATGTACATGGCCGTTCGTAAGTCGACTTATATTTTTGTTATTTTTTGGAGCTGTCAGTCGATGGGATCCATCAGCTCTTGACTTTGGCATACCCACCGGTGGCCAACCGTGCACACTTGTCAAGATCCACTCGGAGTTTTTGGGTGGAAGCATTTCGGGGCTTGCCTCCAACTGGTAAGGCGCAATTAGCCAAAAGTGTTAAGTACTTAAGTGGCAAGCGTTCAGTTGGGAGTCGAGGCGGAGTACCTGGACATCATCCGAAGTTGCGTAGGGGTTTTCGCTTTCCGGCTCCGTTCCCAGGTGCCTCCAGCTCCTTCTCCGCAGCATCTATTGGCCCTCCCGCTGGCCATCACTTTGCACTTTTCTGCTTTGTTTCAGTTCATTCGACCATATTGTCTGGGTCTGCCGCATTGTGGCATCGCGGCATCGTTTGAGTGCTGGGAAAATATCCAGTCAAGCGCAGCGAGGAACGCATTAGCATTTCAGCCACTGACCCTCCTCCTACCTTGTTGGCATGACGGACTTAGCCCTGTCTTGACTGCCGTTCTCTCTCGGGACGTTCGTTTTATTAACCACGCATTCATAATTCATAATTCCAATTTGCTGGCCCTATCCTCCCAGCCTCCGTTTCTCTGATCCTCTGAGCCTTCGAGTCGAAAACCAAGTCCAGTTCAAACACTGGACCCAAGAGCCTTAGAAGGAGGGCAGAGCCCTGCTGGTCCCGAGAAGGAGCACCGTCTGAGTAATGTGTGAACATGGTTGTGAAGCATGCAAAGGCTTTTAGCCATATTCCAGACAAGTGCTGGTAGGCAGGGGTTACAGTGGTAACAAGAAAATAATATATAATAACCCTAAGATGTAATATTATTAGAGGCCATCATATAGTTTTATAGTCAATTAGCCATTCGACTGGATCGTAACCCTTATTCTTGTGGCGTACTCCCCGAAAATTCGCTCCCCAGCCATTAACCTCTCCCAAACGGCTTCTAATGGTAGCGCATGCCATGCAAATGCCCACCAACAACAAAAGAGCCAGCAAACACTTGGCTGCCACTCCAAGGAGCTCCCTTTTTTCCATTTCCAAGGGCAGGGAGTGGGGCCAGAGAATGGGACTGGGAAAAAGCAATGCCACCATCCTCAATCTTCCACAATCCTCGAATGTGGCGCACGCTTTGGACAAACTGCAGCTAACTGCCATAAAGCGGCGTTTATTTTGCCACAGGCCACTTATCTATGCGGTTGGGGCTCCAACTCTGACTCCATCGCCATCTCCATCTGCAGCTCCAGCTCCAACTCAAGATCTTGGCTCGACTCTGGGCCCCTTTGGCTCGGGCCTGATCTCGGCTTGGCCTGTGCCTCAGCCTCAGCCTGGGCTTGTTTTTGTTTTCATTGGTGCGCCTGAGCTTGGCCAAGACAACTGGCGTGGCAACAGCACTGGGCCAACATAAAAAGTTTATGCGGCATTGCGGATTATTGTAGAACTCTAACGTGGGATGGACATCAAGAAACCCCATTAAGGCATTAACTTAATGGCTGTAATTAAATTAAATCAGCCATATGAATATTGCACTTAATGAATTAATTTCTAAATTAATCCTAGAGGTTTTACTTAGAGCAGCTACTAACTTAATATAGTAGCTAATTGTTATCAGGTCTAATACTCGGCCTTGGCCTTAGAAAACTTTGTATTTGAAGTTATCGTAAACTCAGCTCAGGTATAAACGTGGCCCGAGTTCGATTCGCTGCCAGTCAACTATTAATTTGAATTCAAGCAGTCCAACGCGAAGTCAACAGCCATGGCTACAAAAACAAGAAGACAACAAAAATAAAAAGAAAAAACAACATATCCAGCGAAACGGCTTGGAATCAATGGATCCACTTTTTTCCAATGCGTAGGCGAACTTGATTCACACTGAGATATATGCGTTCCACCGAACTTTGATGTTTCGAAGCTGTGAACCAGCTCTCTGCTGCTTCCTTTCTTTCGGTTTCCCGCTTTTTAAACGTTTTGTTTGGGCCAACAACCGCCGACTATGGCCGAGGGGCCTAAGGGGGATGAGGCCAAGAAAATTGTGAAGAAGAAAATTGAGATTCTGTGGGAAAGTTGCCACAATTCAATGGTATTCTGTCGCTGCATGGAATTCTGTGTCCAACATGCCCGAACACATGTTGCAGCTGCCATGGGCCTAGGAATCACACTCCCAATCGTTATCTCCCATCTTAAGATGGTAATATAATCTCTCTTTTGGCCCAAAGTCTGAAGCTTGATTGCATTGCTGATTATTTCATCATATGCATAATTTAAATTGAACAAAAAAGTGTGCGCAGTGAAAACTTTTGGGGCGGAGGCGCCCCAACTGTCATCGGCCTGGGGCCAAGTTATGATTGGCTTTTCAGGTGGTCGATTAGGTGGTCGGACTCACCTGAGTCTGGGCTCTTGGAAATGGAAAGTGCTGTGGGAATGCGAAAAGCAAATACTTGTAAAGGGTTTAAGGCAGATAGTGGTATACAAAGGCAATTTGTATTATTTGTTTTAAGAATTCTGCTTGGTTTTGAGAACTTAAGCTGGTATGAAGGGAAACTTGGATGGGTCATACTTTTGGATTTAAGCTTAAAGTCTTAAAAGCCAATAGGACACAAGGAAAAGAGTGACTATCTAGCTCATAGAAGATGAAGCTCATAAAAGTATGCAATAATGTGGTGTATCTTCTATCTTAGTCATAGACTTTCTCCAAAAACCTCTCCCCTCCATTTTTCAATTAAAAGTAACCTTTTCCAAGGTTTTTTATTTTATATACCTTTCCTGGAAAATATAAGAAAAGTTTCATTCAATTTAGAACGCTACCAAAAACCCCTAGAACGTTAAAATGATTTCAGATATCACAATAGAACCCATAAACAGCAAGACCAATATCCAAAGGAATATTTTCGACCTAAAACAGTGGATACCCCCATAAAACACACAATATCTGCCACAACAAAGGATCAACAGGTGTGCATGTCATTAGCGCAAGTTTTACGACCTTTTAATAGAATCGATCGTCTTCCAGGGTCTCCAAAAGAATGGAACTCGAAATCGAACCAAAAAAGACAAAGCGCTGACCATGTTAGCCCATGACGCCGCATTTGATTCAGATGACAGTTGGTGGGTTCTAAATTAAAATGATTGGAATGGAGTATCAGTTTTGGGCCTACCACACGCATCGGGCCACATTTCATCGATAATGAAAGATGACAGTAACGAGTCGGCGTCGGCCAGCGTCGTCGTGACAACATTTAAAACAATTTTATGCAAATTAAAATACGGTCAGCCAGGGGCACACCTTGCCGGCAAACAGACAGCCGGGCAACCAGTCAGCCCAGGCAAACCAATCGAAAAAGCAAACAAGCCACAGTGGGGCCATCCGATCCCTAGACACCTACAATATACCCGGTTCTATAGGTTCTTCTTGGCCGGTCCGGGGGCTCTTTTCAATAATTTACACAAATTTATGGTCGAATGCTTCCTATGCGCGTGGCCAGGAGAGCCTAGCATCTCGCATTTCCCCGGGTCCCTGGTGGTCAGAGACCAGAAATAACAGAAATCACTTTAAGTGTTTTGACACAATGAAGTCAGTCAGTCCTCAGATCTGAAGAACCCGAGCGTCGGAGTTGTGGGGTTTCGTAGTATCGGGGTTCCGTCGAAATGGGTGCGGGTTCTTTATTCCGGATCACATTTAACTAATTTATGCGGCTTTTTCAAGTGCCATTTGTGGTCCAGACCTCACAGCTTCTCGTTCTGGATTGCCAATGGTTTTGTTGCATTTTGTAGAACAATATCCACTGCGGTCTCTGCAGCTCCGTTACATCGCATAACTTGTTATAGTTTTGTTTAACATATTTATGACGTTTTCGTTAGCGCAGGCCGTGAGCTGGGGAACTCCCAGATATAATGTTTTTATTAGGGTCCCCCGGGTTATATTTTCGACAATGCGGGTCGCCAGTCGACAATATTGCCAGCTTTCTAAAATCATAAATGTCTTAAGAGGTATTCTAAAGTATGCCAAAACACACAGCTTTTCTTATTACGAGTATGATTTACAGTAGTTGACATTTTATGAATATATTTCAACTATTAAATGTGTAGGTAACTATTACTATTAAATGTGTAGGTTTCCGGCTGTGATAGACTCTTCCGGTCTGACACCGACAACTTCATACGATTTTGTGGGTGTTTGGTAAAGTTATCATAGTTAATGAAAGGTTTTCCTTGTGAGGCACAGTTTTGATGTTTAAATTATGTCAGCAGGTGACCGGAATATGAATCTAAATTGATTTGACCAAATTTCTACCTCTTTCTTTCTATTTCTAATCTTAAACACATCAAAGAGATCATTTGCCAGATAAGACCCCCTTCTAAGAGATCATTTGAATATTTATCTTTCGACTTCATTGGCCTAAACAATCTTAGCCCGTCTTGATAAAAAAAAAAACGAAATGTGTAAGAAATGGAAAAACTTTCAATGTGACAAGGGATTAGGAAGTTGAATTGACATATCTACGATCTCCAAGTATCTTATCGGATGGGGAGAGGTGAGAAAACTGGTTCCAGAATCACTCGCATGACTCACTGCCATTAAGCCCAATCCACTTACTTGGTTCTGGGTAACCAGCTTAAGGCCACGGCTCCTTGTTCCCATTTATTCGTAGAATTCACTAAGCGAATAAAGGCCTAAATGTGTCTTCTCAATATGGCCATCACGTGCTTATCAATCACAGATATAGATATGCATATGACTGAGTTCCGACTTTGAGGTTCCTGTCAAGGAGTTACACCAGGGCCGGTCTAGCCGTTGTTTGGCTAGATCATCAAACCATAAACAACATCAAATTGCCATTAAGGCCAAATGCAAATAATTGCACAGTCAGGCAGGGAAGAAGGAGCCTTTCGGACGGCGGCGCTTTTCAAGCCCTCGGAGTCCCAGCATGACAAATACAATTAACATGGATGCGCTGCCACGCCCTTGACGCCATTAAAAAAACTCCACAAGCTGCGTTAATTTTCGAAAAAGTTGCACAAAAGTGCAAGCTCAACAGTATATATATAGGTATGTATAAGGATGCAGGAGAGACTTACGGATAGCACACCAGTTGGGCGCAGGTGACGCCCGGCTTGCAGGTCTTGCCATCTCCGAAGAAACCAATGGGACAATGGCCACATCTGGGACCAGACGCCGAGTCCAGGCACTCCACTCCTAAAAGGAAATAGGAAAGATAGCAAAGTATTGCCTTTAAATGGAGTAATGTAAGAGTAAATAAAATCTTTCCTTATAAAAGGCATAACCTTGTCCCACGTAACTTGCAGATAATTCCAAATTGAATTATTATTTATTTTTGGGAAAACGTGGCTTACCTGGATAACAAGGATTCGCGTTGCGGCAGTCTTCGAGGCGCAATTGGTTATCTGGACTCAGGGGATTCTTGCAGCCGGCACAGTTCTCCAAGAGCATCCGCAGGTAGGCTATCTCCTGGCGCTGGTGGGCGACGTCCTCGCGGAGGAGCTTAACCAATGCCAGTAAATCGCTCAGCGAGCGTGCGAGGGCGTCTGTTTGGAACAATGAGCACAACGTGCAGTTTAGCGTTAAGACGGATTCGAGTTTAAAGGGGATGGGGGTCCTCAGATGTTCGGGACTTTAAATAAAGCAACAATAATTCACCAACACCCTCCACACCCTCCCCGGACTTGGCGAGTGGCATACGGAATACGGCATATGGCAAATGTGTGTGGGAAGCGTTCGAGCGTCTGACAAGATTAAGGTCTAACCGATGCGAAAACAACAAACGAGATCGCGCTTGGAGAGAGGATAGTGTGTGGAACCTCTGATTGCAACCTAATCCGCTTTGTCGCTCCAATGGACTCCTGCCTCCGGGAGTCGGGGACTCGAACAGCTGCTAATGCGTTTGGCGTTTAAGTGCAGCTTAATGCAATGAGACAACAAAGCCTGACTCTCGATTCCGATTTTCCGGCTCCCCTTTAGAGGTGAGTCAGTGTGCCAATTGATCGAGGATTATGGGTTTGTTCAGGATATATATACCTAGTGCGTGGGTTTTTGCTAGGATGGGCTTAGCGATGAATGAGTTACCTCATGGATTAAGGTAACTTAAGCCTATAGTTTTCGATACTCAACAGTATTACTGATTCCTCTTAGTATCCTTGCCATCTCTAGACCCCTCAAGATGTACAACAGCATGTAAGACACATTGTAACAACTAAACTAGTTCAACTTCGTGATCGGTTCCATAAGCACATCTGTCTGATTTTGTCGCTCTGGTCCGGGCCCTGAGTGCCTCAATGAGTTTTGTCAACATTGAAAATGCCGCCGCCGCCTTAACGCCCAAACGCATCCGTTCCAAGTCAGATCTGGGGCCTCTAGATCTGCTCCACGTCCTCCCCTCCCGATCCACGATGCCTGGCTTTAGAATGCTCCAATCTCGTTTTGGTTACATTTGACAACCTTCGCTCGTATCTGGTTGGTCGGCGTAGCCACGTAATTCATTCATTACGTTTTGCCGTTGCCATTGCCTTCGCCTTTGCGATTTATAAGCCGCCCCGTACTCGAATCATATGCACTTGAAAAATACTCTTAATATTATAGATACAATTTTTTATAAGATTTTAGAGCTTGAAACCACTTTGAAACCACATTCGTATGTCAAACCCTCTATATTATTTATTAATAGCTATTTTTTCAAGTGCATCGAGTCGAGTTTCTTACTATGCATATTTGCAGATTGTGTGGGTACAGATCAGAACGGGCTACCAATTTGGTGTCTTTGCTCTGAGCCAGATAAATAATAATTATGCCGGCTCGACACCGGGCTCAAAGCCCCCAACGAGTGCACAACCTAACACACTGCGAACAGGGGCTTTGTCGTATCTCGGTGTTCATTAGTGTTGTCGCACTGTGGGCGCCTCCTTCTCCAGCCCCCGTACACTCTCCCTCATCCCTCCAACGAGCACTTAGCGGCGACTTATTGGCCAGAAAGTGACTTCGATGAAGGTATTTATGGCTATATCTCGGCACAAACCTAGAGGTGCGTATGGCTCGTTATTAATTGCGTGCCAGATTTATAAGGCATTAGCGGGTTAAGTGAAGATAGGTTATTGCAGCCTAATGAAGACCGTAATGCTCAAGGACAGGCACAAATTGGTAATGGCAACATCGGATTACAAGGGTGTTAGCCCGGATGCTGGCACTACGTATAAGGAGCTTCGTGTTACTTAAGGCCAAATATTCTTGCTATGAGGTTTTAAGGCAAGTATTTTGTTGCCCATTTTGTATTTTAGCCAGCCCACATATTGGCAATCTTGAACATACTCAATCAATGTCAAAAAATTTAATTATTCTTAATGTTTTTTCAACAAATTCTTTTTTTAAGGAAAGTATAAATAAACAAGAACTTTTCTTAACATTCTCATAGTTTGTTTTTTATTTCTTGATTTTCTGTTGCACTTCGTAGAGGTCTTTTCCAATTTTCAAGGCCTTGTTCATTCACTTGCACATGCCATTGAAGTCTCTGGCCCCCACTCAGTGCAACAATCCCCCGATTATTTAGTTCCCCAACCTACATGCGTACTCCGCTCCGGTTCAGGTTGTTCCACTACATTTGCCTAATTGAATTATGTTCCTCGAGTGACATAAACGCCAACTGACAAAAGCCAAATAATTTCATCAAAGCCAACATCTACGCCAGCCCAGCCCTCGGTTTCGTGGGAAGCCACCGTTTTGGGTGGGGCCACGCCTTTGGGGCCAAGATCCGTTGACTGGTCCGGGACTACCGACTGTCAGGCGATAATAAACCGACTGCCAGTGGGTAGGGTGATGGGTGGCTGTCTGTCTATGTGGTTGGGAAAGGGACTGGGCCACCTACCTTCACAATCGCCATGCAGAACAGGGATATCACCACGCTCCACCTCAGTAGGCACCTCCTGATGTCTGTGATCCTCCCGGACTCTATCCCCGGCGATCGTTGGCTCATTCCAGTAACGGACATCACGCTTCTTGTTTTTCTCTGAAGTGATAGAGGTATAAGAAAAGAGTAAAAGTTTTTTGAAATACATGTAAGTCTTCAGTTTATAATAATATTTATTCCAAAGGTGGGTTGCAACTTACCACGTTCTGTGATCTTGTTGCGCAGCATGCGGCGATTGCCCCGCCGATGGAGACCCTTCTGGCAATTGGCCCGCTGCAGGGAATGCTCCATGTCCCCGTCGAAAAGCAGGGGATACTTGCGCTCACGAAACTGTCAATAAAGAAGGTATTTCTCTCTGTCTTATCCAAACCCACCACCTGGGTCTTGACTCACCAGCTTAATCACCGGATCGTCCATTTGGGTGTACAACTTGGCCAGGTTCATGTCAATGTCGTGATGCGTGCTCGCCTTGCAGTCCACATAGAGGGTTATGCGATTCTTGGAGAACTGCAGAGCCAGGGACCTGATGGTGCTGGTCTCGTTGATGTTGGGTATCTCGAAGTTGCGCGACTCGGTGGCGCCGTTGGCACTGATGTCCAGAGTGACACGCTGCTGTTTGCGGTCCAGGAAGAAGGACATCTTGTGCTTCAGCATGGGGAAATCAATCATGAAGAGGGCCTCTATGGAGATGTGTAGCTTACGACGAGGTCTAAACAATAATACTCTTTATAAGTTTTTGTTTAGGGTTTTGGAGAGCCTGGGGTTCCTTACCGTATATGGCGTGTTGATATAACCACATCTCCTTTTCGTATAAACTGTTCCAGTTCAGCTGAAGCAACTGTTGATAAACAATATTTTTAAGTAATTAAGAGTATTTGCTTATAAATATATTTTCTTCATTTTATCAACTGTCAGGTTTATAAATCCACATTCGTGCCTTATCTTTGTTCCATTTCGGTGATCAGTGGAATCCCTTATTCCAACCGTTAAGAACCACTTCCGTTCTACCGAATTCAAACAGATTGAATTACCAAATCAATACAAATAAAGATTAAGATTGGGTCATGTTTGTCAATCTCCACGCGGGTCTTAGCCACTTGCTCTATTTATCCACAAACATTGGCAATCGGTTACCACACTTCGGCCACACGGAACATGGAACTATTTATTTTGGTCACCCAGCGAGATCGCCCCTAATGCCGCTAGTCGTGTTAACCCAAATAAATACAAGCAGTATTTGCACAATCCAACAAGGCCTAGGAATCCATCCCGCCAACTCTATATAGAATTTCACGCATTTGTGCGGTTATTTGTCATACTGTCTTCGGGCTGTATTTGACAGGCTCATGCCAGGTGACCTTCCCCCACATGGATATGGCTTTGGGGCATGTGGCTTTAGGACACGGGCATAAAAATTGCATTCGTGATCGGACACCACCAGCGCCATTTACGGCACGGGGAGGTCGCCAAGTCAACGACTAGTGACCCGAGCTGTCGGCCCGGCGACGTTTGCATTGGGATTTCAGTTCGAGATTTACATAAATCGCTAAGTTGGTAACCAAAAGTTTGGCTTTCGGGCGTTTCTCGGCAAATATTGACGTTTGGGGCCTCGTGCGATCGTTTGTATTCGCATGTTTAACCATAAAAAACGGTAAAAATGTATGCTTGAATGCACTGAGGGAAAACTTTGGAGGAAACATGTCATAGAAAGAGTTCTTATGAACAAAATATATAAGAGGAAAGTCAAGAAAAGGCCTATGATAATGAAGCAAGTTACATGACATTACGATACCTAGTACTTCTGGCAATCATAAGCCATAATCACATGCTTTACTCTTTAAAGTTTAAACTAGAAAAATTAAGCCCCAATTTAGTAATACCATCAACAAAAAATTATAAAAAATTACAATTTCAAAGCTCATGCTGAAAATCGACTTTTCTTTTTAGTGTTTGGACCCACAATCATGTCGCGAGAAAGAGTTTAGCGGATTGGAGGTATGGTAAGTCGGTTGTCTTGAAGTCATTCAGTCCATGTTATGATGTGTGTATGTACCTGGATCCAGTGAGAGTGATGCAACCTCCACGAATGTCAGCGCCAAGGCGGTCAACCCGATTAGCAGCACGCGCATCCAATTCATCGTTGGGCCTTTTTTTTCAAAAGTCTTCTCCGCTGTGGTGTGGGGAGCCCGAGTGGGGCTGGTGGGCTCTTCACTCCAATGTTTTTCCGTCCACTGCAATATAAATAAAAAAAAAGAATGAAACGATGAAGTAAAAAAATAAGATCTCGGCCCGCAGCCGGTGGTTGTTTATTTACGTTTAAAAATAAATCTCCTAGTTAGAGGCATTGCTTGGAACTCATAGAAAGACGGAATAAAATCGCATAAAATAATAAATAAAATTCAAATCAAAAGACTAGAAGGAGGAATGAAATTAACAAAGACAACAAAGACTGATCGATAAATTTTTGGCAGCATTTTTTGAATATCTAACATGAAGATTTATAAATTCCCCCTTTTAGTTGTCGGTCCCCTCCGCGCCGGAAGTACTTGGTCGGGTATCACCTAGGTATATCTATATAAATATACATAGTTCCATGGACCTTCTCCGCCATATCATTCATCTTATGGGCCATCTGTGGGCGTCATGATAATAAAGCATTTCGGAGCTTAAGTTTTATATTTCTTTTTGTAATTTCCTTGTGTTCCCAATGTGGATAATTTGAGCTGCCAAAGATTTATGTTGGATTTTTGCAATCATGCTTTCTGGCCTGTCTCTTTTTAACTTAAATAAATGTTTATTTAATGTGTGCGTTCAGTTTTATTTTCGCCTGCTCTGTATTTTCAGGTGCTTCGCCAGCGGAAGTTCCGCGGAAAGGTTGATGGTTGAAGCTCTACACTTTTTGGAATTAAACAGAGGAAAAGTTTGTAATTTTTTTTACATTTCCCAGAAGGTAATAGGACCATCCCGACAAAATATAATGCTTCCAATTTAGGAGGTTCTTACATAACTTTCCCGGGTTAGCTTCTACCGTAGACACATTTTTCTCTCAGCTTACATCTCTTTAAGTGATCATAAATTCGGTTTAATACACAGATTTAACGATCAATGAAATAAAATAAAATGTAGTAAGATCTGGCTCGTATAATTAAGTACTCACTGATTGGCATTAAACAAGCGTCGATCGTAAAATGGATTGAGTATTCCGCCCCCCGCCACAGAAAAAAGAAGAACTCGGTTGCAATTAGGCATTTGGCTCATCACTAGAGCAGCCACAAAACCGTCAAGAAGTGTTATAAACTGCATAACAAACAAATCCAATCGAGAGAGTGTTCTCGGCCAGGTCCGATGCCATCCTCGACCAACCTGCAGCCATTACACAACTTTCATGATAAAGTAAACACACAAGAAATGTGGCCAAGATGCTGGGGCTGCGGCTCAAAAGGTGTCCCAGGAATGTTGTAACGGTCGCAGATGCTCCAGGCAGCCACATCGAGAGTTACAGTCCGAGTCGAAGTCACAACCAAAAGCAAATGTCGTTATGGCCATACAAGACACGACGACAACTCCACCGATACTGGTTCAAAATGTTGACTGACAGTTATGGATTTATAGTGGCAGTTGTTATTGCTGTCGGGTTCTCGTTCTTTTGGCTACAATGTCACCGAGTTGGATCGGATCTATACCATTTATGGGTGTAATCGCAATTACCAGAGTCCCAAAAGCCCAGCATCGTCACCCATCCAGCAGTAAAAGTAGAAAAATGGTTGCCTTGTCCGAGATATCTAAGTGCTTTCTTGTTAGTTCTAATATTCTTAAGGTTTTATAATCATTTCAATAATTAATTCAGTAGATTTATTATTCAACAACTTTGATGGAGATGCTAAGACTTTCATATATATCTCAGAAGATCTTCTCAAAACGGAATCCTATCAAGGTCCCATAAGTTCTTAAGTCCATTCATCCATTTCCAAATCCGAGAAAGGTTACCAAGAACTTAACCCAAACATAATACCCAAAAGATCTGTGCCAAGTGTTCATTGAAACGTTTATTAATAGCCAGTTAAGATGGTCCATCGGCTACCGATCCCAGAACATTTCCCACAAAGTGTCATCCGAAGTAATCCCCCTCAAAATATAAAATTCAGAAGTGGAACCACCTTCCCCATGTACACCTAAACACATAATCCTCAGGCCTGAAATTTATTAAATACTTTTTAATGCCATTGGCTTGGTATAGATCATGCCTAGGCCGGGCATCTGTACATCTATCTTCTCTGTCCAGCACCCACGCAACCCAAATAGAAAAATCCACGCCACAGAGACGCCAGAGCGACAACCGCACTCGTATCAACATCACCAAGACGAGACGGCATCAACTTAATAAAGCGGACTAATCAGAGACAAAGTCGGTTGCCATAAAGCGATGAGTACATTGATTGACATTTAATTAAGCAAAGGCAAATGCACACGGAAGCCGCAAAGCGATCAGCCGGCCGCAAACCGCAACTCTGGACATCAAGGGGGATTGGATCAGATGGAATCCTCACCCACTAGCCGGGTTAGACCCAACCGACCCCGTACTGATCTGAGATGAGGCGATTGAACAAGTTTGGCGTCCCCGACATAGCGACGACTGTCACTCTCGCGTAGTGACAAAGGCGTTTCTGGTCCATCATCAAAGGAAATTTGATGCTTATCGGAAAAGTCATTTTCATCAGATTGAATGGCCCGTCAGCCCGAGGCGGCGGGGCAGGAAACCTTTCCGAGAACCCCGGGTAGCGAGGGTTGCTAAGCCGATTGTGCTTTGTGGATTTTATGCATAAATAAACATTATAAACAAAAAACTCTTTCAGTAATAGTTAGATAAAGCTTAAAAGTTTTTATTAAAAATAAAGTTCTAGTTATTAGCTAAATCTTATAGGATTTTTGCCTTACAACTCAATTATCTGAATAATTTCTAACTTTTATGACTCACTGGCTCACTCTTGTGCCGGCCCTCGGTTAGTATAATATTAGAAATTCAAATATTTTGACTCTTTCCTTAACGTTGCACCAGCATGCAGCATGCAACCGCCGTGTTGCCGTCCCCCAGGGCGTTTAAAACGGCGCAAAAATTAAAACGAAAAGAAAAACGCTTGGTAAGCTACTGCGCATGCGCGACTTTTTCTACTGCTAGTTGTTGGTGTTGCTGTGGCTGCCGCTGCTGTTGATGTTGATGTTGCTGTTGGTATTGCTGTTGTTGCAGCTGAAGCCCCGACTGAAGTCGCGTGTGGGCAGGACAAGTTTCGCGTCCACCGCCGCCCCAGGCGTCGTGTCACTGAAATCAAATCAGCCGCGCTTAAATGCTCAGCCGAAAACTTCGACTTCAGTTCGAGTCTCAGCTCGGAATTGCTGGCAAACCTGCTGTCAGTCGCTGGTCTGACATGAAAAAAAATCTATGACGGCGCCTACGCATCTCGAGTGGCGTGAAAGAGTGAAAAGGAGGCAAGTCGAGAGGGGCAAGCTCCGACAGAGAGAGAAGGCAACGCATAGTCCCAACTAAGCCACTTAGGGAAATTCTTCAGCGGATTTTCATTTGCAACAAACTTTCTTCAGCCTTTGTTCAATCTCTTTTTCCAGCCAGTCCATAATTGGAGGCAAAAAGTGACTGAAGACTGAAACGCTCTGAACTGAATTGATTTGGTGTCGGCTGATAAATTGGTTTCATCATAATAGACTTTGTATAACTTCCGGCGCAGTCTGTGGCAGTATGCGTGAAAGGTGACACGATTAGGATTTGATTCAATAGCGATTTCAATACTCCGGACTCTGGAGCGGCACTTGACGTCCTCATTTTATTGATTTCTGTATCTCAATCGATCGGTCTTTTTGTCGGATTTCTCTCATTCACATTTTGACTCTTATTTGTTCATAAACAGATAGTAGTTGACAGCTGAAATGTTGACCATTCAGGTGCTGGCACACAGTGTCCTATTTCATAATATTGAAAGGCCTCTCAATGGCAAGGCGGGTGATGGAGATGGGGATTCTGGTATGGTAATTGCCACCTGCCAAGTTGCTCAATTCCAGCAACAAAGATGATAAAATTATAGAAATATGAAAAGTAATAAAGAATAATAACTATCATACATAAGTTAAATATTCAACTGACTAGAATATTAAATATTCATTTATGATGAATAAATTATAAAAACGCAAAATGGATTCCTTAAATACGTCTTAGCCATAGCCAGCAGCTAGAATCTGTCCCAAATCATATTATAATGCCATAAACAAGCCAAGCATATGCCCGCCATATAATTAAATGAGTTTTTCAGGTGTTTGTGGGACCACACCTCCAACTTTGGCTCGGCTATCTTTGCAGAATATCAAATTATACATATCAAACATCTCCGTGGTCCAGCTGGATCTAATCAACAGGTTATAAATGATACTTTTATGCCCAGCCAGGGTTTATATTTTGGCGCAGGGTTATTGTTTTCTGTTAGCGATCTTGTCAAAACGTTTCAGATTGTATTTAATCTATCATTAGGCCAAAAACCGAAACCCCATTAACTTATGCTGATGAACCATTAAAACGAAGCCGTCTTCTCCATTCGGCCTGAAACAGTTTTGACGCCGCTGGTCCAAACAGTCCAAACAACGCAAACAAAAAGCCTCAACTTTTATTGTGTGAGTAACGTATATATTTGAATTGCAAATTTCATTTCGAATCAATACAAAGCATTAAAATTTGTAAGACCAATTCCCCCTATAAGGTGTCTGAATGACTTTCCACTGACGATGCGCTAATTTGCTGCTGCAACTATTTTCCACTTCATTTGCATTTGTTTATGAACTCATAACTCGCTGCCCAGCGGAAATTCCAATAGACATACCAACAATAATACCAACATTATTTATGTTTTAATAATATCAAAGTCAGTGTCTATATATGGTCAATGCAGGGAGATTTATATTATATCAATGATAGTGAGTGGTTCAAGGGAGACAGGGAGTGCTTACCCCTCTTAATATGGGGAATTCTTACCAATCTCTTCCCTAAAAGTTACTCAACTTTTAAGTTTAAACTTTAAAGCATATTTATCAAATTCTCATTTATTAACTGCTCTGATACCCCTTTCGGCCAAGACGCCACTGCCGTTGAGTAATATATTCAAATAGTAAAATAACCGCAAGTCTTTGAGACATCTTGGAAAGGCAGTTATAAATTGTTATGGAGATCTTGGCTGTGGGCGTCTTTTAATTGAATTGCTTGGAATAGAGTAGCAGCAGAGATCACAGACCCAGAGTCCAGTAGAAACGGACTGCCCGATGGGGAAATCAAACCAAATAAAATGAAAAATATTACCACAAAATGTATTTAACGTCTTTGGGGGAATCTAGCCACATTTGGGCAAGAGCACTAACAAACTGGAGCTGCTGTACAGATCCGACATTCCAATTCTTTATCTCGGACCTTATATGATCACATAATCATAGTTCTCATGGAGCCAGAAACCTCAATCTGATCTTTTAAATATGTGTGGAAAGTCCAGTAATTAATAAATTATGACTAGCCGCTGGTATTTATGGCGCCTATGCAGATAAGACCAAGAGATCCCCCATAGATTAATGTCGGTCGGTGTCTGTGGATGCCACAGGCCGCTTCCACTGCCCGTTTGCGGTTGGATCGGGTGTGGCTAATTAATATGTATCGATAGTATTTGAGTTACAATAACAATTAGCATGATTTATCATCCGATACGAGAAGGCGGTGAAGTGTCTTGTAATCTTGCGAGGCGCTTATGAAAAATATTCATAAATTGTCAACGATTATCTTGCAATAAAAAACGAATGTAAATGGGAGCTCAATCGTACAATCTCAAAAACAATCAGTGCTAGAAGTAGACTAACCAGAATTGTTTCCCTTAAGACCTCTTTTAATATGACTTGAGATGTAACCTAAAGAGTTAAGTCATTCCCTGTTATTAATTTGGAATGCACTTCGCACCTGACTACTTTTTAGTCTTAGCCTAGATTTTGGCCACACAACCATTGCTTATTTATAGCACACTCTTCAGCGCCCACAAAACCACTCTGGCGGTCTGGGTGGTAACCTTAGCACTCACCTCCAAGTCAAGGACGCTTCTCGTGGCTCGAGAGGCTCCCCCGGATGCTGGTGTTCCGGCGATCTAAGTGAATCACTCGCGTAGACAGACAGCTGGAGCTCCTTGGGCTCTGGATATGCCACTTGCCACTTGTGGCTGTCAACGCGGTATTTAGAATGGAAGCAGCGTGAGTTATTTTTATGAGTATTTCCACACTTTTCCGCTGCTTTACTTTTTTTATTATTATCTATATAGGTATATATAGGTTTCCTTGGGCCAAGATCAAACAAATCGCACACTTGTAGACTCCACACTTCACACTAAAAGAATCGATAACGAAACGGATGCATTAGATAATTTAAACCCTTTTCAAAGTCCCACCAAATCCAGGTGAGTTTAATGGATCCGCGTCGAAAGGGGGGGGACACACGCGACGGACGGAGCTGATTTTATGGGGGAATATAGAGGTGGGGCGCACGCGATGCGATCCTCCGGCCACGGCAACTGCTCCACAACTGAATCTCGTCGTCGTTAGTGCCAATAAAAATTAAAACACTCTGGGACCATTAAGGCAAACGCGACGCGATCTCGAACCTGGCTGGAGGATGCTGTATTGGAAGAATACTATGTTGCCAAAGGAGTTATTCGAAAAAGAAATTAATTATTTGAAAAAGACACTCTACAGTTGACCTGGAATTCTTCCCGCGTTGGAAGAATTGGTCAATTTGTCTTGAGAATTTTTCACCTGAAAGGTGATCCCCGATATCTGATCACTGATCGATAATCTGTAAACTTTGGAACCCGTACCACGTACCGTCTCGATCAGCGTGCCAACTAGCACTAAACGCCGCGAAGGGAGCTGCCGCGGCCATGGTGGCGATGGCGCTGCTCTGCTAGCTGCCACTGCGACGCCGGCAGTGACTGCGGCAGCGACAACTTGTTGTTGCCTTAACCGTGTTACCTGATTGCAGTTTGTTTTGTTCTCAGCTGTTGTTGTTGGGATGAGATGCTGTTGACTTGTTGCTCTGCTGCTGCTGCCGGTTTCTGGGAGAAACGCTGCGGCGTCGCAGCAGCATTTTGTCTTCGTTTGTGTTTCTTTTGACGCGTGAGTAAGCCGAGGACGCCCACGTGCAAAATTTGCGTAAACATCGACAGTGTGGCCAGGTAGGAAGCCTGCCACTTTATAAAGGTTTGGCCCCCAACAATAATTGAGGAAGTGGAAAGTCGGTAATGGGTTTTTCGCGATATCGAAACTTTCTTGACTTGCGAGTGAGGATATAGCTTTTGATAACCAGTGATAGCCGTTATGGCTAAGCATGGTCAAAAATAAGCAGTTAAGAGTCGAATTATGGAAACAAATCTTTTATATTGAGTGTATAAATAGATTCTGTGTAGATATGGTTAAGATCCTACACACTCCTGTTAAGATTAATGCATGAAACGCGACCCACATTGCGTATACTTGATATACTTGATGATATAAGAATACTATTTTGATAATCAGGTCAATTGTAAATAACCAACTATTATTTTTCCCTTCTTGTGTTATTTTTCTTTTAAAAAAACATAAATAAAATAAAGTTAATAAATAATGTTAAGTTCCATAACTTTCTTTTCCAATCAATATTGCTTAAAAACTCAACTAAAAATTAAATTAAAGCCCATTATTATGGATGAGGAGTACTCTTCCCCAACTACATAGCCCCAAATCCACATTGTTTTAAGCCATTAAACGGAAATTTAATTCCAAAACAATCTTACATTGTTGCTCTGTTTAAGGCCATTAAATCGAATTCATGTGAACCCTTTTTTCTTTAATGCGTCCAGCCTTGTTGCCAGACCTCCTCCAGCTCGTCGTCCGTGTGATCCTCAAATCGGAAGGGAGATGTGTCCGCCACTCCAACAGTCGACACAGCCGGCAGACACTCTTCTGAAATGGTGATCGTAAATAAACGGCACGCTCTGAAGGCATTTCAAGTAACCAAAATACTCGTAAAAACTAGACCCCAAAACGATATGCACATGGCACCTATTAATGGCTACTTATGCACTACAAGTGTCTCCTATTTTCCGAGGCGTCCGTCCCTTTTTATTTTTTGACACGAGACTGATGCGTAACACGACAGTAGCATTGCATCCCGTGCCCCCGTAGGCGGGGGCAACATCACTCCCTCCCTCTGGGCTGGAGTGGCGGGAGTGCTGCCCCTGCCAGTGCCACGACCTGTTCATCATTATGTCGCCGGCATGTCAGCGGCCAGTTCGCTGCTGCATTGTCCACATCTGCATATATCATGCAGAGAATAGCATACCACACCCTGCGATGAGACACTATCCCCCATCAACGCTGCATATTTTTGCTGCTTTTTTTCGGACAGCGGCGACCACTTGCTGAAATTTCGTTATGTTCGTGATTTATAAATAAGCTTCACTGCCTCCGACTCCTCCGACCTGCACTCCATCATTCCGATCCTCCTCAAGCTCTCTTTTAGCATCTTGAAGAGGTGCACTGGAAAGATTTTATAATATCAGATACATCTTATAATCCTACAGTCTAGGGAATTAAATTTTCAGATAATTTTTCTTTAAGGTCTACTATTTTTTCAGTGCATGAGGTATATGCAGCCCACGCACTTTTCGTATGCGTTGCAGCAAAAACAACAGCGATATCTTGCATGTTGGACGTCTGCTGCCTTTCCCCACCCATCGCACTCAGCCCCTGTCCCACACTCTTTCCCTGGTTCCAGCTCATTTCGTATTAATCATAAAATTGTATTATTAACATGTTTATTTTTCGATCTTCAAGATTCGGTTACATGCAATCTTCCTGCTTCACTTCGATCTTAGTTGTGTGTCTGCGTTGGTGAGTGCTTTTTTTCGCAGGGGACGTGACTTTGTGGCGCAGTGTACGTATGGAAAGTGAGCCACTTTCGAACATGGGCTTTCAATTGCATTAAAAATATTGTCATTTTATGTCTATGTCGGCTAATTGGGTTAACTGGCTAATGACTGCGGTTGCGGACCAGATGTCCCCCACCTGGACATTGTGAAGGCGTAGGTGGGATATCGGCTTAGAGGCAGTTAATTGGGCAACTGACAGGAGCGTCGAGTAATTTCCTGGGAAAACCCGTCCAGAGGAGAAACCAGGCTTATAGCGAATGTTGATCAATCCATAATAATTAATAAAGATTAGCCAGTGATCTTAACTCAACTATATCTTTAGGATCATATATTAAAAGTCATTGTAACAACTTAAAGGTCAATCCTAATATGAAACTGGTTAGCCCAGCACCAAGTCCAATATAATGAAATAAATATTGAAGAATCCATTCAGACTGTGACATACACGAGTGTATAATTAATGTTTAGGGCTTTGGCTATAAAGCAAATGATTAACGCCGTCTTAACAATGGATCCAACACAAAACAGACTTTTAGGACAAAAGATGAGGGGATGCTTTCGTTATTATTTCATTTTCCATAAATTTTTATTCGATTTCCGTTTACTTTGACTTTGTTGACTTTGTTATGAATAAATTATGATAAATTAAGCAATAATCCAATAAACTAGAGTAATCTTATAATAAGCATTATTACGTCTTTGGCGTATTTCTTGTTTTACAAATATTTGATGGCCTAGACCAAGACGATTTGGAATCGGAATTTTGACCTGTCCTGGGCCAAGTTAGTTGTCTTGACAACATTTTTAATTTGTCGCTTAGCTAAATGCAAATGCCAAAAGAATTTATGATGAAAATCCCAAAACAAAGCTAGTTAGCAAATTAAATGCCCTTTGTTCCAAGCCGACTTCTTCTCCAGACGAACAGTAGCAGATCGCTTAATTAATCCAGTTGCTCTCGCAGCTCCATTTGTTATTGTTTATTTAACCACACTGGTCATTTCGATGGAGTCGCCACAACTGAAAATATATACAAAATCTATTTAGACCTTGCCGGAGACGGAGTTAAAACTTCGATGGGTTGACTTTGAATCGAGTGTGTGTCGGTAATGGATCTTTTGTGGCTCTATGATGTAAGACTGCATTAACCCAAATAAGTTAGAGGTGCTTTCAAGATAGGATAGGTATGGAGATAGATGTTGCTCAACTCTTATACAATTTATCAGAAGAAATTAATTAAACTATACTGTCCAGCATAGGGTGCCCACACCTTATTTTGAAACCCTAGTTATCAAAGGTAAAATCATTAAGGTTAACCTCATGGTATAAACTTTAGGGACTTATCTATCCTAGCCATAAATTTAAAATTTTCTTTTGTCCATAGTCCTGAAAATCAATTAAAATTGTAAGCATTTAGACCGCAACATAAATTCCTCAGTTTTATGGCGACAACTGTGCGAAAATCGAAATCGAAAATGGAACATCTCCCCGAGTTGTAAGTCGTAAAAAAAAGAGAAAAACAGGATGGACGATGGGAGATGATCGGTGCTGAGAAGTTACAAAAGGTGTAGAGACCGAAATTACTTCTGGCAGATCCTTGGCGGCTCCTGGCATCTGATGGTGACCACACTTAGGCTGGAGTCTTCGTTGGCTTCGCTGTCACTGGCCAGGGGAGCAGTGAGATGGCCTGGAGAGGCCGGGGGCAGTGTAATGCCGTTCGAATTGGCGGTGCTCTTCAGACCCACTACGTGGGCCAGCTTCGTTGTGGCAGCCACAGCGGCAGCCATCACCTGGCCATGTCCGTTGGCCATCGAGGAGTTGTTGGCAAGCGGCTTCTGCACGAGCTGGTTGGAGGAGTCCAGGCGATTCGAAAGTGATGTGTGCCTGTTGTTGACCGACTGTTGAGAGGAGAGATTGTCCATTAATACGATGAACTTCATAATTGAAGAAAAAATAGAATAGGAAACCCACCGCATTGTTGTTGTTATTCATGCGACCTCGGATGTTGTACAGTCCATAGACCAAAGGATTCATACAGGAGTTGGTGGAGGCAAATATGAAGAGGGCCTTCCTCACCAGGGAATTCACTTGCGAGACAGAGGACTTATCCAGCGAGTACCATATGACGATGGTGTAGTACGGAGTCCAGCAGATAATAAACACAATCACAATGGTGATGGTCATCTTAAGAGTCCGCTTCTTGGCCCGGCTGAGGACATCATCGTTGGAGCGTCGGAATCGCTCGGCAATCACGTCCTTGAGGACCCTCTGACTCTTTCGGTAGATCTCCAGGTAGATGGATCCGTAGCAGTAGATGAAGACGATCAGGGGAAAGGCGTACATGGCGGTCATTGAGGCGATCTGATAGAGCCTGTTGTCGAATTCGTTCCTCAGAGTATGGAATGTGACGCACTGAAAGTAGCCTTTAACGACGGGATGCTCCTCCACATGGAAGAGAAAGGCCTGTCGAAGGATGATATCAGTTAGGCTATCAGTTTTACACAGAAAATAATTAACACTTTAAAAGTTTTTTTTAGATAAGAATAAACTGATTTGTATTGCAGTGTATACCTGGGGAATGCTGCAGACGATGGAGCCCAGCCAGGCACAGGCCAACATGACGCGTCCCCGGTTGTAGGAGCGCTTCAACGGCTTCAGGATGGCATAGTATCTGGCGATTAGGAGAGCAGGGAGGTGCAGGTGATGAGAAAGCTGGAAAGCCAGAGAGATGGCTGGCTAGCAGGCGTCAGCCTGGCATCGATTGACACATCGAGCCGCCTTATCTGGCTATCAATTTGGTCCATTAGCGACAGTCAACGGATGGACTCACCTGTCGAGAGATATGCAGACCATCACGTAGCTGGAGAGGTACAGGCCGAAGACGCGAAAGAAGGTCATCAGGCGGCACATCAGATCCGTGGAGCGCCACTGCACCGTCCAAGCCCACACAATCTCCAGTGGCATCAGTAGGAACGTCACCATTAGATCGGCGATGGCCAGATGCATTAGCATGATATCAATCCTCAAGGGACCCCGCAGTCGTCGTTTGGTCAGCAGATATAGCACAGTGCTGTTGCCAATTGTTGAGATCACAAACAGTATGCTGCACCGCAGGAGAAGCCATTTCAGAATCAGCACAGACCAAGAGATGTGGTGGCGGGGAAAGTGGTGGCAATGGTGGTGCAAAGGTGTGGGTAAGGTTCAACAGCGATTAAATTGGTGAGTGGGAAATTAAAGAAGTTCTAGTGGCGGACGACAGTGGGTGTTCGTGTGGGTGCCACGTGATCGGTAAGTGGGTCAGGAAAGTGCAGTTGGGAAAGGTGAAATTAATTGGGCGCCAAAAGGCTCCTGGGCAGCCAACTCAGACAATCAGAGATTAGCTTCAAATCGATTTCTTTTTAATGAAAGAGTCTGACCCATAATGAATTCTTAAGTACCTAACGAGTAGCAGTTCTAATTGTTACTTTATGTGTGTTTTTATGTCTGGAATAGCCAGAAGAGTCATGTTAATCAATCAAGCAAATCTCAGCAATTTGAAATGGTGAACCCTACGATGAACCCCGAAAGATCAAATTCCAAGTGAAAATTTCAGAGTCTCAGACAGATAGCCAGACTGAGGGCTAAGGAGGGATCAGAAACGATGAGGCTAGCATGATTTATACCTATTTATAACAACATTTACAGCTACGTATAAATGGGGATTCGAACACCTACACCTCCGCATCGATTGATAGTAAAAGTCAAAGCTTATCATCGGCATGACTGAGTTGTGAGAATAAAATTTTAATAATAACGTGGGTGGTGATCTCGAAAATTGGGCGAGGGAATGAATAGGGTGTGTCACCCACTATTTGACTCACCTGTAGACTATGATGGAAAGGCGATGGCCATCATTGAAGATCATATCCTTGGACAGGTGTGTGGTTCCATTTGTATTGTTGATATTAAGGTGAGACCAATCGTTCAAGATACGATGATCGTATTCGTTCACTTCACTAGGTTGCTCCATTTTTAATAAAATCAATTTCTTAGGCTTTTAGTTTTCTTTTAGACTATGCAGATTCCTCAATTCTGACACTCTAAAACATATATACAATTTTTTAAAACTCATTAATATTAAATTACTCATAATTAAAATTTGGTGAAAACCGGAAATTCTAGGTCGTGATAGAGGTCTTCTCGTATAATCGCTTTGTTTGGGGGCCTGTCTATTAATTGCCTAGTATGTATAATATTTTGTTTAATTACTATATGTTTTTCTGCCTCTTAGGCCCCTTGGGATTTCACTCAATTAACTGAAACAATTGCACTCGTTTCAATAATTTACACTTTTGCGATTTCTTATTGCTTGTAAGGTTCAAGAACATGTTTATTATGATTTTGTTTTGATTTTCGTTTTGTTTGGTGCACACGAGGATGACCTTGAGCTAATTACAATCGAACCCCACTGGAATATTTTCATTTCCAGTTGATAATAAAAATTCCACTTATGCTGAGGCGTCTTCAACAAACTCACAGGCATTACAATAGCACAGGAATATTTACACCAGAAAGCTGGCTCTCTCGCTGGCTTATTAATCTTTTAATCGATTGTGCTCAATGGAACAAGTGTTCACTCAATTGAAAGGCATTAGAAGCATTTAGAGAGAAACGGTGCCCCATTAATCCTTGAGTTGAATGTTTGTTTGGACGCGCCTCGTTTGATGCCCTTTGAACTTGGCATTGGAATGGGCGCAAAAAAACAAATAATTATGGATGTTTTTAGTACATAAAAATAACATAAACCAAATGGTGCTAAAATATATAAAATAGAGTCTTTTAGCGCCACCTTAGCCACCATTCTACAGCAGTTCTATAGATCAAAGATTACCTAGCATCTCAGCTAGTCCCCCTCGATCCCCAGCTAATCGATCTTGTTTCGTATATATACTAATTGTAGGCGTAATCAATGATTACGAATGCGCGTACGTGCTATATAATTTCCTTTCTTCAAATATATACAACTATATCTCTGGCTATATATACATTTTTTTTCAATTTCCGTTTTGTTTTCTGTTTTCTAAACACGCGGACACACCGTGTTTCCCGATTATACTATAAATCCACAAGATATTTTCAAATTCGTAGTATCCTCTGGATTTTCGCACACCTTACAGCATCAATATGGGGTCGGGGGTGGTCTTGCGCCACGCCCACACGCGGTGTTATCGTAATCGCATTAACGGTACACGTATTTAGCGGATCGAGCTAATCTATCGGATCGAGCGAATCTAACGGTTCACACCGGGCGGCAAGCAGGAACTGACTGAATCTACTACTTGGGATAATACTAGGGAGGCTGCTGGTGCTGCCGTGAAATCGAAATCTCCGACAACAACTGATAATCCAGCTGGAGGAATGGCGAAAAAGTGCGACACGGGCGATAACAGAGCTCGACCTCAATTGTGTATCTGTGTGGGTCGGGGGGTTTGAGTGTCTGTTCAGGTCCCGCCCGCATAAATTTCACGTTTATCAATGCGTGTGTGCGACTCAAAGTTCACAGGCTGAGCAACCAAAAGTCTGAGAGCACCAAGTATAACGATCCCTTATCACCTCGTCAGTCTCACCCAAAAAAGCCATTAAATTGGCATTACTTATAGGCCTTATCGGTGCGTCTGCCGGATGGCTTTGCCTTCCCTGGCGGCTGTCTGTTGCAGATCTCGTTCGCCGTCTATCCGTATCCTTTTCCGTATTGGTGAAGCCTCCGATCCGGTCGCGAGTCCACTGACTTCTGGCACTGGCCACGGCCAAGGTTGACATTTTAACCCCTGAATCCGAGTCCGTCAACACAATTCATTAAATTTAATGAGCGACCAGGAACAGAGTTCGACAAAAGGATTTCAAGTTCACGTTTACCGACGCGCTTTTGTATGCTAGGAATGTGTGTGCCTGGTGGTGTCGTGTGTGCGCTCTTATCAAGATGCACCTGGCCCACCTGATAAGACGCCATTCAGTCGGTCGGTCAGCCCTAATGAGCGGGCATGTGGCATGTGCATTAGCAACTGCAAACTGCAGCTTTAATTGGAGTCTTTAAGTTAATATTAGAGTTTTGTTAACAAGGTTTTTTGGATAAAAACAAGATTTTTTGGATAAAAACAATGACATTGAACAATGAAAAATTTGATAATTATATTATTGATTTAATTTTATAGAATAATTTCAAGTAAATATTCAGATAACTAAAATAGAATAAAGTTAAAAATTATTTTCTTGTCCAAAATTTAAACTAGCTTTTTATGAAAAAAACACGTACAAATTATTACTGTTTAAAAAATTACGCGATCTGATGATTTAAATATTCCATTCTATTAGTAAAAATTCTGTCCAATACATATAGTTTTATTGCTTGAATCCTTTTTATGAAAAATTTAAACTTTTTTTAAAATTTTTTGTATGGCGCCTCTTGTGGTTTATAGAGCAACTATTGGATTACCGCCATCTTGCGGAAAATGCGGAAACTAACAAGTGCAGTATATTATCGGTATTTTTAGAAATTTTTGTTGAAGTCTATGCACCTGGTTACATTAAAGTCCCATGTGGGTCTGAGCTCCAATTAATTTTTTATTTTTTTAAATGAAAACATAAAAGAATGCTGCGAAAATCAAAGAAACAACCCCAGACTGTGGCCGATAAGGTTAGCAAACTGCTGGCCCATCCAAATGAGAGCGACAGCGCTGAGGACTCGGACTTTGACGTGGCCACTGGGCCCAAGCTAGCCGATTTCGAAGAGGGCGAATATGACTTGCCGGATGCACGGAGCACCTCCTTCCGAAAGAGGAACGTGAAGCTATTGTCCGAGGAGAGCAGTCGCTACAAGGGAAAGATCAGTAGTCGTAAGGAGCTGGAAGAGGAGGATGAAGACGAAGAGGATTCTGAAGGCGAGGAGCAGAATGATAGTGAGGAGGAGGAGGATGAGGAAGCGGAGGATGAGTTACCCTATGAGGAAAGCGATGATGAAGAGGAGGATGATAGTGCTATGACTGCATTTATTAAGAAAATAAAAGCAGGAAAAGACACAGCTCCAGCCGAGGAAGTAAATGGAGACTCCGAAGACGATAGTCTTCCTGATCCTGACGATGACTCCGAAGAGGACAATTCCGATGAAGAAGATGGGGAAGAAAGCGACGAAGAGGACGACGACGATGATGATGATGATGATGAAGATGAGGATGGAGAAGATGACACCATCAAACCCTCAGATGTCATGTCCAAAACGAACCACGAGGCTGAAATTAAAAAGGGGGTATGTGTCCAAAACCAACTTCGCATCTGGGAACGTCTTCTGGAGTTGCGGATCAATACCCAAAAGTTCACCAGCAAGGCTAACCAATTGCCAGCACCAGAGACCCTGAAGAGTCTGGGTAATGAAAACCCGGAACTTCAAACGGTTTTGGACGAGGCTCAGGAACGCTCCTCGAAACTGTTGCAGCAACTCCTGGCCCTCCAGTCGGCACTCCACCAACAAAACTCAGAGATGAGAAAGTCGGTGAAACGTAAGCAACCCGACGAGAATGAAAGTTCACCACCAAAGCGGTTCGGTAGTGTCTTGCAAAGCAACTTCCAGCAGATGACTGGCTACCGAAACGATGTCCTGCTCAAGTGGGATGACCGTACCAAGCTCTTGACTCCGGGAGCGGGTGTGAAGCGGAAGTCCGTCCAGGAGGACTACGACATCATCAAGAAAATCGACAGTGCCTTGGCCAACAGGGAAGTGCTGGTGGAAAAGTCACAGACCCCAAAGAACAATCAGCCAGAGCAGCAGCTCCAGGAGAATGCTCCACCGCAACGGCTGACCCACATCTATGACGATACTGACTTCTATCACCAGCAACTGCGAGAGCTGATCGAGTACAAAGCCAGCACCGCGTCCAATATGAGCGAGATCACGAAGCAGTTCGTGGAGCTGCAGAAGCTGCGTCAAAAGATGAAGAAGAAGGTGGACACCAGGGCCAGCAAAGGTCGCAAACTTCGGTAAGTGGGCTTAGGTGGTTCTGATAATTTTTAATAAATAAAATATATTAATTTTTAGTTATGTGGTGCACAAGAAGCTGGCTAACTTTATGGCTCCAAATGAAGCAAGTGACTGGACGGATAGCGCCAAATCCGAGTTGTATAAATCGCTATTTGTTTAGAGAAATACTTAAAAATATAATAATAATATATATAGTTAGTGAAACAAATAAAATAAAATTATTCTTGAATATCTAAAAAACTTCTTAAACATGAAAACACATAGCTTTTGAATTTGACTTTAAATTATATTATATATTTATTTATTTATGTATATTTCATTTTTCGTTTACTTTTAACTGCTAAATTGTATTTTCAACATTTCATTTTCGTTATTAATTCTTATTTTGTTCTCAACTGGATAATTTATGCATCGGGTGCATAACAATATGGCTTGAATATAACCGCAAACGTTTGTAATTACCGCTTCATAACCGTTTCGTTTAGTTTTTGTGAGTGGGGTGGTTGGTAATTAAGCTGGCTTATTCCAAGTTGCGTCTTTATCTTTATTCGATATATATATACGTACGCATATATATGAATTACAATAATTTTTTAAGATATTAAACTAGTTTTTTCACTGATGCTCATACTTGACTCGTTATTTTTTTTTGTTTAATATTTACTTTGCTAGTCTTGTATTTTACTTGGGCTTTATTCAGTTTATAATTTTACTTTCAGTTGATTTATATTTTTTAAACTGCGTTAGTGTGTTCGTCGTCTAAGTCATTGTTAGTTATGAAATGCGTTTATTATTTAATATTTATAAATATCATGTATAATTCTAGTAAATCAGTGCGTAACTGCAATAAAGGTAGAGCCATTCGAAAGGGGGATTTAAAAATTGAATTGCAATACACCGATTGAAATAAGGTAGAATAAATAATCACTATAAATTTAATGACTAAAATTTGGAGAATACAATAGGTTTCATATAAAAAAAATACTATAAAAAAATTCGAGCACGTTTTAAAAGGTAATCAGCGTGTCAATTGTTCGATAGAAATGCTTGGATTATTCTTTGGGAAATGATATTTTGTCAAGTCCTTTAAAAATTAATTAACAATTAGCTGAAGGTGAATAGAGCACATAATATCATTCATATACTATAGTTAAATGTATATTGCACTTGAATGCGCACAAGAATTGATCGATTCAAAGCCTACAAAAGTGCCACGACAAGGACGTTGATGAGGAAATACTGGGCGTTGGTTTATTCTATTCTCGAATTGAAGTTACTAAAAGACGGTACAACACACAAATGACGATTATAAGCTTGCAATCAAGTAGGGGGGGAGGGAGACTGGGTGCGTGGGGTTTCTCATTGCCCTGTCCTTGTTTACAAACTACCAATATAAAGATTACAAAAATGCCGCTGTCTAATTTATCTCACTTTTTGTCGCACTCTTTGATTTTTTCCCTAATTGTTAATGGAGTTCTTCAGCAACAGGGGCAGCCCAGTTTTGGTTTTTGATTTAGAAACGAGTATAGTGGCAGTTTTAGCCCCTCCCGATCCGGCGGCAGCAGCTGCTTCAGCGGCAACGGCAGCAGAGTTGCGTCTGGGAGCCGCTTGCCGGTGATGCAGCTCCTGCAGCAGGGCGGAGTGCTTGTCCAGGGCCTTCAGCTGGGCTGTGTTCTGGGTCTCGTAAAGCGACGACTGCAGCTGGGTGTGGATAGAGGTGACGTTGGAGAGTGTGCCCTCGGCTTCGGCTATTGGATAGTTGCTTAAATATCGTTTACTAGTCGTGGTTGCTGAAGTTGCCGATGATGTCGTTGTAGTGTTTGTCATTGTAGACTGTTCCTGCGCTGAAACCTGTAACGAAAGTGATTAAAATGGTGATTATGTTAAGCGGAGAGATCGCACCTTTCCCAAAACCGCCATCTCTGTGTCTCAAGTGCACTTAGCAGGATGTATAACGTTCTCCATATCCTTCTGCACTGCATAAAGTTCCGAAAGCTGCTTGGCGAACTTCACATTTAATTCGCTCAGCTTGGCCAACTGAAAGGGGTGTACATTTGTAATAAAATATAATAGAACCCATTAAAGTCGATTAAAACTTGCGTACCGTTTGATCATTGCACTTTTCGCGTAAACTTATATTGGCAGATTTAAGCTCAATTTCCTGTTGAAGCAATTCTGTTTGCAGTTGCTCTGTTCGTGCCTTCAGAGTGGCTACCTCGCGGCGCAGCTCGTCTTCCGTTGCGCCACCACCGCCGGAAGCGACACCCACTCCACCACCGCCTACTCGCAGCAAGTCCATTTCACGCTTAAGTCGAATGTTTTCCTCCTTGTAAGTGTGCAATTGGCGCTTCCATTCGTCTACGTTGGCCGTGGATTCCTAAGAGAATGATAAAGAAATATAAAGTTATTATTTTCTCTTCTTAAAAAAAATGTCTATAGATAATTAATTATAAATAAATGATGAAAAATGACTTTAGATAAGGGTCTACCCCAATAAATCATTTTGTAAAGTGATTAATAAAGCCTCCCTGAAGCCCCAAAATAATGGATGAGACAAAAATCAAATTTGAAACTCACCTGGAGCGCGCTGGTCAGGCGTATGTTGTTGTTCTTCAAGGTGGCTAATTCGATTTCCCACTTCTTGGCGTTGGCACAGCTGGAAGTAAAAGGAAAACCATAAAAATACTTTACTCGATTAATGGAATGTTGTTAATAGACCTTACCTTTGCGCCAGGGCCATTTTCAGGCGCTCATTCTCGTACTTGAGCTGTTGTTCAGCTGTGGCGCCTGCTCCTGGACCCGTGTGCATGCCAACAATGCTGCCACCCGAGGAGATGGTGACACCTCCGCCTCCGCCAGTACCAACGGTGGGCTGAGGCGACGGCGTAGCCGATCCGATTTCCGCTTTTCCGTCGTTGGTGTTTAGCAGCTTGTGGGAGGGACTATCGGGATTGGCGTTCTGGGTGTTAGTGTTGCTCATGTTCGGCGGCTCTACGGTGTGGGGATCGATGGCCGTGTTGTCATTCTGCATGGCACCAATCGCCCGTCCAGAAATGGGCGATGTGTTGGCCGAGGTGGTGGGCGTGACAGCGTTAGAGCCGTTTGCCGATTTCATTGCGTTTTTAGTGGCCTCCTTGACCTCCTGGAACTTTTCCACAAACTGCAACGGTAGAAAGATGGTGTATAACGATTCGTAAATGCAACTTGTTGTATCATACCTTAGTTAGCTCCGCTTCGGAGGCGAATCCCAGTCCATAGACCGTGTTTGCCCTGACATCACTCCACTGGCCGAACTTCTGGGAGGTCTGTGTGAATGTCATGTTGGGCGTGATAGTAGAATTTATAACCGCCTTGGAGCCCTCGACGCTGATGATGCGGTACAGATTCCGGGAGTTGTCGTAGAAAAAGCTCACGTTGACAGCCTTCATGCTGGCCGTGATCCAGGTGCGCTTCGTCTTCGGATCGATGTGGAAGACGTGCGCCTGGCAGGTGAAAATCGGTTGCTCGCTGAGGGTCATAAAGGGATTAAACACGGCACCAGGTGTGATTAATTAAAAATTCCATTTAAATTTTGAATTTTTAGGAGTTTAAGGCTGCGAGTCGTGCTTGTGTGGGTGCTTATCTATTACCTGTCCGCCGACATGGCCCCTGTCCTCGACACTGCTCGTTCTTGGTTCTTCCTGTTCTTATCGCTGACGACTGACGACCGCTGACTAAATTGCATTATGTGCTTAAACCTCTTTTAGTAGCCTTGCTTTTGATTTTGTCTCAAGCGTGCACATACACCCCCACAACCAAGCACACACCCAAATAATTGGCCTACCCACGCATGGGGCAGGTGGGGCCGGGGCTGGCACATATTCACGCCGCCCGCTACACACAGAACGCCAACAACAACAACAACAGTAACAACATGCAGAAATTTCATCTAGTACGGCGTCGATTTTTCCCACACAATTTGCACTTTTCGCTGCGATATTACACTTTTTTTTGGTCTTACCCCATGGTTATCGTTGGCTTCAGCGCTTTGGTGAGTGGTATGGCAACGGGTTTACCTTATGCTAGGTGTTTATACTGCTAAATTTGTCGATTAAAAAAAATAAAACACAACGCAATGTCTAGTGTTAGAGCTGTGAAAACGTCGATGTCAACATTGATACCATCGATTATTTTCTTTCGCTCGATACACCACCCCTTTTCGATAACCGTATATCAAACTTCGATAAGTGCGTGCCATCGCTGATTTCACGCACCCATTCCCATCTCTAGTTTCTTTACATTAGTAAATTTTGGGGAAAAAAATCCGGAATTTATATTCGCCGTGATTAAACTAAACCAGCCGGATACATATGCAAAGGCCAGTCAGCGGCAAGAGTTGTTGTTGCTGCTGCTGCCCTGTCGCAGTACGATCGATCGCTGGGGTACGTCCAAAATAGCCGATTGGAGGGGGAGTTTTTCTCACAGCTTTTTTTTTTTCGCACAAAAGCCGTCCCCCAAACCGAATGTAAAGGTGAAAAAGGCGTCTAAGCGCAGTGAAAAAACGCATTGAACTCGCACCTGCCGAGCTATTGGCTCCCATTCGGACATTTGTTGTTACAAAATGCGCCAGCGACACACCTAGAGCATTAAAAATATGTCAGTTATGCGAAAGAGAAAAAGTGCTGAGCCTGTTTGGCTGTGTGTGTGTGTGTGTGTATGTTGGATGGCTGTGGTAGTATTTGTGTAGAAAACTTGTTATCAATGCGGCGCCTATGATAAAAGTCTCATTAGACATGTTTCTCCCACTATGCTGGCCATTCCAATTGGAGTCGGTGTGACGGTGTGTCGGTGACACGGTGTATGTGTGTGTATCTAACGATTTCTCCCCCCCTCCTCTTTATCTCTCTCCCCTCCGGGCAGTCTTGGATGCCAGTGTATGTGTGGTGGCGTGCTCTGGCGGCCCCAACTAAATAATGTGGAACATGATGTGCGACGTAATGCCCACTATTTCGGAGGACAGCATCTCGCAGCGGTCCTCGCAGTTCAGCGGCGAGGATGCCAACTTCGAACAGCTTATGGTATCCATGCTGGACGAGCGGGACAAGCTGATGGACAGCTTGCGGGAGGCGCAGGAAAGGCTTGGCGAGACGGAGTCCAAGTTGCATGACGTTGAGAAGGAGCGGGATAGCTTGCAGCGGCAGATAAACGCTAACCTGCCACAGGTAATGCTCTAACCGGCAAGTCTTATGCTCGAAATCCACTAAAGGTGTGTGTATTTATAGGAGTTTGCTACACTCACCAAGGAGCTAACTCAGGCCCGGGAGACTCTACTGGAGCGGGATGAGGAAATTGGCGAGTTGAAGGCGGAGCGTAATAATACCAGGGTAAGTATTGTTAAACTGTTTAATCCAAAATAAAGTGCCGTTTTAAGTGCAGGGCTTGATTAAAAAAATATAATAATCATCCATTCCTTTTTTCAGTTACTTCTGGAGCATTTAGAGTGCCTGGTGTCCCGCCATGAGCGCTCCTTACGAATGACCGTGGTTAAGCGGCAAGCTGCTGCCCAGAGCGGAGTCTCCAGCGAGGTGGAAGTACTAAAGGCTCTTAAATCCCTCTTCGAGCACCACAAGGCCCTGGACGAGAAGGTCCGTGAGCGTCTGCGTCTCTCCATCGAGAAGAACAATGTCATGGAAGAGGAGCTCAATGCCGCCAAGGAGGAGCTGGCCCAGTACAAGGCGGGTGTGGTGCCGCAGGGTGCGGGAAGCGGCACGGGAGCGGGGAGTGCCGCAACAACGGCCGGAGGCACTGAAAACGGGCTCAAAGAGAAGGTGGGCTCACCCCTTGATAAAATTATTCAACCATGACGGTGATTAAATGTATTTTTTGGTCGACTTTAGATGGCCGGCGTGGGCGGAGGTGGTGGCGTCAATGGTGATGCGAATGAGCTGAACGATTATGCGGCCAAGACCCATGAGCTGCAGACGATCATCGAGAAGCAGGTGAGGCACAGGGAGACATCCCCAAAAAAGACATCTGTGGAACATGTGTGTAACGCTTAAATTCCCATCCCCCCCTCTGTTTAGACCGCTGAACTCTCGCAATGGCAGCGTCGCGTCTCTGATCTGAATAACAAAATCAGCGAACTGGAGGAGAATATGTCGCGAGTTCAGAAAGATCACTGCAAGGCCCAAGACACGTGCTCCAAACTGCAGCGAGATCTGCGCGAAAATGTGGCTCAGAAAGAAGATCAGGTTAGTTGGTTATAGTGGCTGGTATTCTATGGTTTCTAATTACATGTTTTCCTCTTCAGGAGGAGCGCATTGCCACGCTGGAGAAACGCTATTTGAATGCTCAAAGGGAGTCTACCTCGTTGCATGATCTAAACGAGAAACTCGAACAGGAGCTACGGCACAAAGAAGCGCAACTTAAGGTGGGTAGAACCAAAGAAGTAGACTGGGTTTCAAGAAAAGGCAAGATACATCTTATTGGATGAATATATTTTATGAGTCGGCCCAATCAGCTCTTTAATCGTGCCTAAGCCTTCTCACTCATTAAGCTCCTTTAAAAGCGTGACTAATATATTGCATTTACATACTCCACACCAATCCCTGACAACTAATCGAACCCACCCGCCCCAAACACGAACCTCCAACGAACTTTGTCAAATGGCCAAATTCAGCTGCATGAGGAAAAGATCGGGGCCATCGAGGAGAAGCTGGAGCTGTCCGAGCAGAAGCTTGCCCAGCACGCCAAACTTCAGCCGGACATGGAGGAGCAGCTGAAGGCGCGCATGGAGGCATTGACAAAGGTAGGAAACAAGGTATGCACTCGAACTAATATGCGCGCCGGACAGGTTCCATATGACAAGTATCTCAATTATATCCTTAAAATTATATATTTGTTTTTATGTAACGCTCTCTGTTCTTTGTTTTTTTTTACGTACTTTCCACTACAAAAAAAACTACTAACAACTCTACAAGTCTCTTTTTTGTCCTCTATTTCTTCAACTGTACTGCACCGAACTTTCTACTCTGAAGCACCCGAATCCACAACAAAATCAGACCAAACAGAACCCCTCTGCCGATTACAGAATACAAGTTGTTTAAGAATATATTATAATCTTTATTTTAAGTTTAAAATTATAGAAGAAAAAACGTACCTCTTTGGTATATTGAGTTATTATTACCTATAATTTGTCTTCAAATCCTTAAACAACTCCTGTACTTGGTACTCAGAGGCTTCATTCACTATTAGCTTTCATTACTAAAACCTTTATTACCTTTCTTCATGTTAACATTTAAATAAAAAGAACAAACTTAATGAACTGGCTGGCCCAACCAATATTTCAGGCTCAAGAAAGGCACGGTTCTGCCGAGGATCGCATCCGGGGACTTGAAAATAACCTGGACGAAAAGACTGCTGAGGTGGTAAGACTGAACCAGCGTCTCAAGATGAACGAAGAGCACAACCTTCGACTCTCCTCCACGGTGGACAAGCTACTCTCCGAGTCGAACGAGCGATTGCAGGTGCATCTGAAGGAGCGTATGCACGCTTTGGACGAAAAGAACGCACTCACGCAGGAGCTGGAGAAGGCGCGTAAGGTGGCGGAGGAACTGCATCACGAGAAGAGTGAGATAATGAAGGAGTTGTCGAAGACGCGACTGGAGATCGAGAACTTCAAGCGGCAGCTGCTGCAGCAGGAGATTGCCTATAACATCCAACAGACTGAGGCACTCACCCGTAGCCTCTCGCCCAGCAGTGTGGTAGATCCCAGCGGCGCTTTCTCTCGGAGTGCATCGCACGCCAGCTTTGAGACGCACTCGCTGCGTCGCCAGAGCAAGCAGCGGCTCTCCGAGGAGAACGCCCTGGCCCGCTCCATGGCCGAGCAGGAGTGGGAGAAACTGCAGCAGGCAGCGCACGCCCAGCAACAGGCATACGAGTTGGTGGCGGCTGCCGCCGAGTGTGACGACTCCGATGCCCTGTACGCAGCGGCCACGGCTGATATGATGTCTCCGTCGGGCCATACGGACGCCCAGACGCTTGCCATGATGCTGCAGGAGCAGTTGGATGCCATTAATAATGAGATACGCTTGATTCAGGAGGAGAAGCAGTCGACGGAGGCGAGGGCTGAGGAGCTAGAGTCGCGGGTGGGCAGTCTGGAGCACGTCAACCTGCTGGCCAGGGGCCGATCTATGGACAGGCAGAGTCCCCCATGAGCGGACGCAGCACGCCCAATAGTCCACAAAGGGATTTCATGCAGAAGTACCACACGGTGAGTGGATGAGTGCCACGATCAAGATCAAGGGCGATCAAGACTAAACTTGGAACCTTTTTAAATATCCTTTCCAGCTCAACTTGCCAGTAATGTCTAGTGATGCTTCGAGAGAGGAGCTTCACGGAGGCATGTCCACCACCGGAGACTCGAGCTCGGGAGGGGCGGCCTCACCACTGACCGCCCGTTCTATGCGGTTGGAGCGCGTGGCTCAGGCTCTGGCCCACAGCCAGGAGGAACTGCGACGGCGCTCCATCGGCATTAATCCCAATGCCCCCAACCAAATGCCGCCCAACCACAGCGGCGGCCATATGCCGATGAGCAGCCATAGCTATGGCCTTTCGCCGCTTAGCTCCCGGTACGGTAGTCAGGAGTCACTGCGCCAGTACAACATCATGGGCTCCATGTCCATGCTGCAGACGCCTACTTCGGGCGTGTCTCGAGATGCGGCCGCGGCAGCTGTCCAAAAGAAGAAGGGCATTAAGTCCTCGCTGGGGCGATTCTTTAGCAAAAAGGAAAAAGTCAAGGGCGTGAAGGACACACTACCAGACGGTTCGCCCAGCATGATGTCCATTGGCAACCTGTCGATTGGACTGAGTGAGGTGGACTCTAACTACGATGCCATGAGCATGACCGGCGGCATGATGCCGCGCATTGCCAGTTCTCAGGGATCCAAAATAAGCAGCGTAGACTATGGCCGTCAAAAGAAGTAAGTTCCACGGCTATTTCCATCTTTAAGAGATTCTATCCTTACTCCTTTTTCTTTTCCAGGGAGCACGATTACCGCAACGATTTGTTGGGTGAGGCCATGAAGGCTGGTACTCCATTCGCCCTATGGAATGGCCCCACCATCGTGGCCTGGCTGGAGCTGTGGGTGGGTATGCCCGCCTGGTACGTGGCCGCCTGTCGTGCGAA